CGAATAATCACACCAACTGTCAACTTCTTACTGAGCTGCTTGGCGATGGTCTTGTAGCCCATTCCAGCCTTGTGTAGGTCTACAATCTTGTCCCTGACATCCTTGGAGAGCTCTTTGGTCTTGGCCACGGTGGAGAGTTTGGAATCTGATTGATTGATTGCTTCTGTGGACAGGTGTCTTTTATACAGGTAACAAGCTGAGATTAGGAGCACTCCCTTTAAGAGTATGCTCCTAATCTCAGCTCGTTACCTGTATAAAAGACACCTGGGAGCCAGAAATCTTTCTGATTGAGACGGGGTCAAATACTTATTTCCCTCATTAAAATGCAAATCAATTTATAACATTTTTTACATGCGTTTTTCTGGATTTTATTGTTGTTATTCTGTCTTTCACTGTTCAAATAAACCTAACATTAAAATTATAGACTGATCATTTCTTTGTCAGTGGGCAAACGTACAAAATCAACAGGGGATCAAATACTTTTTTCCCTCACTGTACATGTAAGAATCTTCATTCACTCTGGTCAGCTTTGTACATGTAAGAATCTTCATTCACTCTTGTCAGCTCTGTACATGTAAGAAAAACGAATAGATTTGTCCAGTTTGTTTGAGTAGTAGGCTTATATACCGTATACCGGGGTATTTGGAAATAGCCACGGAATGGTTTTGAAATACCGTCAAAACTATTTATTTTAAATTTTTCAATACATTTGTATATTTGTAGCTACTTTTTAAGTTACTACCTGCAGTCAACTTGTGCAATAAATTAGGAGATAAAGCAGATTGCGTTCTTCATTTCACCTGTCACATTATTTTACATGATGAAGCTTACCGTAGTTCCCCAGAACAGTTGAGCCAGTCACGTGTTTGTTTGTAAATAGCAGAACAGGAGAAAGAGGGAGCTGGTGAGTCCAGCTGTGTATATGGTTTAACGTGATAGTTATCCAAGTAAGTGGCTGAATTAATAATAGAAAAATACAAAAAATGACATTTGGCCTACTGCCGAAATTATTCAGACCCCTTGACTTTTTCCACATTTTGTTACGTTACAGCCTTATTCTAAAATTGCTACTTTTTTAATTTATTTTTTCATCAATCTACATACAATACCCCATAATGCAATGCAAAAACAGGTTTTTAGACATTTTTGCACAATTATTAAAATAAAACAACTGAAATATAACATTTCCATAAGTATTCAGACCCTTTCCTCAGTACTTTGTTGAAGCACCTTTGGCAGCAATTACAGCCTCAAGTCTTCTTGGGTATGACACTACAAGGTGAACCTTCGCCCCAGTCTGAGGTCCTGAGTGCCCTGGAGCAGGTTCATCTTTCCCTCGATCCTGACTAGTCTCCCAGTCCCTGCCGCTGAAAAACATCCCCACAGCATGATGCTGCCACCACCATGCTTCACCGTAGGGATGGTGCCAGGTGACGCTTGGCATTCAGGCCAAAAAGTTAAATCTGGGTTTCATCAGTCCAGAGAATCTTGTTTCTCATGGGCTGATATGCTTTAGGTGCCTTTTGGCAAACTCCAAGTGGGCTGTCATGTGCCTTTTACTGAGGAGTGGCTTCCGTCTGGAACGTCCTCCTATCTCCACAGAGGAAATCTGGAGCTCTGTCAGATTGATTGATTGCTCAGTTTGGCCGGGCGGCTAGCTCTAGGAAGAGTCTTGGTGGTTCCAAACTTCTTCCATTTAAGAATGATGGAGGCAGCTGTAGAAATTTTTGTGGTACCCCTTCCCCAGATCTGTTACTCGACACAATCCTGTCTCGGAGCTCTGCGGACAATTCCTTCGACCTTATGGCTTGGTTTTTGCTCTGACATGCCCTGTCAACTGTGGAACCTTATATAGACAGGTGTGTGCCTTTCCAAATCATGTCCAATCATTTGAATTTACCACAGGTGTACTCCAGTTATTTTGTAGAAACATCTCAAGGATGATCAATGGAAACAGGATGCACCTGAGCTCAATTTCAAGTCTCATAGTAAAGGGTCTGAATACTTATGTAAATAAGTTATTCTGTTTTTTATTTTTTATACATTTACAAAGAAACCTGTTTTCACTTTGTCATTATGGGGTATTGTGTGTAGATTGAAGGGGAAATGTTTCAATGTAATCCATTTCAGAATAAGGCTGTAACGTAACAAAATGTGGAAAAACTCAAGGGGTCTGAATACTTTCCGAATGCACTGTATGTATAACTTTAAGAGCTGGATTGCCTGTCTTTGCAATTCGTTTATTTTCATTTGTGCGCGTTAGCATATTTAGCTAGCAACCTCTATTGAAATTCTCTAGTACTTGTGCTAATTTTGTTAGCATTCTGGTAATAGACACCCAATGTTATTATTATTTTTTTTGCGTTTTTAGAACCCCCTTGTGTACTACGCTGGTACAGCGATAAATCCCGGGATGAGAGAAGGACGGTATGATGATATGAAAATCTGGATACCGCCCAACCCTACTGAGTAGAAACACGTGAAATCAATATCCAAAATATCTTATTTTTTAAATCAAAGAGTTAATCTACATCAAATGACAACATAGTGCTGTTTGCATTCTCAAGTCCTTTATTGACATACATGTTCATCATCGTTGATCTTACAGTATTAATCCACTGAATAATTGTGTTATCCCCTCCTCTGTTTCCCAGCATGCTCTGCTGACTGTGTGGAGTGTGAGGGGATTGGTCGTTGCACCATCTGTAGACAGAACACCTACCTAAGAGACGGATACTGCACTCCGGACTGTGGACACGGTTTCTATGCTGATAAGAAGACCAGGACTTGCCATGGTAAATATTCACTACTGTTTCAGTACAATGACAGAACCAAGTGCCTTGGTGTACAGAGAGTACCAACCTAGTACTGAGCCCTGGGGGACACCAGTAGAGGACCTAGTACTGAGCCCTGGGGGACACCAGTAGAGGACCTAGTACTGAGCCCTGGGGGACACCAGTAGAGAGAACAGTAGAGGACCTAGTAACTGAGCCCTGGGGACACCAGTAGAGAGAACAGTAGAGGACCTAGTACTGAGCCCTGGGGGACACCAGTAGAGAGAACAGTAGAGGACCTAGTATGAGCCCTGGGGGACACCAGTAGAGAGAACTGTAGAGGACCTAGTACTGGCCCTGGGGGACACCAGTAGAGAGGAACAGTAGAGGACCTAGTACTGAGCCCTGGGGGACACCAGTAGAGAGAACAGTAGAGGACCTAGTACTGAGCCCTGGGGGACACCAGTAGAGAGAACAGTAGAGGACCTAGTACTGAGCCCTGGGGGACACCAGTAGAGAGAACAGTAGAGGACCTAGTACTGAGCCCTGGGGGGACACCAGTAGAGAGAACAGTAGAGGACCTAGTACTGAGCCCTGGGGGACACCAGTAGAGAGAACAGTAGAGGACCTAGTACTGAGCCCTGGGGGACACCAGTAGAGAGAACAGTAGAGGACCTAGTACTGAGCCCTGGGGGACACCAGTAGAGAGAACAGTAGAGGACCTAGTACTGAGCCCTGGGGGACACCAGTAGAGAGAACAGAGAGTACCAACCTAGTACTGAGCCCTGGGGGACACCAGTAGAGAGAACAGTAGAGGACCTAGTACTGAGCCCTGGGGGACACCAGTAGAGAGAACAGTAGAGGACCTAGTACTGAGCCCTGGGGGACACCAGTAGAGAGAACTGTAGAGGACCTAGGACCGAGCCCTCAGGGACACCATGTGAATTCATACAAACAAAAGGTGTGATGTCGCATAAAGCTTACTTACACAGACATTTCGCTATTCCCTGATGCAGTGAAAATAATACAAAAAAGTACCTTTTGTTTGTCTGGACACCAGTAGAGAGACAGAAGATTTATCCATTCATTGTTACCTTATCATTGGACTCTCTCTCTCTCTGTCTTTCTCTCTCCCTCTCTCACTTCTTCCCTCCTTCCAGCTAACAGCCAGGCCCCAACCCTGCGTATCACTGGATCTCTGTTGGTGCCCATCGGGGGAACCAAACCCCTAGTCTCCACCCTGCTCATTGCCCAGGACCAAGACAGGTTCAACTCTCCTTTCACTTTTTATATTTTACTGTTTTTAACCTTTATTTATCCAGAATAATTTTTTGAGGTTGAGAACCTCTTCCTCTTTTTTGACAGAGATCTGTCTCTCTCTATGAAGTGTTTTTGCAATATTGTTTGTGTGAAATGCAGTATAAGTGAAGTTTGATTTGATGTTGACCTGCCAGCCCCCCAGAGAGCCTGGTGTTCCAGCTGCTGCAGCCCCCCTCTACAGGCTGTGTGGTTGTCCTGGAGGGGGGCAGGGAGAAAGAGATGGCCCGGGACGACACCTTCTCCTGGGCTCAGCTACAGAGTGGACAGGTCCGCTTCACACACGACAAGGACAAGGCCAGGTGAATTAAAGGAATCTCTCTCTCTCTCTCTCTCTCTCTCTCTCTCTCTCTCTCTCTCTCTCTCTCTCTCTCTCTCTCTCTCTCTCATATCTCTCTCTCTCTTCTCTCTCTCTCTCTCTCTCTCTCTCTCTCTCTCTCTCTCTCTCTCTCTCTCTCTCTCTCTCTCTCTCTCTCTCTCTCTCACATGAGTGTGTGTTGTGTTGTTCTATTGTTCCAGGAGTGGACAGTTCTCCGTACGTGTGGCTGACCCTCAGCTCTTCTCCCAAGCAGAGACCATCCAGGTCCACGCAGTGTCCATGCAGGTACCATTTAAGTTTTGATATCCTCCAAAAGTTTGGGGAAAAAATCAAGTAAGAAAGGTTAGCCTATCACTCCTCGCGTGTATCAGAGGGTCTTTCTAAGTGCTTGTGGGGGCCTAGCTTAGCGCTTAGCTTGCTCACATGTTGGTATGCAGTAGTAGGCAACCATAGTCAGTTATATCACTCGTGTTCAATGGGGTTGTTTCCCCAGACACAACAGAGTAAAGGGAGTGTGTGTGTGTGAGAGAGGGTTGCGATAAAACGTCGGGGCCCGCGTAACCCTCTCTATACACCTTGGGGCCCTCTGATCACTCTCTATTAACCTTGGAGCCCTCTGAGCCCTCTCTATAAACCTTGGGGCCCTCTGATCCCTCTCTATAAACCTTGGGGCCCTCTGATCCCTCTCTATACACCTTGGGGCCCTCTGATCCCTCTCTATAAACCTTGGGGCCCTCTGAACCCTCTGATCCCTCTCTATAAACCTTGGGGCCCTCTGATCCCTCTCTATAAACCTTGGGGCCCTCTGATCCCTCTCTATACACCTTGGGGCCCTCTGATCCCTCTCTATAAACCTTGGGGCCCTCTGAACCCTCTGATCCCTCTCTATAAACCTTGGGGCCCTCTGATCCCTCTCTATAAACCTTGGAGCCCTCTGAGCCCTCTCTATACACCTTGGAGCCCTCTGATCCCTCTCTATACACCTTGGAGCCCTCTGATCCCTCTCTATAAACCTTGGAGCCCTCTGATCCCTCTCTATAAACCTTGGGGCCCTCTGATCCCTCTCTATAAACCTCGGGGCCCTCTGATCCCTCTCTATAAACCTTGGGGCCCCCGGAGCCCTCTGATCCCTCTCTATAAACCTTGGGGCCCTCTGATCCCTCTCTATACACCTTGGGGCCTTCTGATCCCTCTCTATAAACCTTGGGGCCCTCTGAACCCTCTGATCCCTCTCTATAAACCTTGGGGCCCTCTGATCCCTCTCTATAAACCTTGGGGCCCTCTGATCCCTCTCTATACACCTTGGGGCCCTCTGATCCCTCTCTATAAACATTGGGGCCCTCTGAACCCTCTGATCCCTCTCTATAAACCTTGGGGCCCTCTGATCCCTCTCTATAAACCTTGGAGCCCTCTGAGCCCTCTCTATACACCTTGGAGCCCTCTGATCCCTCTCTATACACCTTGGAGCCCTCTGATCCCTCTCTATAAACCTTGGAGCCCTCTGATCCCTCTCTATAAACCTTGGGGCCCTCTGATCCCTCTCTATAAACCTCGGGGCCCTCTGATCCCTCTCTATAAACCTTGGGGCCCCCGGAGCCCTCTGATCCCTCTCTATAAACCTTGGAGCCCTCTGATATAAACCTTGGGGCCCTCTGATCCCTCTCTATAAACCTTGGAGCCCTCTGATCCCTCTCTATAAACCTTGGAGCCCTCTGATCCCTCTCTATAAACCTTGGAGCCCTCTGATCCCTCTCTATAAACCCTGGGGCCCTCTGATCCCTCTCTATACACCTTGGGGCCCTCTGATCCCTCTCTATAAACCTTGGAGCCCTCTGATCCCTCTGATCCCTCTCTATAAACCTTGGGGCCCTCTGATCCCTCTCTATACACCTTGGAGCCCTCTAATCCCTCTCTATAAACCTTGGGGCCCTCTGATCCCTCTCTATACACCTTGGAGCCCTCTAATCCCTCTCTATAAACCTTGGGGCCCTCTGATCCCTCTCTATAAACCTTGGAGCCCTCTGATCCCTCTGATCCCTCTCTATAAACCTTGGGGCCCTCTGATCCCTCTCTATAAACCTTGGGGCCCTCTGATCCCTCTCTATAAACCTTGGAGCCCTCTGATCCCTCTCTATAAACCTTGGGGCCCTCTGATCCCTCTCTATAAACCTTGGGGCCCTCTGATCCCTCTCTATACACCTTGGGGCCCTCTGATCCCTCTCTATAAACCTTGGGGCCCTCTGAACCCTCTGATCCCTCTCTATAAACCTTGGGGCCCTCTGATCCCTCTCTATAAACCTTGGGGCCCTCTGATCCCTCTCTATAACACCTTGGGGCCCTCTGATCCCTCTCTATAAACCTTGGGGCCCTCTGAACCCTCTGATCCCTCTCTATAAACCTTGGGGCCCTCTGATCCCTCTCTATAAACCTTGGAGCCCTCTGAGCCCTCTCTATACACCTTGGAGCCCTCTGATCCCTCTCTATACACCTTGGAGCCCTCTGATCCCTCTCTATAAACCTTGGAGCCCTCTGATCCCTCTCTATAAACCTTGGGGCCCTCTGATCCCTCTCTATAAACCTCGGGGCCCTCTGATCCCTCTCTATAAACCTTGGGGCCCCCGGAGCCCTCTGATCCCTCTCTATAAACCTGGGGCCCTCTGATCCCTCTCTATACACCTTGGGGCCTTCTGATCCCTCTCTATAAACCTTGGGGCCCTCTGAACCCTCTGATCCCTCTCTATAAACCTTGGGGCCCTCTGATCCCTCTCTATAAACCTTGGGGCCCTCTGATCCCTCTCTATACACCTTGGGGCCCTCTGATCCCTCTCTATAAACATTGGGGCCCTCTGAACCCTCTGATCCCTCTCTATAAACCTTGGGGCCCTCTGATCCCTCTCTATAAACCTTGGAGCCCTCTGAGCCCTCTCTATACACCTTGGAGCCCTCTGATCCCTCTCTATACACCTTGGAGCCCTCTGATCCCTCTCTATAAACCTTGGAGCCCTCTGATCCCTCTCTATAAACCTTGGGGCCCTCTGATCCCTCTCTATAAACCTCGGGGCCCTCTGATCCCTCTCTATAAACCTTGGGGCCCCCGGAGCCCTCTGATCCCTCTCTATAAACCTTGGAGCCCTCTGATATAAACCTTGGGGCCCTCTGATCCCTCTCTATAAACCTTGGAGCCCTCTGATCCCTCTCTATAAACCTTGGAGCCCTCTGATCCCTCTCTATAAACCTTGGAGCCCTCTGATCCCTCTCTATAAACCCTGGGGCCCTCTGATCCCTCTCTATACACCTTGGGGCCCTCTGATCCCTCTCTATAAACCTTGGAGCCCTCTGATCCCTCTGATCCCTCTCTATAAACCTTGGGGCCCTCTGATCCCTCTCTATACACCTTGGAGCCCTCTAATCCCTCTCTATAAACCTTGGGGCCCTCTGATCCCTCTCTATACACCTTGGAGCCCTCTAATCCCTCTCTATAAACCTTGGGGCCCTCTGATCCCTCTCTATAAACCTTGGAGCCCTCTGATCCCTCTGATCCCTCTCTATAAACCTTGGGGCCCTCTGATCCCTCTCTATAAACCTTGGGGCCCTCTGATCCCTCTCTATAAACCTTGGAGCCCTCTGATCCCTCTCTATAAACCTTGGAGCCCTCTGATCCCTCTGATCCCTCTCTATAAACCTCTGAACCCTCTGATCCCTCTTTATAAACTTTGGGGCCCTCTGATCCCTCTCTATAAACCTCGGGGCCCTCTCTACATTTAACATTTAAGTCATTTAGCAGACGCTCTTTTCCAAAGCGACTTACAGGATCAATTAGGGTTAAGTGCCTTGCTCAAGGGCACATTGACAGATTTTTCACCTAGTCGGCTCGGGGATTAGAACCAGCGACCTTTCGGTTACTGGCACAACGCTCTTAACCACTAAGCTACCTGCCGCTACCTTGGGGCCCACTGAGCCCTCTCTATAAACCTTGGGGCCCTCTGATCCCTCTCTATAAACCTTGGGGCCCACTGAGCCCTCTCTATACACCTTGGGGCCCGCTCTATTGGTGCTTCTCCATCTTGACTTTCCCCCACACCAGGGTATCACCAGGGTATCACCAGGGTATCACCAGGGTATCACCAGGTTATCACCAGGGTATCACCAGGTTATCACCAGGTTATCACCAGGGTATCACCAGGGTATCACCAGGTTATCACCAGGGTATCACCAGGTTATCACCAGGTTATCACCAGGGTATCACCAGGGTATCACCAGGGTATCACCAGAGTTTTATGTTAATATAGGCTTTAGTGTTGTTGTGTTTCCATCAGGAGGGTGACACTAAAGACTTGTGGCGAGCAGAATCAACAACCTCTGCATCATTCAAGACTGGTGCTTTGTGAGACGGTGTTAAAGTCCACAGTGAGCCGTTGTTCTGTAAATGACAGCTGAAATGTACCCAGGGCCTTGCCTTGGCTTCAAGTCAGAGCAGGTCCGCCGGAGCCATGGATGACTGCCCGCGTAGATGGAAACAGAAAAGTCTGAGCCTTTTGGGTTAAACAATGTGGTAGATCGGGGGAGAGACGTAGTCAGTCAGTCCCCTCTTCTCATCCTGGTGTCAGAAACCCACAGAGCCCCAGGGTTGTGTCCCAAATGGCATCCTATTCCCTATGTAGTGCACTGCTTTTTTTTTCTTTTTTTTTACCAGAGCCCATGGTGCCATGGTCACAAGTAGTGCACTACAAAGGAAATAGAGCTCTGGTCAAAAGTGCTGCACTATATAGTGAAATAGGGTGCCAGTTGGGACAAAGCCCAGGTCTGTCATGCTGTGGTAGGAGCTGGACCAAACGGGGCGCAATATCAGTCACTGAGGGGCATTGAACTGTTACTGCAGAGCTGACGGACATGTGGCTGGATTTAACAAGGTGCGGACTGCAGAGTTGAACAGCACCGCTCTCTCTGCTCTGCAGGGACATCAATGAGCAGTGATTTAATATGGAGCTGCACTGAACACCACTCCAGGGGACAACAATGTAGCCTGGTGCAGAGTTGGATACTACACCTCTGCAGGGGAGAACAATGTAGCCTGGCGCAGAGTTGGACACAACACCTCTGCAGGGGAGAACAATGTACATTATTTAGCGGGGCGCAGAGTTGGACACTACACCTCTGGAGGGGAGAACAATGTACATTATTTAGCGGGGCGCAGAGTTGGACACAACACCTCTGCAGGGGGGAACAATGTACATTATTTAAGCCGGGGGCAGAGTTGGACACTACACCTCTGCAGGGGAGACAATGTACATTATTTAGCGGGGGCAGAAATTGGACACTACACCCCTGCAGGGGAAGAACAATGTACATTATTTAGCGGGGCGCAGAGTTGGACCCCTACACCTCTGCGGGGGAACATGCACATTATTAGCGGGCGCAGAGTTGGACACTACACCTCTGCAGGAGAACAAAGTACATTATTTAGCGGGGTGCAGAGTTTTGGGCACTACACCTCTGCAAGGGGAGAACCAATGTACATTATTTAGCGGGGCGCAGAGTTGGACAAATACACCTCTGCAGGGGAGAACAATGTACATTATTTAGCGGGGCGCAGAGTTGGACACTACACCTTGCAGGGGAAACAATGTACATTATTTAGCGGGGGGCGCAGAGTTGGACACTACACCTCTGCAGGGGAGAACAATGTACATTTTTTAGGGGGGCGCAGAGTTGGACACTACACCTCTGCAGGGAGAACAATGTACATTATTTAGCGGGGCGCAGAGTTGGGACACTACACCTCTGCAGGGGAGAACAATGTACATTATTTAGCGGGCGCAGAGTTGGGACACTACACCTCTGCAGGTGGAGAACAATGTACATTATTTTAGCGGGGCGCAGAGTTGGACAACTACACCTCTGCAGGGGAGAACATGTACATTATTTAGCGGGGCGCAGAGTTGGAACACTACACCTCTGCAGGGGAGAACAATGTACATTATTTAGCGGGGCGCAGAGTTGGACACTACACCTCTGCAGGGGGAGAAGAACAATGTACATTATTTAGCTGGGGCGCAGAGTTGGGACACTCTACACCTCTGCAGGGGAGAACAATGTACATTATTTAGCGGGGCGCAGAGTTGGACACTACACCTCTGCAGGGAGAACAATGTACATTATTTAGCGGGGCGCAGAGTTGGACACTACCACCTCTGCCAGGGTGGAGAACAATGTACATTATTTAGCGGGGCGCAGAGTTGGACACTACACCTCTGCAGGGGAGAACACTGTACATTATTAGCTGGGGCGCAGGAGTTGGACACTACACCTCTGCAGTGGGAGAACAATGTTACATTATTTAAGCGGGGCGCAGAGTTGGACACTACAACCTCTGCAGGGGAGGAAACAATGTACATTATTTAGCGGGGCGCAGAGTTGGACACTACACCTCTGCAGGGGAGAACAATGTACATTATTTAGCGGGGCGCAGAGTTGGACACTACACCTCTGCAGGGGAGAACAATGTACATTATTTAGCGGGGCGCAGAGTTGGACACTACACCTCTGCAGGGGAGAACAATGTACATTATTTAGCGGGGCGCAAGAGTTGGACACTACAACCTCTGCAGGGGAGAACAATGTACATTATTTAGCGTGGGCGCAGAGTTGGACACTAAAACCCTCTGCATGGGAGAACAATTGTACATTATTTAGCGGGGCGCAGAGTTGGACACTACACCTCTGCAGGGGGGAGAACAATGTACATTATTTAGCGGGCGCAGAGTTGGACACTACACCTCTGCAGGGGAGAACAATGTACATTATTTAAGCTGGGCGCAGAGTTGGACACTTACAACCTCCTGCAGGGGAGAAACAATGTACATTATTAGCGGGGCCGCAGAGTTGGACACTACACCTCTGCAGGGAGAACAATTACATTATTAGCGGGGCGCAGAGTTGGACACTACACCTCTGCAGGGGAGAACAATGACCACTATTTTACTGCGGGCGCAGAGTTGGACACAACACTCTGCCGGGAGAACAATGTACATTATTTAGCGGGGCGAGTTGGACACTACACCTCTGCAGGGAGAACAATTACATTATTTAGCGGGCGCAGAGTTGGACACTACACCTCTGCAGGGAGAACAATTACATTATTTAGCGGGGCGCAGAGTTGACACTACAGATCTGCAGGGGAGAACAATGTACATTATTTAGCTGGGCGCAGAGTTGACACTACACCTCTGCAGGGGAGAACAATGTACATTATTTAGCGGGGGCCGCAGAGGTTGGACACTACAGATCTGCGGGGGAACAATGTACATTATTTAGCGGGGCGCAGAGTTGGCACAAAAACAAAACCTCTGGCAGTGGAGAACAATGTACCAACTTTCTCTGCCTCCCGCTGTGATGTACTGTTGTTTTCTGTTCTGTTGTATGTGAGTATGTGCTGTACTGTGATGTACTGTTTCTGTGATGTACTGTGATGTACTGTGCTGTACTGTGATGTACTGTGATGTACTGTACTGTGATGTACTGTGCTGTACTGTGCTGTACTGTGCTGTACTGTGCTGTACTGTGATGTACTGTACTGTGATGTACTGTGATGTACTGTGCTGTACTGTGATGTACTGTGATGTACTGTGCTGTACTGTGATGTACTGTACTGTGATGTACTGTGAGGTACTGTGATGTACTGTGATGTACTGTGCTGTGATGTACTGTGCTGTACTGTGCTGTACTGTGAAGTACTGTGCTGTGATGTACTGTGATGTACTGTGATGTACTGTACTGTGATGTACTGTGCTGTACTGTGATGTACTGTGATGTACTGTATTGTGCTGTACTGTGCTGTGATGTACTGTGCTGTACTGTGCTGTACTGTGCTGTACTGTGCTGTACTGTGATGTACTGTGCTGTACTGTGATGTACTGTACTGTGATGTACTGTGATGTACTGTGCTGTACTGTGATGTACTGTGATGTACTGTGATGTACTGTGCTGTACTGTGATGTACTGTACTGTGATGTACTGTGCTGTACTGTGCTGTACTTTGAAGTACTGTGCTGTACTGTGATGTACTGTGCTGTACTGTGATATACTGTGATGTGATGTGCTGTACTGTGCTGTACTGTGATGTACTGTGATGTGCTGTACTGTGATGTACTGTGAAGTACTGTGCTGTAGTCACTCCTCACAAATGTTTGGCTGAAGCCAATTACATGAGCTACCGCCGTTGGAGCTGGAACCTTGTTGTATATGTGTCTGTAGTTAACACACACAACACCGTCAAGTCATACCCTTCTCCTGGCGCTGGCTCACACAACTAGTCTGGGAGGTTACTGGAGTGTCTAAACTAGTCTGGGAGGTTACTGGAGTGTCTAAACTAGTCTGGGAGGTTACTGGAGTGTCTAAACTAGTCTGGGAGGTTACTGGAGTGTCTAAACTAGTCTGGGAGGTTACTGGAGTGTCTAAACTAGTCTGGGAGGTTGCTGGAGTGTCTAAACTAGTCTGGGAGGTTACTGAGGTGTAAGCTGTGGATGGTTGTTGGTAACAGTTTGGGTATGTAGTAAAGGGAAATGTCTTAACCTGGTGTTCTGCTAGATTAACACATAGGCTGGCTACTGGAGATCATAGACCATGTTGCATCACTGTCGAAATAGTTATTATCTTAATAGATAGGGATTCTCTGAGAAAGATAGTTTCAAGTTTTAATGTCAAGTGCACTAGTACAGTGAAATGCCTTTCTTGCTAACTCTAAACCCAACAATGCAGTAATCAATATCAATGTAGCACTAAAAATAAACAAGGTAGAACAAAAATACATAAGATATCAAAATAAGAAGAACAGGAGAAAGTAAGAAGCTAAATACAGAGTCTGTTCAATACCATATTAACAATGTGCAGGGATACTGGAGTGATGGAGGTAGATGTGTATAGGGGTAAGGTGACTATATACAGGGTCAGTTCCAGTACCATATTAACACTGTGCAGGGATACTGGAGTGATGGAGGTAGATATGTATAGGGCTAAGGTGACTATATACAGGGTCAGTTCAATACCATATTAACAATGTGCAGGGATACTGGAGTGATGGAGGTAGATATGTATAGGGGTAAGGTAACTATATACAGGGTCAGTTCCAATACCATATTAACAATGTGCAGGGATACTGGAGTGATGGAGGTAGATATGTATAGGGGTAAGGTGACTATATACAGGGTCAGTTCAATACCATATTAACAATGTGCAGGGATACTGGAGTGATAGAGGTAGATATGTATAGGGGTAAGGTGACTATATACAGGGTCAGTTCAATACCATATTTACAATGTGCAGGGATACTGGAGTGATGGAGGTAGATATATATAGGGGTAAGGTGACTATATACAGGGTCAGTTCCAATACCATATTAACAATGTGCAGGGATACTGGAGTGATGGAGGTAGATATGTATAGGGGTCAGGGGACTATATACAGGGTCAGTTCCAATACCATATTAACAATGTGCAGGGATACTGGAGTGATGGAGGTAGATATGTATAGGGGTAAGGTGACTATATACAGGGTCAGTTCCAATACCATATTAACAATGTGCAGGGATACTGGAGTGATGGAGGTAGATATGTATAGGGGTCAGGGGACTATATACAGGGTCAGTTCCAGTACCATATTAACAATGTGCAGGGATACTGGAGTGATGGAGATAGATATGTACAGTGAGGGAAAAAAGTATTTGATCCCCTGCTGATTTTGTACGTTTGCCCACTGACAAAGAAATTATCAGTCTATAATTTTAATGGTAGGTTTATTTGAACAGTGAGAGACAGAATAACAAAACAAAAATCCAGAAGAACGCATGTCAAAAATGTTTATACATTGATTTGCATTTTAATGAGGGAAATAAGTATTTGAACCCCTCTCAATCAGAAAGATTTCTGGCTCCCAGGTGTCTTTTATACAGGTAACGAGCTGAGATTAGGAGCACACTCTTAAAGGGAGCTCTCCACCAAACTCTCCACCATGGCCAAGACCAAAGAGCTCTCCAAGGATGTCAGGGACAAGATTGTAGACCTACACAAGGCTGGAATGGGCTACAAGACCATCGCCAAGCAGCTTGGTGAGAAGGTGACAACAGTTGGTGCGATTATTCGCAAATGGAAGAAACACAAAATAACTGTCAATCTCCCTCGGCCTGGGGCTCCATGCAAGATCTCACCTCTTGGAGTTGCAATGGTCATGAGAACGGTGAGGAATCAGCGCAGAACTACACGGGAGGATCTTGTCAATGATCTCAAGGCAGCTGGGACCATAGTCACCAAGAAAACAATTGGTAACACACTACGCCGTGAAGGACTGAAATCCTGCAGCGCCCGCAAGGTCCCCCTGCTCAAGAAAGCACATATACAGGCCCGTCTGAAGTTTGCCAATAAACATCTGAATGATTCAGAAGAGAACTGGGTGAAAGTGTTGTGGTCAGATGAGACCAAAATCGAGCTCTTTGGCAGCAACTCAACTCGCCGTGTTTGGAGGAGGAGGAATGCTGCCTATGACCCCCAAGAACACCATCCCCACCGTCAAACATGGAGGTGGAAACATTATGCTTAGGGGGGTGTTTTTCTGCTAAGGGGACAGGACAACTTCACCTAATCAAAGGGTCGATGGACGGGGCCATGTACCGTCAAATCTTGGGTGAGAACCTCCTTCCCTCAGCCAGGGCATTGAAAATGGGTCGTGGATGGGTATTCCAGCATGACAATGACCCAAAACACACGGCCAAGGCAACAAAGGAGTGGCTCAAGAAGAAGCACATTAAGGTCCTGGAGTGGCCTAGCCAGTCTCCAGACCTTAATCCCATAGAAAATCTGTGGGAGGGAGCTGAAGGTTCGAGTTTGCCAAACGTCAGCCTCGAAACCTTAATGACTTGGAGAAGATCTGCAAAGAGGAGTGGGACAAAATCCCTCCTGAGATGTGTGCAAACCTGGTGGCCAACTACAAGAAACGTCTGACCTCTGTGATTGCCAACAAGGGTTTTTCCACCAAGTACTAAGTCATGTTTTGCAGAGGGGTCAAATACTTATTTCCCTCATTAAAATGCAAATCAATTTATAACATTTTTGACATGCGTTTTCCTGGATTTTTTTGTTGTTATTCTGTCTCTCACTGTTCAAATGAACCTACCATTAAAATTATAGACTGATCATGTCTTTGTCAGTGGGCAAACGTACAAAATCAGCAGGGGATCAAATACTTTTTTCCCTCACTGTATAGGGGTAAGGTGACTATATACAGGGTCAGTTCCAGTACCATATTAACAATGTGCAGGGGTACTGGAGTGATAGAGGTAGATATGTATAGGGGAAGGTGACTAGGTGTCAGGATATATGATAAACAGATAGCAGCAGCGTATATGATGATTGTATGTGAGTGTGTGTATCGTCAGTATAAATGTGTGTGGATGTTATGTGTGTGTGAGTGTGTAGAGTTCTGTGAGTATGTATAGAGACAGTGCAAAAATCAAATACAAGGGTCAACTCCGATAGTCTGTTAGCTATTTAACAGTCGTATGGCTTGGGGCACCGCTTGGCGTGCGGAAGTAGAGAGAACAGTCTATGGCTTGGGTGGCTGGATTCTTTAACGATTTTCCGGGCCTTCTTTTCACACCGCCTGGTATAGAGGTCCTGGTTGGCAGGGAGCTCTGATATAGAGGTCCTGGATGGCAGGGAGCTCTGATATAGAGGTCCTGGTTGGCAGGGAGCTCTGATATAGAGGTTCTGGGTGGCAGGGAGCTCAGATATAGAGGTCCTGGATGGCAGGGAGCTCTGATATAGAGGTCCTGGATGGCAGGGAGCTCAGCCCCAGTGATGTACTGGGCTGTCTGCTCCACCCTCTGTAGCGCCATGAGATCGACGGCGGTGCTGTTGCAATACCAAGCGGTGATGCAGCCAGTCAAGATGCTCTCAATGGTGCAGCTGTAGAACTTTTAGAGGATTTGAGGGCCCATGCCAAACCTTTTCAACTTCCTGAGGGGGAAGAGGTGCAGTCGTGCCTTCTTCAAGACTGTGTGAGTGGACCATTTGAAGTCCTTAGTGATTTGGACACTGAGGAATGTGACGCTCTCTACCCGCACCACTGCAGCCCCGTCGATGTAGATGGGGGCATGCTCGCCCCCCAACCCCGTTTATTGTAGTTATGTCCTTTGTCTTGCTGACGTTGAGGGAGAGGTTGTTGTCCCGGCACCACACTGCCAGGTCACTGACCTCCATCCTGTAGGCTGGTCTCATCTACGCCAGTGATCAGGCCTACCACCGTCATGTCGTCAGCAAACTTGAGTAAATGCAAATGCTATGATCTTTTATAATAAGCTGTTAGGTAGACAGATAAAGGACAGACACACTGAGGCAAAAGACAGGTATCTTGCCCCCCCCCCCCCCCCCTGCATCTCCACTCTCACATATAAACCTTTGGACAAGGACACTTTCTTGTACACACACACATGCACATACATTACACAAACTCTGTCATTCACCCACACATACACTCACTCTGTCATTCACCCACGCAAACACGCACTCTGACATTTACCCACATATACACACACTCTGTCAGTCACCCACGCATACACACACTCTGACATTTACCCACATATACACACACTCTGTCAGTCACCCACACATACACACACTCTGTCAGTCACCCACACATACACACACTCTGTCAGTCACCCACACATACACACACTCTGTCAGTTACCCACACATACACACACTCTGTCAGTCACCCACACATACACACACTCCGACTCTCACACACACATATACACACGCACACACTTTTCAGACAGCCCATTGTGCTGATAATGTGTCGCTGATACAAAGCTGCATATTAACAGAGAGCAGACAGGTCATGTCACACATTCCCTCACCACTCTGCATTCACCCTACCTCGTCAGCGACACTCACTCCTCTCACAATCCATCTCCCCCACTCTTCGAACTTCTCTGGCTCTCCCTACCACTCCTTCCCACCAGAGTCTTCTCTGCACACCTCCGTCTAGGCCACTACTTCCTGCCTCCCTCTCTCCTCCTTCCGTGCTCCTCATCTCCTCTCCTTCTACGCCCATGTCAGCTCATCCTCAGTCTTACTCTAAAAGCTGCCTACTCTCATCTCTATCCTCTATTCGCGCTCCAGGGATCTGACGTACCCGAGCGTCAGTCTAGAAGAGACGCGATCGCATCCTTGTGGAAAGCAACAGAAGAATAGAGGCGGACAACGTATAAGGGATTCAAAGAGATCAGAATACCAGAATCACTTTAGATCTCTGATCAGAGCATAGATGTTAGATAGAGCCACGACAGCAACTAGAGTAACACAAGTTGTTCGCATCTCGCGAATATTCCCGAGACGTAAGAGACCCCCCTCTCCTCCTTTTCTGCTGATCCTCTCTTCTCTCGACCTCTTCTCTCAGAATAAACCTCCTCTCTCCCCCCCTCCCCCCCTCTCATCCTCTTCTCTGGCTCCCCCTCTCCTCATCTATCTCCTCATATTCTCTCCTCCCTCCTCTCCTCCTCTTCTCTGCTCTTCTCTGCTCCCCTCCTCCCCTCCTCCCCTCCTCTCCTCTTCTTCTCTCCTCCTCTCCTCTTCTCCTTCACTCTGTAAATCAATATCACTCCTTCCGTCCCTTCCTCCCTCACATCCCGACGTCCTGCAGCATCAAGGACCCCACAGACCCCAGCCACAAGCTGTTCACTCCCTTTCTGTCGGGCAGATGGTATCAGAGAATGAGGTCTGATACCAACAGGCTCAGAGACAGTTTCTATCTACAATCCATCAGAATGCTGAACACTTGAACTGGATTGACCACCTGCTCTGATTCTCCGCACCTTAGCAAGCATGCACTCACTCACACACCCACACAGCCATACACTAATCCACACAAACATACACGCAGACACACACACACATATAGTGAACATTAATGCTACACACACATCACAACTGCTGCTACCAGACTCTTATCATGAATGCTAAATGCTGCTCAGTTTAAACAAAACACGTATAAAAAGTGGATGATAATTTGTTCTTTCCTGTATTATACTGATGCTAAAAGGGTTATTCTATTCTCCTGAGCCATTTACTTTATGTTCGTCTGGTCAAAAGTAGTGCACCAATATGGTGCCATTTGGGACGTAACCATGGATCATGTAGTGAGCTGGAGAGTAACTAGTCTTTAATGAACCAGTGATGGATGGCTGTAGTCCTCAGATGGCTGGAGAGTAACTAGTCTTTAATGAACCAGTGATGGATGGCTGTAGTCCTCAGAGGGCTGGAGAGTAACTAGTCTTTAATGAACCAGTGATGGATGGCTGTAGTCCTCAGAAGGCTGGAGAGTAACTAGTCTTTAATGAACCAGTGATGGATGGCTGTAGTCCTCAGATGGCTGGAGAGTAACTAGTCTTTAATGAACCAGTGATGGATGGCTGTAGTCCTCAGAAGGCCGAAGAGTAACTAGTCTTTAATGAACCAGTGATGGATGGCTGTAGTCCTCAGATGGCTGGAGAGTAACTAGTCTTTAATGAACCAGTGATGGATGGCTGTAGTCCTCAGAGGGCTGGAGAGTAACTAGTCTTTAATGAACCAGTGATGGATGGCTGTAGTCCTCAGAGGGCTGGAGAGTAACTAGTCTTTAATGAACCAGTGATGGATGGCTGTAGTCCTCAGAGGGCTGGAGAGTAACTAGTCTTTAATGAACCAGTGATGGATGGCTGTAGTCCTCAGATGGCTGGAGAGTAACTAGTCTTTAATGAACCAGTGATGGATGGCTGTAGTCATCAGAAGGCCGAAGAGTAACTAGTCTTTAATGAACCAGTGATGGATGGCTGTAGTCCTCAGATGGCTGGAGAGTAACTAGTCTTTAATGAACCAGTGATGGATGGCTGTAGTCCTCAGAGGGCTGGAGAGTAACTAGTCTTTAATGAACCAGTGATGGATGGCTGTAGTCCTCAGAGGGCTGGAGAGTAACTAGTCTTTAATGAACCAGTGATGGATGGCTGTAGTCCTCAGAGGGCTGGAGAGTAACTAGTCTTTAATGAACCAGTGATGGATGGCTGTAGTCCTCAGAGGGCTGGAGAGTAACTAGTCTTTAATGAACCAGTGATGGATGGCTGTAGTCCTCAGAGGGCTGGAGAGTAACTAGTCTTTAATGAACCAGTGATGGATGGCTGTAGTCCTCAGAGGGCTGGAGAGTAACTAGTCTTTAATGAACCAGTGATGGATGGCTGTAGTCCTCAGAAGGCTGGAGAGTAACTAGTCTTTAATGAACCAGTGATGGATGGCTGTAGTCCTCAGAGGGCTGGAGAGTAACTAGTCTTTAATGAACCAGTGATGGATGGCTGTAGTCCTCAGAGGGCTGGAGAGTAACTAGTCTTTAATGAACCAGTGATGGATGGCTGTAGTCCTCAGAGGGCTGGAGAGTAACTAGTCTTTAATGAACCAGTGATGGATGGCTGTAGTCCTCAGATGGCTGGAGAGTAACTAGTCTTTAATGAACCAGTGATGGATGGCTGTAGTCCTCAGAGGGCTGGAGAGTAACTAGTCTTTAATGAACCAGTGATGGATGGCTGTAGTCCTCAGAGGGCTGGAGAGTAACTAGTCTTTAATGAACCAGTGATGGATGGCTGTAGTCCTCAGAGGGCTGGAGAGTAACTAGTCTTTAATGAACCAGTGATGGATGGCTGTAGTCCTCAGATGGCTGGAGAGTAACTAGTCTTTAATGAACCAGTGATGGATGGCTGTAGTCCTCAGAGGGCTGGAGATTATTTAGACTTTAATGTAAGAAAATGATCCATGGCTTTCAGTTTAGAGAGATACTTTTGAGTGTTTTGTTCCCTGGCAGTGCTGAGGAATTATGGGATTTGATTGGCCGCTGGACACAAAGGACTAATGGAGTTTTCCTTGTGATGTGGGTTACCTGGGATAGGATAAAGTAATCCTTCTACCCCCCCCCCCCCCCTTACAGTATGGTTACAGTATGGTTACAGTAAGGTTACAGTATGGTTACAGTATGGTTACAGTAAGGTTACAGTATGGTTACAGTAAGGTTACAGTATGGTTACAGTATGGTTACAGTATGGTTACAGTAAGGTTACAGTATGGTTACAGTAAGGTTACAGTATGGTTACAGTAAGGTTACAGTAAGGTTACAGTATGGTTACAGTAAGGTTACAGTATGGTTACAGTATGGTTACAGTAAGGTTACAGTAGGGTTACAGTAGGTTACATTATGGTTACAGTATGGTTACAGTAAGGTTTACAGATGGTTACAGAGGTACAGTATGGTTACAGTAAGGTTACATTATGGTTACAGTATGGTTACAGTAAGGTTACAGTATGGTTACAGTAAGGTTACAGTATGGTTACAGTAAGGTTACATTATGGTTACAGTAAGGTTACAGTATGGTTACAGTATGGTTACAGTAAGGTTACATTATGGTTACAGTATGGTTACAGTAAGGTTACAGTATGGTTACAGTAAGGTTACAGTATGGTTACAGTATGGTTACAGTAAGGTTACAGTATGGTTACAGTAAGGTTACATTATGGTTACAGTATGGTTACAGTATGGTTACAGTAAGGTTACAGTAAGGTTACAGTATGGTTACAGTAAGGTTACAGTATGGTTACAGTAAGGTTACAGTAAGGTTACAGTATGGTTACAGTAATGTTACAGTAAGGTTACAGTATGGTTACAGTAAGGTTACAGTAAGGTTACATTATGGTTACAGTAAGGTTACATTATGGTTACAGTAAGGTTACATTATGGTTACAGTATGGTTACAGTAAGGTTACAGTATGGTTACAGTAAAGTTACATTATGGTTACAGTATGGTTACAGTAAGGTTACAGTATGGTTACAGTATGGTTACAGTAAGGTTACATTATGGTTACAGTATGGTTACAGTATGGTTACAGTATGGTTACAGTAAGGTTACAGTATGGTTACAGTATGGTTACAGTATGGTTACAGTAAGGTTACAGTAAGGTTACAGTATGGTTACAGTAAGGTTACAGTAAGGTTACAGTATGGTTACAGTAAGGTTACAGTATGGTTACAGTAAGGTTACAGTATAGTTACAGTATAGTTACAGTATGGTTACAGTATGGTTACAGTAAGGTTACAGTATGGTTACAGTATGGTTGCAGTATGGTTACAGTAAGGTCTGCTAAATGGCATATTATTATTATTATTATTATTAAGGCTAATAGCTAACATGATTATGAAGATTCTTTCTCAGTCTGTCTATCTATGATGATTTCGTTTTTTGTGGAAACCATCTAAATCCTCCTCCTCCTCCTCCTCCTCCTCCTCTCCTTTTTCAATCCCTTCCCTCTTTCCTGGCTCTGAGCCGGCTAAGATTGTCTGTAGCTGAAGTGTTGTGAACAAAATAACCCCCGTCTGTAATCATCTCTATCTCTCAGGCCAATACGGATTGGGGTGTGGGTGTTGGCATGGAAGGGAGCCAATGTATTTCTAGATATTTCCCAAAGCAAATCATCTCCGTTTTTGATCTGCTGTGTCCTTGGGGATCCTTGATGCCCAGAGTCTTTACTGTTTGGCTGATAATATCCAGGAGGGAGATTCTTCCTCAGAGAAACAATCAACTGCTCCCTGTCTGTCTCTGTTGCTGCTGAGAGAATCAGGGCTCCATCCCAAATGACACACTATTCCCTTTATAGTGCACCACTTTTGACCAGGGCCCACAGCGTAGTACACTATAAAGGAAATAAGTTGCCATTTGGGACACAGTTTCTACCTTAGTTGCAGCTCTCTGTCTCTGTTGCAGCTCAGAGGAACAGCAGCTCTCTGTCGATGTTGCTGCTCAGAGGAACAGCAGCTCTCTGTCTGTCGATGTTGAAGCTCAGAGGAACAGCAGCTCTCTGTCTGTCGATGTTGCTGCTCAGAGGAACAGCAGCTCTCTGTCTGTCTCTGTTGAATCTCAGAGGAACAGCAGCTCTCTGTCTGTCGATGTTGCAGTTCAGAGGAACAGCAGCTCTCTGTCTGTCGATGTTGCAGCTCAGAGGAACAGCAGCTCTCTGTCTGTCTCTGTTGCTGCTCAGAGGAACAGCAGCTCTCTGTCTGTCGATGTTGCAGCTCAGAGGAACAGCAGCTCTCTGTCTGTCGATGTTGCTGCTGACAGCTGACTATGGGCTTTTCATTCTGCTGCTATGCTGTTGTGATTCACACGTCTGGCCTGAGAACATCTGCGCTGGGTTATTAACTCAGCTATGTGGAAAATGCACTCCTGTATTGGTGAGGGCGGTGCATGTCGGTTGGCAGGACGAGACAACTTCCTGCTCTGATACAAATTATTCATCAGAAGTCCCCATGGGTTGGGCATCAGGCTGAAACAATACCTGCCGTTGAAAATAAATAATTATAGTTACATACTGTATCTTGTGTTGTTACAGCTTACCCAAGCTCCTCATGTTCTGTCGGTGCCCGTCACCTGGGTGAGAGAGGGAGGCATGGTACAGCTGGGGAAGAGGTATCTGAGGGCAGGGTATCAGGGTGCCAGTGATGACCAGATTGTCTACACCATAGTGCGCTCCAAAGGAAGACCCAAACATGGTACGGTACATAACCTTATCCCCCAAACATGGTACGGTACATAACCTTATCCCCCAAACATGGTACGGTACATAACCTTATCCCCCAAACATGCTCCTGTTTCTGCTCACTCACACTGTGTTCATTTGGTAATGATGCTAATTTGTCTTTCTGACTTTCGCTTCCATCCCACATCGCTCTCATACCCTTAATTATCCCCCCCTTACCCTCGCTCTCTCTCCCTTCCTTCCTCTCTCTCTCCTCTCCTCTCTCCTCTCTCCTTCCTTCCTCTCTCCTCTCTCTCTCCCTTCCTTTCTCTCTCCTCTCTCCTCTCTCTCTCTCCCTTCCTTCCTTCCTCTCTCCTCTCTCTCTCTCCCTTCCTTTCTCTCCCCCCTACCCTCTCTCTCTCTCCCTTCCTGATTCTCTCCCCCCTACCCTCTCTTTCTCCCTTCTGATTCGCTCTCCTCTACCCTCTCTCTCTCCCTTCCTTCCTCTCTCCTCTACCCTCTCTCCCTTCCTGATTCTTTCCCCCCTACTCTCTCTCTCTCCCTTCCTGATTCTTTCCCCCTACTCTCTCTCTCTCCCTTCCTGATTCTTTCCCCCCTACTCTCTCTCTCTCCCTTCCTGATTCTTTCCCCCCTACCCTCTCTCTCTCCCTTCCTGATTCTTTCCCCCCTACCCCTCTCTCTCCCTTCCTGAATTCTTTTCCCCCCTACCCTCTCTCTCTCCCTTCCTTCCTCTCTCCTCTACCCTCTCTCTCCCTTCCTGATTCTTTCCCCCCTACCCTCTCTCTCTCCCTTCCTGATTCTTTACCCCCTACTCTCTCTCTCTCCCTTCCTGATTCTTTACCCCCTACTCTCTCTCTCTCCCTTCCTGATTATTTCCCCCCTACTCTCTCTCTCTCCCTTCCTGATTCTTTACCCCCTACTCTCTCTCTCTCCCTTCCTGATTATTTCCCCCCTACCCTCTCTCTCTCCCTTCCTGATTCTTTCCCCCCTACCCTCTCTCTCCCTTCCTGATTCTTTCCCCCCCTACCCTCTCTTACCACCCCTCCTCCTTCTCTCTTTTACCCTCTCCCCCTCCAGGTGAAGTGGTGTTGGTGCCCATGCAGGCCGACGGCCCGGTGGAAGGTTGGCAGCCCTCGCCTGATGACAGAATCTCTACCCCCACCTCCTCCTTCACTCAGCAGGATGTGAATGAGGGCACTGTGTGGTACAAACACTTTGGCATTGCCGGGGCCAGTGGGCCGCAAGGAGAAACCTTCCAGTTCCAGGTGAGTGGAGATTGTGTGCCCATTGTGCCCCTACCCACCTGCCTGCCAGCTGGCCTGTCTGTCTGTTCTCACTGGGCACAAGCTCACAAACAAACCCACCAACTAACCACTTTTATATTTTGGATCCATCTTCTAAGGTGAATGTGTTTTAATGATGTAGTGTGACATTTCAAACGATAACCTTTCAGAAGTGTCTCTTCATGATTTTTTTAAAAGACCCAGTGAAGGTATAACCCTGTCTGAAGGTATAACCCTGTCTAAAGGTATAACCCTGTCTGAAGGTATAACCCTGTCTGAAGGTATAACCCTGTCTAAAGGGTATAACCCTGTCAAATCTAAAGATGGTCAGATGTTTTCATCATTAGTGAATGCTGTCATGTTCCAAGTGGTCTTTTGTGACAGCCTTATTAACATTCAAACTGAATTGGTTCTGGAGATGATCTTCTAAGGCTTGTGTGTTGGTAGATCAACACTCATCTATTAATATGACATTATGTCACTGAGTTATTGGTTTTATTGAGCTGTGTGGTGACACGTAAAATCCACAGGGTTAAAATAGAGGGTACAGGGTAAATTAGAGGGTACAGGGTAAATTAGAGGGTACGGGGTAAATTAGAGGGTACGGGTAAATAGAGGGTACAGGGTAAAATAGAGGGTACAGGGTAAAATAGAGGGTACAGGGTAAAATATAGGGTACAGGGTAAATTAGAGGGTACAGGGTAAATTAGAGGGTACAGGGTAAATTAGAGGGTACAGGGTAAAATAATTTAGAAGAACGTGGCATATTAACTTACTGTAGAGATGCTGCTGACATACTGCAGCATATTCTACTATTTAGGGTTTCACATAAAATCACTGCATACTGGTACATACATAACAGTTTATATGTTATAAGCACTCGTACATGTTCATAACTAGCTCGTAACCTGTCATAGCAATGCATAATTTACCTAGTTCTATGTCACAGACAACAGGTCCAATACTTCCTACATTACTTTAACATGTTACCCTTTCCATAATGCATTCAGACTTTCTAGTCAGGTGAACGATGTTCTATACTAGAAGTCTCTAAATTCATCTTCTATTCCAGACAGTCCTATACCCTTACCCTTTTCATTCATTTTCCCTTTTTTACCTTACCCTTCTACCATTTACAGCTTCTACCCAGTTGCAGGCTTTTCTACCAGTTACAGTCCTTCTACCCAGTGCAGTCTTCTACCCAGTTACAGTCCTTCTACCAGTTCAGTCCTTCTACCCAGTTGCAGTCCTTCTACCCAGTTACAGTCCTTCTACCCAGTTACAGTCCTTCTATCCAGTTGCAGTCCTTCTACCCAGTTACAGTCCTTCTACAGTTACAGTCCTTCTACCAGTTACAGTCCTTCTACCCAGTTACAGTCCTTCTACCAGTTACAGTCCTTCTACCAGTTACAGTCCTTCTACCAGTTCAGTCCTTCTACCAGTTACAGTCCTTCTATCCAGTTACAGTCCTTCTACCCAGTTACAGTCCTTCTACCCAGTTACAGTCCTTCTACCCAGTTACAGTCCTTCTATCCAGTTACAGTCCTTCTACCCAGTTACAGTCCTTCTACCCAGTTACAGTCCTTCTACCCAGTTACAGTCCTTCTACCCAGTTACAGTCCTTCTATCCAGTTACAGTCCTTCTATCCAGTTACTGTCTTCTACCCAGTTCAGTCCTTCTATCCAGTTCTACAGTCCTTCTATCCAGTTACAGTCCTTCTACCCAGTTACAGTCCTTCTATCCAGTTACAGTCCTTCTATCCAGTTACAGTCCTTCTATCCAGTTACAGTCCTTCTATCCAGTTACAGTCCTTCTATCCAGTTACAGTCCTTCTATCCAGTTACAGTCCTTCTATCCAGTTACAGTCCTTCTATCCAGTTACAGTCCTTCTATCCAGTTACAGTCCTTCTAAGTCCATTATACAGTCCTTCTATCCAGTTACAGTCCTTCTATCCAGTTACAGTCCTTCTATCCAGTTACAGTCCTTCTAGTCCAGTTACAGTCCTTCCCATTACGCCTCATCCTTTACATCTTCTACCCAGTTACAGTCCTTCTATCCAGTTACAGTCCTTCTATCCAGTTACAGTCCTTCTATCCAGTTACAGTCCTTCTATCCAGTTACAGTCCTTCTATCCAGTTACAGTCCTTCTATCCAGTTACAGTCCTTCTATCCAGTTACAAGTCCTTCTATCCAGTTACAGTCCTTCTACCCAGTTACAGTCCTTCTACCCAGTTACAGTCCTTCTACCCAGTTACAGTCCTTCTATCCAGTTACAGTCCTTCTATCCAGTTACAGTCCTTCTATCCAGTTACAGTCCTTCTATCCAGTTACAGTCCTTCTATCCAGTTACAGTCCTTCTACCAGTTCAGTCCTCTATCTAGTACGTCCTTCTACCCAGTTACAGTCCTTCTATCCAGTTACAGTCTTCTATCAGTTACAGTCCTTCTATCCAGTTACAGTCCTTCTACCAGTTACAGTCCTTCACCCTAGTTACAGTCCTTCTACCCAGTTACAGTCCTTCTATCCAGTTACAGTCCTTCTATCTAGTTACAGTCCTTCTATCCAGTTACAGTCCTTCTATCCAGTTACAGTCCTTCTATCTAGTTACAGTCCTTCTATCCAGTTACAGTCCTTCTATCCAGTTACAGTCCTTCCTCATCCTCTTCCAGGTGTCCAGTGAGGGTTCTCCAGACACACTCAGTGATGCTCAGACCTTCACCATCGGAGTGATGCCTGAACTCCCAGGGTTCCCCCAGCCTGCACCCAGCTGTGACCTACAGATAACTGTAAAGGAGAAACATGACCAGGGGAAAACAGGCACTATCTCACTGTGGCATAGTCGCATATTATGTATATGTTTATGTTCGTGTGAGATGGATGTATGAGTGTGTGTGTGTGTGTGTGCGTGTGCGTGTGCGTGTGTCTGTGTGAGATCTGTGAATTCCTCCTGTTCATCTGTAAGAGCATGCTGATGTGTATCTGAGATATCATTTTGTTTTATCAGTGTTTGATGCCACAACTTTATCTCTTGTGTGGTTATGTTGTGTTTGTGTGTGTGTGTTCGTCTTTCTGTGTGTGTGTGTGTGTGTGTGTGTGTGTGTGTGTGTGTGTGTGTGTGTGTGTGTGTGTGTGTGTGTGTGTGTTCGTCTTTCTCTGTGTGTGTGTGTGTGTGTGTGTGTGTGTGTGGTGTTGTGTGTGTGTGTCGTCTTTCTCTCTGTGTGTGTGTGTGTGTGTGGTGTGTGTGTGTGTTCGTCTTTCTGTGTGTGTGTGTGGTGTGTGTGTGTGTGTGTGTCCATGCAGGCTCTGGAAGATCACGTGACGGTGCTAACACCCACAGCTTTGTCCTTTGTGGACTCTGAGACACCCAGTGAAAAGCTTGTCTACAACATCACCAAGCCCCTACCTCAAGGACAAGGTCATCTACACTGCCATCCACACACACACACACACACACACACACACACACACACACACACACACACACACACACACACACACACACATAAAGTACATCCATCTCACACACACTTCTCAGTAGAGGAGCAGACATCAGGGGAAGTACTCATGTAAGCTAATTATCTCCACTGTCAAAGCAGATAGAAGGAGGACGCCCATGGCCAGTTAGAACAAACTATCACTATCAGTCCAAGCTAGCTGGAGATCTTTCTCTCGTAAAAATGTGATTATAAAATAACCTTAACCCTAACCTTAGCCACACTGCTAACCGTATGCCTTAACCTAACATTGACCTTAAATTTATAACAATTAGCTCATATTCTTTTTTCAGCCAATTTTGACTTTGTAGCTTGGCCACATAGTAGGAAGCAGCTAACACAGGATCCATAATAAACTCACGTCCTATGTAAACCCAGGTTCTGTGGAGCATCGTGACAGAGCCTACAACCCAGTGTCCTTCTTCACCCAAGCTGACGTCAACCAGGGCCGGATCCTGTACCGCCCTCCCCAGGCCCCCTCTCACCTCCAGGAGCTCTACCAATTCTCTTTCACTGGTGAGTACACGCCAAATCAAATCAAATCAAATCAAAATGTTATTTGTCACATACTCGTGTTTAGCAGATGTTATTGCGGGTGAAGCGAAATGCTTGTGCTTCTAGATCTGACAGTGCAGTAATATCTAACAAGTCATATCTAAAAAATTCACAACATATACCCAATACACACAAAACTAGTAAGGAATGGGATTTAAGAATATATACAGATATGGACAAGCAATGACAGAGCGGCATGGACTAAGATACAGTAGAATATTATAGAATACAGTATATACATATGAGATGAGTAGTGCAAGATATGTAAACATTATTAAAGTGACTAGTGTTCCATTTCTTAAAGTGGCCAGTGATTTCAATAGGCAGCAGCAGCCTCTAATGTGCTAGTGATGGCTATTTAACAGTCTGATGGCCTTGAGATAGAAGCTGTTTTTCATTCTCTCGGTCCCAGCTTTGATGCACCTGTACTGACCTCGCCTTCTGGATGATAGCGGGGTGAACAGGCAGTGGCTCGGGTGGTTGATGTCCTTGATGATCTTTTTGGCCTTCCTGTGACATCGGGTGCTGTATGTGTCTTGGAGGGCAGGTAGTTTGCCCCCGATAATGCGTTCGGCAGACCGCACCACCCCTGGAGAGCCCTGCGGTTGTGGGCGGTGCAGTTGCCGTACCAGGTGGTGATACAGCCCGACAGGATGCTCTCAATTTGTGCATCTGTAAAAGTTTGAGGTTTTAGGTGCTAAGCCGAATTTCTTCATGCCTCCTGAGGTTGAAGAGGCTCTGTTGCACCTTCTTCACCATACTGTCTGCGTGGGTGGACCATTTCAGTTTGTCGGTGATGTGTACGCCAAGGAACTTGAAGCTTTCCACCTTCTCCACTGCGGTCCCGTCGATGTGGATAGGGGGGTGCACCCTCTGCTGTTTCCTGAAGTCCACAATCATCTCCTTTGTTTTGTTGATGTTGAGTGGGAGGTTATTTTCCTGGCACCACACTCCCAGAGCCCTCACCTCCTCCCTGTAGGCGGTCTCGTCATTGTTAGTAATCAAGCCTACTACTATTGAAGTGGGTCTAGGGTGGCAGGTAAGGTAGAGGTGATGTGATCCTTGACTAGTCTCTCAAAGCACTTCATGATGACAGAGGTGAGTGCTACAGGGCAATAGTCATTTAGTTCAGTTACCTTTGCTTTCTTGGTTACAGGAACAATGGTGGCCATCTTGAAGCATGTGGGAACAGCAGACTGGGATAGGGAGAGATTGAATATGTCCATAAACACACCAGCCAGCTGGTCTGCGCATGCTCTGAGGAGACAGCTAGGGATGCCGTCTGGGCCGGCAGCCTTGCGGGGGTTAACATGCTTAAATGTCTTAATCACGTCGGCCATGGAGAAGGAGAGGCCACAGTCCTTGGTAGTGGGCCTCGTCAGTGGCACTGTGTTATCCTCAAAGTGGGCGAAGAAGGTGTTTAGCTTGTCTGGAAGCGAGACATCGGTGTCGGTGACGTGGCTGGTTTTCCTTTTGTAGTCCGTGATTGTCTGTAGACCCTGCCACATATGTCTTGTGTCTGAGCCGTTGAATTGCGACTCCACTTTGTCTCTATACTGATGTTTTGCCAGTTTAATTGCCTTGCAGAGTGAGTAGCCACACTGTTTGTATTCTGCCACCCAGTCACCTTGCCATGGATGAATGCGGTGGTTCGCGCTTTCAGATTTGCGCGAATGCTACCATCTATCCACGGTTTCTGGTTAGAGTAGGTTTTAATAGTCACAGTGGGCACAACATCACCTATACACTTCTTGATAAACCCAGTCACTGTTTCAGTGTATACGTCTAAATTATTTTCGGAAGCTACCCGGAATATATCCCAATCCGCGTGATCAAAACAATCTTGAAGCGTGGATTCCGATTGGTCAGACCAGCGTTGAATAGTCCTTAGCACGGGTACTTCCTGTTTGAGTTTCTGCCTATTGGAAGGGAGAAGCAAAATGGAGTCGTGGTCAGATTTGCCGAAAGGAGGGCGGGTGAGGGCCTCATAACCATCCCGGAAGTTCGAATAGCAATGGTCGAGGGTTTTTGCAGCGTGAGTGCAACAGTCGATTTGTTGATAGAACTTCGGCAGTCCTCAAATTTGCTTTGTTAAAATCCCCGGCAACAATAAATGCAGCCTCTGGATATGTGGTTTACAGTTTGCATAAAGTCCAGTGAAGTTCTTTGAGGGCCGTCGTGGTATCGCCTTGAGGGGGGATATACACGGCCGTGACTATAACCAAAGAAATTATCTTGGGAAATAATATGGTCGGCATTTGATTGTGAGATATTCTAGGTCGGGTGAACAGAAGGACTTGAGTTCCTCTATGTTACTACAATTACACCTTGAGTCATTAATCATGAAACACACACCTACGCCCTTCTGCTTCCCGGAGAGATATTTATTCCTGTCTGCGCGATGAACTGAGAACCCATCTGGCTGGACCGATTCCGACAGAATATCCCAAGAGAGCCATGTTTCTGTGAAACAGAGTATGTTACAGGCCTTGATGTCTCTCTGGAAAGAAATCCTTTCCCGTAGTTCGTCGAGCTTGTTAACCAGAGGCTGAACATTAGCGAGTAGTATACTTGGAAGCGGTGGGTGGTGTGCGCGCCTCCTAAGTCGAACCAGCAGGCCGCTCCGAGTGCCTCTCCTCCGCCGGCAATGTTTTGGGTCAGCCGCTGGAATCAGTTCAGTTGCCCTGGGGAGAGCAAACAAAGGATCTGCTTCGGGAAAGTCGTATTCTTGGTCGTAATTGCTGGTGAGTTACTGCCGCTCTGATATCCAATAGTTTTTCCCGGCTGTATGTAATGATGCCAAACACTTTCTGAGCTAATAATGTAATACATAAAAAACGAAATACTGCAAAGTTTCCTAAGAGCTAGTCGCGAGGCCGTCATCTTCGTCGGTGCCTAGTGTAAGAACTAGCCAATGACGACAAAGCCATCGATCACGTGACACCATTCATTCCTATGTGAAGGCTCAATAGCGCATTGAAGCCAAATGAAGTCGGTTAAGATGGCGTTGCATGGAGACATAACATGCGCCATTTGAACTACTCCAGGAAGTGACGTTGTAGGCTAGCTCGGTGCTGCCCCCTTTCATTGAGTACCTGAAGCAGAAGGTCGACCGGGGGAATGCAGGCTGAACTATCCTTATAACTTCTCCTCTGTGCAGTTTTATTTTAAAATAACCGGTTCAAGGACATACATCTGTTGTATTAGAACCAATTATTGGTACCATGAATTTTTTCAATTTTTTAAAATTATTTACACAAAGATTGCCATTCTTCCATTCACTATAATGGCGGATCCTGTTTTCCGCAAAGAAATGCCTGCAGTACCGCGGTCGGCCTTGAACTTCCGTGGCTTCAATGACAGGGGGCGGTCGTTCTCCCCTGGTACTCACTCACACACACGCACACACACACACACACGCACACGCACCCACACACACACCCACACACACACACGCACACACACACACATGCACTTACACACACTCACACTCAAACACACAAAAACATACTCAGGTAGTGCCAAGCACACACACACATACGCTGCCGAGCATGTGGTTAGATCCCCCCCCCCCCCCCCCCACTCCCCTCCCATTTAAACTAACTCTGACCCCAGTCTCTCACATGAACAAAGCATTAAACGCAAGCCAGTCGCACTCAGTCACACTGTGGGTTAATGGGCTGTAAGTGCAACTGGGTAACCATGGCGGTTCCTTGTTAATTCTTCTGTTTAGATTTCACAATGTCTGTTAACAGCTCACTGGAATGTGGAGCTTTCAGTGGACAGTACATAGCCTCATAAGGCCATAGGGAGGTTGGATTGTAGGTAGGACTCTTTGCTCTGTGAATGTCTCTGAGGGAAAACAACTGTAGGAGCTGGTTTCAGGGACCTAGATTACTTAATGGTCAATAATACATGTTCAAAGGAGTCTGAATCTTTAAATGTATTTTTAGATGTAAATGTTTCACTAGCTAACTAAGAGGAGCTAGAAGTTGTTTTAGGTTTTTGGTCTAGCGGGGTCGTTCCACGAAATGGCCTTTTTGCGTCCCTTTGATATTTTAAGGAGAAATTGTGCACCAATATTGAATTTTAAAAAGCCTTATATTGAATGAAGTGCACTTTAATATAGACCACATGGATAATTCAATAAATCTGATTTGTATATGAATAAAGACTTGCTAAAGTGCCAAAATTCAGCATTTTGACATGTCCCTTCTAGGAAGATTTGAACCCACTTAATCCCAAAATGTGTCCAAGTTTCACCATTATTGTAAAGCCCTAGTTATTTTGCTGCTTTGACAAAGTCATTTCTGAAGATTATTATGTATATTCATGTGATTAGTGATGCATTTACATCTGTCCCTCATTTTAAGGTAAACCCTGTTATGCAAATATTGGACCTCTTTAAAATAATGTACCATTCCACCAAGTTAAATTATTCACAGCAGATGACATCGTTTGGGTCTTCTGAACAGCATGGTGAAAAGGAAGTCAGTGTTCTCTCAACCCTGTTCACTCAATTCATGTTAGGAAAACTTAAATTTGAATAAACTTTTCATTGTGTAATTTCATGAACACCATGTGGTCCTATGCTCTTCACCACATGAGGAGTAATGGCCGATCTTCACCTAAAACCTCAACCCTGTTATCGTCAACCCTGTTAGAGGCCCAACTAACTTTATCAATTTGATATTATATGTGAGTTTATTTGTACACGGGATAATTAAACAATAAGAAAATGTTGGATTTTTTGCAAACGTTTTTAAATAATAATTAGGAAGTTACATAAGTGTCCGTAACAGGGTTGACAGACAGTGTGGTACAAGTCCAGATAAAATGTTGTTAATTCATAAGATTTTAATGCCTGAGATGGGGAAAAGTGTTTTTCTGTAGGCTAAACATATCCTCCATGCAACTGAATGTTGAAAGAACAGATATTTTTAAAGTTCATTTCTTAAAAGTTTGCATGTCCAAAAGGCACCCATTTCGTAAAACGACCCAGCTATTTACTTTCATTTTATTTCCATTTATGCTCTATTCTGCCTGGTAACTGTGACTAGACCTAGAGGGAATAAAACACGGTTATCCATCTGCTGCTTGGTCACTTTTTACCATCTCTGTGTGTTTGTGTTACAGCAGCAGATGGATAACCGTGTTTTATTCCCTCTAGGTCTCCCAGAGTCTATTTCACATTATATTACCTCTATGGCTGTGGCTTAGAGAGGATGGCAATCATACCCTCCCTCTCCTCCTCCTCCTCCTCTCGTCCTCTCCTCCTCCTCCTCTCCTCCTCAGTAAGTACAGTTACAGCCAATACAGTAACTACAGTCAGTACAGTAACTACAGCCAGTACAGTAACTACAGTCAATGCAGTAACTACAGACAGTATAGTAACTACAGTCAGTACAGTAACTACAGTCAGTACAGTAACTACAGTCAGTACAGTAACTACAGCCAGTACAGTAACTAAGTCATGCAGTACTACGACAGTATAGTAACTACAGTCAGTACAGTAACTACAGTCAGTACAGTAACTACAGCCAGTACAGTAACTACAGACAGTACAGTAACTACAGACAGTACAGTAACTACAGTCAGTACAGTAACTACAGACAGTACAGTAACTACAGACAGTACAGTAACTACAGCCAGTACAGTAACTACAGTCAGTACAGTAACTACAGCCAAAGCAGTAACTACAGTCAGTACAGTAACTACAGACAGTACAGTAACTACAGACATTACAGTAACTACAGACAGTATAGTACAGTAACTACAGTCAGTACAGTAACTACAGACAGTATAGTACAGTAACTACAGTCAGTACAGTAACTACAGACAGTATAGTACAGTAACTACAGTCAGTACAGTAACTACAGCCAGTACAGTAACTACAGTCAGTACAGTAACTACAGACAGTACAGTAACTACAGCCAGTACAGTAACTACAGCCAGTACAGTAACTACAGCCAGTACAGTAACTACAGCCAGTACAGTAACTACAGACAGAACAGTAACTAGCGTAGAATCCCGTATTATCGGCATATTCAACAGCGTTTAAGAAATATATTACCTTCAACAGTGTTATCTTGTGATATAGCCTTCAATGTTTTGTGATTATTGGTGTCGTAAAAATGTTAGCTAACGGGTTAGCAATTAGCAAGTTTGACATTTCATTGGAAATACTACTGTTATCAGCTTTTGATAAGCGGTTTGGCAAAAAAATACATCCCGTATTATCGGCATACGGCCCCAAGTTATTGGCCACCTTACTATTTTGTTCAATTACAAGATATATCCGTTTAATTTTGTTGAAAAAAGAGACACCAACCAAAGTACCCGAAGTGTTTACTAGATAGTTGACTAGTTGGCTAGTCTTCCGGTAAAAAAATAATGATTTGCCTGTCAACTTTTCATTGCGTAGCCCAGTGCGCCCTCCTGTGGACTCTTAAAAAATGGTTCTTCACCAACATATTCAGTGTTGTAACCAAATAAAATATGAGTATTAATAATTTACATCAAATACACTTTAATTTCAGTTATGTGCATTAACATTAACAATGAAAACACTGTTGGAGTTTGTGTTGCAGAGCTGCACTTGGAAAGTAAAGGAAGAAATACACAAGATGGGTTCAATAAATATATATATTATATTTTAGACATTAATTTTTTTGAACAAATAAATAATTTCATATGAACACCAACAAAACAAACAATTAAATCTCGACCTCCATCCCTATATTGTCACAAAAATCACAATAATAATCCAGCTCCACCGCTACCTCTGGATCCCACTGCACACACCTGCAGTGGGACCAGTGCTGGCAGAAGTCACAGCACAACCACGGCACCTCGGATCTACACTCCTGAGAGGAGCTTGCAGGCGGATCACGCTCCCCGCAGCGAGCACAGCAGGTGGTGTCTTCTTTTATAAAAAAATAAATAATACAAAATTGATTAATATGGTTTTGCAAAATGTAGAAGTTCTTCAACAACAATAGTAATTGACACAACTGAGAGAGCGAGAAAAACAGATGATGAAGTACCTGAGAGTGGTGCCATGGGTGGCGTGACAGATGTAGCTTTTCTCTTCCTTTTCTGTGCTGCAGTTTGAGTTGTGTTAGACAGAGCATGTTGCATGAAAACCCTTTTCAACTTTTTTACATCAATACCTCTGGAGGAAGCTGCAGAGGTTTTGGAGGAGGTGGAGATGACTTGAGGGCTGGTGCTATGTACTGTAGATATGTAAAGATATATATTTTTTACATTGCTGTTTTATAAAACAGATAACAAACAGTCATTTTTTCGTAATTTAACATGTGTTTACCTGTGGAGGTGGTGGTATTCAAATTGCAGGGGGCAGGGACACCAGACGAGGCTGCTATGGTGGTGTGACCAGGGGAGACGGAGGAGGCTGTTGGTCCAGAGGAGGCCGTGTTGGTGGTGACAGACAGGGGAGACGGAGGAGGCTGTTGGTCCAGAGGAGGCCGTGTTGGTGGTGACAGACATGGGGGGTGGTGTGCATTGGGGTGGTGGTGGACAAAACCGCCGACGATGGCTTGGAGGAGCTGGTGTTTGTAATGGTGGGGTTGAGGGGCCGACGATGGTGTGGCCGGGAGAGTAGGCATGTGGCCTTCTTCTGCAGCTGGGGACTCCGGCGGCTCCTACAGGTGTTGCACACTGGGAGGCACTGGCAGTGGTGATGCAGCTGTCAGGTGTGGTTCCAGCAGGGGGTCCAGCAGAGGCGATGGCGTCAATGGTCTCATCCATGGCAGCCCTCTCCTGTGCCCTCTGTGTTCTGAGGGCTGCCCGACGCTCTTTCTCCTCTGCCTCGGCCCTCTCCTTCTCACCCCTCTCCTGCCACTGGCGCGTGTATTCCTCCCCGGTGAGGCATGTGGCAACCACAGGGAGTCTTCTGTATCGGTCCAGCCGATACTTCAGGACAGTAAGGATGTGCCCCAGGTCCTTCGCTATCAGCCCCCCCTCTATTAGGGGGTGCTCTTCTAGAGCTAGGGATGGGACTGGAGCAGGGGCTGAGACTGGAGCAGGGGCTGAGGGTCCTCCGTGGTCACTGGGGAGGAGGTGCTGATGGATGGCACAGTGCTGCTGGTTCCAGTAGAGGCGGTGTTGGGACCACACTTCTTAAACCCTTCCACCACATAGCGCATGTCCTTGCATTGCTGGTATGGGTAGCGGAATACTCTGGCAAATTCTGATTTGTTTACCATGTAGGAGTGGTCAAAATGGCTAAGGTCTCCAGCTACCTTGGAGAACTCAGCCTTTAAAGGGCCAAAGTATGCCACGTCCAGCGGCTGCAGGACATGGGTGCAGTGTGGTGGAAGACAAAGAAGTATAACTCCTTCCCTTAGTGCCGCCGCGAGCACCTCCGGGTCCATGTGGCTCTTGTGCCCATCGAAGAGGAGAAGGAGAGGGCGCTCTTTCACTGCATGCTTATTGAAGTGCTGAAACCACTTCCTGAACAGGTCCCCGTCAATGTAGCCACTGCTTGACCGTCCATACAAGGCTTGGGGGGGGCCTCCCAGTGTGTAGTGGCCACCGGGGAAACACTTGGGGTAGATGATGAACGGGGGGACGTCCTCCCCAGTTGCATGGAAGCAGGCCAGCACTGTGATGTGCTCCTTGGTCCCCGGAGCCTGCTGGTACACGTGTTTTGCGCCCCGGGGAGCCAGCACTTTGTGCCTGCTCTGGTCGCTACAAAACCCAGACTCATCGCAGTTATAGATTTGTCTGGGTTTCTCCCTCAACCCACTCTCCTCCAAGTGCTTCTCATAAGAAGTGAAGAAGGTGTCCATCGTCAGACGTGTGGCACACTCAGCTCTCCCCCTGTCCAGGGTGTCCGGCCTCCTCATGCTTAGGTTCTTGTGCCTCCTCCTGAACATTTCCCACCACCTCTTCCCCAGTGTGCCGAAACCTACAATATAATTGTTTCCCCTGGGTGCCGAAACCTACAATAGAATAGAATACATATAATTGTCCATCCAGGATGAAAATGTTTGTTTTGGCATCACCATACACATCCACATTTACATCACACACATTGAGAACAGTCAGTCCACCAATCTACATACATAAACACATAGAACACAAAATACCTGTGTATTTTGTCGGCGTATTTCATCAGCCTCTGTCTGGTGAAGGGGAACCCATGGCTGGCGCAGTAGATACAGTACTGCACCAGATACTTTTCATCCTCTGGTGCAAGCAATGTGGGTGGTCCACTGCGATAACCACGGGTCACCCGGCCGCTCAGCCTGTCCGCCGAGGTACACCATGCACCTTGGTAGATAAGAAAAGAAAAATGTTACTAGCAGATAAAATTCACATACACATGGTAATCTCCTAAAAACAAAAGATGCCTAACCTTGGCAGCCTGGCGGATAGCCATCCCTGCCCTGCAGTCCTCCATGGCATGGAACATGTCCACCTCACTCCATTGCTTCCTCTTGACTTTCTCCATGCTGCAGTGGTAAATACATGTAGCTAAATAACTTGGCATATTATACATATTTTAGAAAGATAACTCAATCTGAATATGTACAAACATTTACATTTCAAAGCTAAGGCATTGAAAGGTGATGAACGGTTTCACAATTGTCACAAGCTGATGTGGATGCGGTGTTGGAGTCAGGCGCAGGACACAGAAGCTCAGTCAAAACGACTTTACTAGTCAACAAGAAAAATACAAAATAACGGGCCTCAAACACTGGAGGCGAGCGATTACGCATACAGTGCGTAAATACACAATCAACTCGATAACAAATATCTTATATCAACGGACAGGCGGACAATCACACACAACTGCAAACAAAACTAAAGGAAACTTATAGGTGACCTAATCAATACATAACACGAAACAGGTGCACTAACAAGACAAGACCAAACAAACATCGAGACATCAAGAGGTAGTAGCTAGTACTCCGGGGACGACGAACGCCGAAGCCTGCCCGAGCAAGGAGGAGGAGCAGTCTCGGCGGAATTCGTGACAACAATAACTGAAAGTGTACCCACGTTTTTTGTTTGATGTTATCTGTAATGAAAATTAGTGTCCCAATTAGTGTAATATTGATACATACATTGTACAATTTGAATAAATACTACCTCTATGTAGCTGTTGTAAGATGAAACATAGCCAACTGTGATACAGTGAGGAAAAAAAGTATTTGATCCCTTGCTGATTTTGTACGTTTGCACACTGACAAAGAAATGATCAGTCTATAATTTTAATGGTAGGTTTATTTGAACAGTGAGAGACAGAATAACAACAACAAAATCCAGAAAAACGCATGTCAAAAATGTTATAAATTGATTTGCATTTTAATGAGGGAAATAAGTATTTTACCAAAAAACACACATCCAGGCTGTGTAAGGGCTATTTGACCAAGGAGGAGAGTGATGGAGTGCTGCATCAGATGACCTGGCCTCCACAATCACCCGACCTCAACCCAATTGAGATGGTTTGGGATGAGTTAGACCGCAGAGTGAAGGAAAAGCAGCCAACAAGTGCTCAGCATTTGTGGGAACTCCTTCAAGACTGTTGGAAAAGCATTCCAGGTGAAGCTGGTTGAGAGAATGCCAAGAGTATGCAAAGCTGTCATCAAGGTAAAGGGTGGCTACTTTGAAGAATCTAAAATATATTTTGATTTGTTGAACACTTTTTTGGTTACTACATGATTCCATTTACATTACATTTACATTTTAGTCATTTAGCAGACGCTCTTATCCAGAGCGACTTACAGTTAGTGAATACATTTTTTTTTTTTTTTTATACTGGCCCCCCGTGGGAATCGAACCCACAACCCTGGCGTTGCAAACGCCATGCTCTATCAACTGAGCTACATCCCTGCCGGCCATTCCCTCCCCTACCCTGGACGACGCTGGGCCAATTGTGCGCCGCCCATGAGTCTCCCGGTCGCGGCCGGCTGCGACAGAGCCTGGATTCGAACCAGGATCTCTAGTGGCACAGTTTGCACTGCGATGCAGTGCCTTAGACCACTGCGCCACTCAGGAGTATTCCATATGTGTTATTTCATAGTTTTGATGTCTTCGCTATTATTCTACAATGCAGAAAATAGTAAAAATAAAGAAAAACCCTTGAATGAGTAGGTGTGTCCAAACTTTTGACTGGTACTGTAGGTTAAGAGAAACAGTCATGCGTTGTGAGATCGTCAAGAGCTGGTGTTCTTTGATGTCTTTCTGGTCCTAGATATCTCTTATTTTCGCTCTTATTTAATGTTTTTTTTCCCCAACATGTCCATTTTGACTAGTAAATTCCTTGCTTGCATTGCGTTTCACCTTTAATACTGTACATTCCATACTGTACCTTTCCAATTGTCACTATGGCATTCCTACCAGCTCATGCTGAAACCCATTGATACCATTTCATACGTTGTTTTTTAGGTGATGTTTATTGGTGCTATTTAGTAACAATTATTCCCGACAGCTTGGATATATGTGTATAATCTTTACATCGTTATTTGGATTTATAATGTATTAAGGTTCTTTAATTCCACTCCTTTGAGAAATAAATGATGTATTTTAATATTTATACCGTAAGTGGATCAACACTTAGTGCTTTTTATATTTCCCCAAAGTGCCGTTTAAAACGTTCCTCTCCTGGGGACTAAGAAGACAATTTGCCAAATATGTTTGTGTGTTTATCTATCCCCTGTGTGTGTGTGTATCTATCCCCTGTGTGTGTGTCTGTGTTCCAGTGTCGGATGGGGAACACACTACTCCAGAGATGGACTTTGCCATCCAGCTGTTGGTCAACCACCAGCAGCCCCCCGTCTTCCAGATCCTAGACCCTGTTCTGGAGGTCAGCATGGGGGGACAAACCCCTATAGGTAAGACTACCCACACACACACACACACACACACAACAAACACACGCACACACACACACACGCACACACACACACACACACACAACAAGCACACGCACACACACACACACAACTGGTCCAGGGTCATATATTGGGTTTTCCTTCTATTAGTTAAGGGAAGTTAAGATTGAATTGTAGTGTAAGGGGAATTACTTCTGTAGAGAATAGAGTAGGAGCCTGAAAATGGAAGTTGCCAAATTTCTTTACAATTTTGCACATGGTCTGAATTGACCTCTATACCAGGCGGTGTCAGAGGAAGGCCCTCAAAATTGTCAAAGACTCCAGTCACCCTAGTCATAGACTGTTCTCTCTGCTACCGCACGGCAAGCGGTACCGGAGTGCCAAGTCTAGGTCCAAAAGACTTCTCAACAGCTTCTACCCCCAAGCCATAAGACTCCTGAACAGCTAATCATGGCTACCCTGGACTATTTGCACTGCCCCCCCACCCCATCCTTTTTTACGCTGCTGCTACTCTGTTAAGTATTTATGCATAGTCACTTTAACTCTACCCACATGTACATATTACCTCACTAGCCGGTGCCCCCGCACATTGACTATGCAACGGTACCCCCCTGTATATATAGCCTCCCTACTGTCACTTTATTCTATTGTATATATACCTCCCTACTGTCACTTTATTTTTTACTTCTGCTCTTTTTTTTCTCAACACTTTTTGTTGTTGTTTATTCTTACTTTTTTGTTTAAATAATGCACTGTTTGGGTTTAAAGGGGTGTAAGTAAGCATTTCACTGTAATGTCTGCACCTGTTTGTTTCGGCGCATGTGACCAATAAAATTTGATTTGATTTGACAACACAACAGCCACGAACAACCCCAAAAGCACACTCCCCACACACACACAACCACGCACCGCACAACCCCCTACACACACACACACCACACCCCCACCCCCAAAAACCAACAACCGAAACAAATATCTTACATCAACGGACAGGCGGACATCACAAACACACCTGCAAACAAACTCAAGGAAACTATAGGTACCTAATCAATACATAACACGAAACAGGTGCACTAACAAGACAAGACCAAACAAACATCGAGACATCAAGAGGTAGTAGCTAGTACTCCGGGGCGACGAACGCCAAGCCTGCCCGAGCAAGGAGGGGGGAGCAGTCTCGGCGGAATTGTGACAACAATAACTGAAAGTGTACCCACGTTTTTTGTTTGATGTTATCTGTAATGAAAATTTGTGTCCCAATTAGTGTAATATTGATGCATACATTGTACAATTTGACTAAATACTACCTCTATGTAGCTGTTGTAAGATGAAAACATAGCCAACAGTGATAGGTGTCAAAAAGTTCATGGTTCAAAGTTCCAAATACATTTTTGCAGATTGTGCAAAACGCCTCCGTCAGAGGACTCCAATGTTGATACGGTTAAAGCTTGACAACATGCAGCTGTTTTCGTGATATGTATTATCTAACACTTACAATTTCTTTCCTTTTTGCTTACTTAGCAGTTCTATCAACATTTAGCAACTAAGATAGCAACATTAGAAAATCAGTTTGCTATATTTCAGAGGTAAAAAGTTGGATATTAAATTAGGTGTGGTCTGTCGCGCAGTCGAATTTTACAATATGCAGCGTGTTCCACAAAATGTGTACATATAACTTTTTTGAAAACTCTCAAAACCTAACTTAACTTACACAAATTGCAGTGAAAATCGGTGGTCAGCTAGCTAAAAGGGTGTCGTTAGTCACAAAACTTACCGTTATTTTTCAGTCCATTTAAATGTTGATCTCGAGGTGATTCAGTCCTCCAACCGCTAGAGAGGGTCCGATGTTTGGGGAAAATTAGCTATAGTGTATGGACTAGGAGAACTTCAGTGGCCTGGATGGAAGTAGTCTCGTATGTTGTGGAGAATCCACCAAAGTGCTTCCTGGTTTGTGTGGGCTTTGGTGTATTTCCCCTACACATAGTCACAAGGCTGCATCGAACATTAAAGTGCTAATAGAGTACCAGTCAAAAGTTTGGACACACCTACTCATTCCAGGGTTTTTCTTATTTTTATTTATTTGTACTATTTTCTACATTGTAGAATAATAGTGAAGACATCAAAACTATGAAATAACACATATGGAATCATGTAGTAACCAGAAAAAGTGTTAAACAAATCAAAATATATTTTATATTTGAGATTCTTCAAAGTAGCCACCCTTTGCCTTGATGACAGCTTTGCACACTCTTGGCATTCTCTCAACCAGCTTCATGAGGTAGTCACCTGGAATGCATTTCAATTAACAGGTGTGCCTTGTTAAAAGTTAATTTGTGGAATTTCAATCAGTTGTGTTGTGACAAGGTAGGGGGGGTATTCAGAAGATAGCCCTATTTGGTAAAAGACCAAGTCCATATTATGGCAAGAACAGCTCAAATAAGCAAAGAGAAACCACAGTCCATCATTACTTTAAGACATGAAGGTAAGTCAATCCAGGAAAATGTCAAGAACTTTTAAAGTTTCTTCAAGTGCAGTCGCAAAAACCATCAAGCGCTATGATGAAACTGGCTCTCATGAGGACCGCCACAGGAAAGGAAGACCCAGAGTTACCTCTGCTGCAGAGGATAAGTTCATTAGAGTTAAATGCAACTCAGATTGCAGCCCAAATAAATGCTTTACAGAGTTTAAGTAACAGACACATCTCAACATCAACTGTTCAGAGGAGACTGTGTGAATCAGGCCTTCATAGCTGAATTGCTGCAAAGAAACCACTACTAAATGACACCAATAATAAGAAGAGACTTGCTTGGGCCAAGAAACAAGATCAATTGACATTATACCGGTGGAAATCTATCCTTTGGTCTGATGAGTCTAAATGTGAGATTCTTGGTTCCAACCGCCGTGTCTTTGTGAGACGCAGAGTAGGTGAACGGATGATCTCTGCATGTGTGGTTCCCACCGTAAAGCATGGAGGAGGAGGTGTTATGGTGTGGGGGTGCTTTGCTGGTGACACTGTCTGTGATTTATTTAGAATTCAAGGCACACTTAACCAGCATGGCTACCACAGCATTCTGCAGCGATTCGCCATCCCATCTGGTTTGGGCTTAGTGGGACTATCATTTGTTTTTCAACAGGACAATGACCCAAACGCACCTCCAGGCTGTGTAAGGGCTATTTAACCAAGGAGAGGGATGGAGTGCTGCATCACATGACCTGGCCTCCCCAATCACCCGTCCTCAACCCAATTGAGATGGTTTGGGATGAGTAGGACCGCAGAATGAAGGAAAAGCAGCCAACAAGTGCTCAGCATATGTGGGAACTCCTTCAATACTGTTGGAAAATCATTCCAGGTGAAGCTGGTTGAGAGAATGCTAAGAGTGTGCAAAGCTGTCATCAAGGCAAAGGGTGGCTACTTTGGAGAATCTAAAATATAAGATATATTTTGATTTGTTGAACACTTTTCTTGGTTACTACATGATTCCATGTGTGTTATTTCATAGTTTTGATGTCTTCGCTATTATTCTACAATGCAGAAAATAGTAAAAATAAAGAAAAACCCTTGAATGAGTAGGTGTGTCCAAACTTTTGACTGGTACTGTAGGTTAAGAGAAACAGTCAAGCGTTGTGAGATCGTCAAGAGCTGGTGTTCTTTGATGTCTTTCTGGTCCTAGATATCTCTTATTTTCACTCTTATTTCATGTTTTTTTTCCCCCAACATGTCCATTTTGACTAGTTTATTCCTTGCTTGCATTGCGTTTCACCTTTAATACTATACTTTTCATACTGTACCTTTAATACTGTACATTCCATACTGTACCTTTCCAATGGTCACTATGGCATTCCTACCAGCTCATGCTGAAACCCATTGATACCATTTCATACGTTGTTTTTTAGGTGATGTTTATAGGTGCTATTTAGTAACAATTATTCCCGACAGCTTGGATATATGTGTGTAATCTTTACATCGTTATTTGGATTTATAATGTATTAAGGTTCTTTAATTCCACTCCTTTGAGAAATAAATGATGTATTTTAATATTTATACCGTAAGTGGATCAACACTTAGTGCTTTTTATATTTCCCCAAAGTGCCGTTTAAAACGTTCCTCTCCTGGGGACTAAGAAGACAATTTGCCAAATATGTTTGTGTGTGTATCTATCCCCTGTGTGTGTGTCTGTGTTCCAGTGTCGGATGGGGAACACACTACTCCAGAGATGGACTTTGCCATCCAGCTGTTGGTCAACCACCAGCAGCCCCCCGTCTTCCAGATCCTAGACCCTGTTCTGGAGGTCAGCATGGGGGGACAAACCCCTATAGGTAAGACTACCCACACACACACACACACACACACACACACACACACACACACACACACACACACACACACACACACACACACACACACACACACCACACACAACAAGCACACACACCACACACACACACACAACAAGCACACGCACACACACACACACACACACAACAAGCACACACACACACACACACACACACACACACACAACAAGCACACGCACACACACACACACACACACAACAAGCACACGCACACACACACACACACACACAACAAGCACACGCACACACACACACACACACACACACACACACACGCACACGCACAACACACACACACACACACACACACACACACACACACACACACACACAGCAGGTTATTACTATACTTGTGAGGGATTTTTGGGGACCAACAATTGATTCTCATTCAAAATCCTATTTTCCCTAACTCTAAACCCTAACCCTAATCCTAACCTTAACCCCAAACCCCCAACCCTTACCCTTAACCCTAACCCTATCCCTCATTGGTATGCAAATATATGGTAAATTATTGGTATACAAAGAAATGGTGAATCATTGGTATGCAAATATATGGTAAATGATTGGTATACAAAGAAATTGTGATTCGTTGGTATAAAAGATATGGTGAATCATTGGTATAAAAGATATGGTGAATCATTGGTATACAACATGGCTTTCATGCTCAGTGTCGCTCACAATACTTGGTGTAGGTGGGCAGCAGCTGGCAGTAACTGACGCAGACACGGCTCCTGATGAGTTGGAGCTGGTGGAAGGACCGGTCCATGGGACCCTGGTCAAGATGGAGTTGGACTCACAGACTGAGATGATGAGCGGTGAGCAGCAAATTAGCTAGATGTTTCCCCAAACAACTGGTCCAGGGTCATATATTGGGTTTTCCTTCTATTAGTTAAGGGAAGTTAAGTTTGAATTGTAGTGGAAGGGGAATTACTTCTGTAGAGAATAGAGTAGGTGCCTGAAAATGGAAGTTGCCAAATTTCTTTACAATTTTGCACATGGTCTGAATTGTCACACATCCCCAGACACACACTGCATGTTGTATTTAGAGAACTGAAACATGGGAATAGAACAACATTCCAACATCAAACAAGGTATTCTTCAAACAACGGAAGATGATGTATATGAATGAAAACCTCGGGCCTTGTTTTACTCCAAGTATGTTTATATTTAACACAATGATTAAACCGCTCCTTTGTCTCTCCAGGTGACACGTTCTCTTTCAGTGAAGTGACCCGTAACGTTCTGCAGTACCAACACTCCGGCTTCTCCACTGACGAGGACGCCATCACCTTCTCCACGGCGACGGCGGCGGTACAGGTGGTTGTGCTGGGTGACGGGCCCAGGAGAGACCCAGAGACCCTGCTATCCATGGAGGTTCCTGAGAACAGTAGTAGCGTCATCAGACGTACTCACCTGGGCTACACGGTTAGTACGCACTGGGTTATATGGTTAGTATGCACTGGGTTATATGGTTAGTACGCACTGGGCTACACGGTTAGTACGCACTGGGTTATATGGTTAGTACGCACTGGGCTACACGGTTAGTACGCACTGGGCTACACGGTTAGTACGCACTGGGCTACACGGTTAGTACACACCGGGTTATATGGTTAGTATGCACTGGGCTACACGGTTAGTACGCACTGGGTTATATGGTTAGTACGCACTGGGTTATATGGTTAGTACGCACTGGGCTAGACGGTTAGTACACACCGGGTTATATGGTTAGTATGCACTGGGCTACACGGTTAGTACGCACTGGGTTATATGGTTAGTACGCACTGGGTTATATGGTTAGTACGCACTGGGTTATATGGTTAGTACACACTGGGTTATATGGTTAGTACGCACTGGGCTACACGGTTAGTACGCACTGGGTTATATGGTTAGTACACGCTGGGTTATATGGTTAGTACGCACTGGGCTACACGGTTAGTACACACCGGGTTATATGGTTAGTACACACTGGGTTAAATGGTTAGTACGCACTGGGTTATATGGTTAGTACGCACTGGGTTATATGGTTAGTACACACTGGGTTAAATGGTTAGTACACACTGGGTTATATGGTTAGTACACACTGGGTTATATGGTTAGTACACACTGGGTTATATGGTTAGTACACACTGGGTTATATGGTTAGTACACACTGGGTTATATGGTTAGTACACACTGGGTTATATGGTTAGTACACACTGGGTTATATGGTTAGTACGCACTGGGTTATATGGTTAGTACACACTGGGTTATATGGTTAGTACGCACTGGGCTACACGGTTAGTACACACCAGGTTATATGGTTAGTACACACTGGGTTAAATGGTTAGTACGCACTGGGTTATATGGTTAGTACACACTGGGTTATATGGTTAGTGCACACTGGGTTATATGGTTAGTACACACTGGGTTATATGGTTAGTACGCACTGGGTTATATGGTTAGTACGCACTGGGTTATATGCTTAGTACACACTGGGTTATATGGTTAGTATGCACTGGGCTACACGGTTAGTACGCACTGGGTTACACGGTTAGTACGCACTGGGCTACACGTTAGTACGCACTGGGTTATATGGTTAGTACGCACTGGGTTATATGGTTAGTACGTACTGGGTTATATGGTTAGTACGCACTGGGTTATATGGTTAGTACACACTGGGTTATATGGTTAGTACGCACTGGGCTACACGGTTAGTACGCACTGGGTTATATGGTTAGTACACGCTGGGTTATATGGTTAGTACGCACTGGGCTACACGGTTAGTACACACCGGGTTATATGGTTAGTACACACTGGGTTAAATGGTTAGTACGCACTGGGTTATATGGTTAGTACACACTGGGTTATATGGTTAGTACACACTGGGTTAAATGGTTAGTACACACTGGGTTATATGGTTAGTACACACTGGGTTATATGGTTAGTACACACTGGGTTATATGGTTAGTACACACTGGGTTATATGGTTAGTACGCACTGGGTTATATGGTTAGTACGCACTGGGCTACACGGTTAGTACACACCGGGTTATATGGTTAGTACACACTGGGTTAAATGGTTAGTACACACTGGGTTAAATGGTTAGTACGCATTGGGTTATATGGTTAGTACGCACTGGGTTATATGGTTAGTACACACTGGGTTAAATGGTTAGTACGTACTGGGTTATATGGTTAGTACGCACTGGGTTATATGGTTAGTACACACTGGGTTAAATGGTTAGTACACACTGGGTTATATGGTTAGTACACACTGGGTTATATGGTTAGTACACACTGGGTTATATGGTTAGTACACACTGGGTTATATGGTTAGTACACACTGGGTTATATGGTTAGTACGCACTGGGTTATATGGTTAGTACGCACTGGGCTACACGGTTAGTACACACCGGGTTATATGGTTAGTACACACTGGGTTAAATGGTTAGTACGCACTGGGTTATATGGTTAGTACACACTGGGTTATATGGTTAGTACACACTGGGTTATATGGTTAGTACACACTGGGTTATATGGTTAGTACGCACTGGGTTATATGGTTAGTACGCACTGGGTTATATGCTTAGTACACACTGGGTTATATGGTTAGTATGCACTGGGCTACACGGTTAGTACACACTGGGTTATATGGTTAGTACGCACTGGGTTATATGGTTAGTACACACTGGGCTACACAGTGAGTGTGTGTGGAACTGAAATTGCTAGCACCTCCACCCACACCATCCAATTGCTGGCTTTTCAGTGGTGCAGCTGGCTAAAGTCTTGTCATTAGGGCGGTCAAGTGTGTTTGCTAGACAGAGGATGCAAGATCAATCCCAGTAGCGGACATACAGGCACTCACTTGCACAGCACACACACACCTGGATAAAGAACCATTTTAGGTGATTCATGGTCAACATGTCTGAACTTCATCTTTATAGTGGCTCTCGTTTCTGTGTTGAAAATAGCAACCAATGTTTTCAAATAATTTCAAACAGATGTTCACATAATGTTAAACATTTTATGACATTTAATAATAATACACTGCTCAAAAAAATTAAGGGAACACTAAAATAACACATCCTAGATCTGAATGAATGAAATAATCTTATTAAATACTATTTTCTTTCCATAGTTGAATGTGCTGACAACAAAATCACACAAAAATTATCAATGGAAATCAAATGTATCAACCCATGGAGGTCTGGATTTGGAGTCACCCTCAAAATTTAAGTGGAAAACCACACTACAGGCTGATCCAACTTTGATGTAATGTCCTTAAAACAAGTCAAAATGAGGCTCAGTAGTGTGTGTGGCCTCCACGTGCCTGTATGACCTCCCTACAACGCCTGGGCATGCTCCTGATGAGGTGGCGGATGGTCTCCTGAGGGATCTCCTCCCAGACCTGGACTAAAGCATCCGCCAACTCCTGGACAGTCTGTGGTGCAACGTGGCGTTGGTGGATGGAGCGAGACATGATGTCCCAGATGTGCTCAATTGGATTCAGGTCTGGGGAACGGGCGGGCCAGTCCATAGCATCAATGCCTTCCTCTTGCAGGAACTGCTGACACACTCCAGCCACATGAGGTCTAGCATTGTCTTGCATTAGGAGGAACCCAGAGCCAACCGCACCAGCATATGGTCTCACAAGGGGTCTGAGGATCTCATCTCGGTACCTAATGGCAGTCAGGCTACCTCTGGCGAGCACATGGAGGGCTGTGCGGCCCCCAAAAGAAATGCCACCTCACACCATGACTCACCCACAACCAAACCGGTCATGCTGGAGGATGTTGCAGGCAGCAGAACGTTCTCCACGGCGTCTCCAGACTCTGTCACGTCTGTCACATGTGCTCAGGGTGAACCTGCTTTCATCTGTGAAGAGCACAGGGCGCCAGTGGTGAATTTGCCAATCTTGGTGTTCTCTGGCAAATGCCAAACGTCCTGCACGGCGTTGGGCTGTAAGCACAACCCCCACCTGTGGACGTCGGGCCCTCATACCACCCTCATGGAGTCTGTTTCTGACCGTTTGAGCAGACACATGCACATTTGTGGCCTGCTGGAGGTCATTTTGCAGGGCTCTGGCAGTGCTCCTCCTGCTCCTCCTTGCACAAAGGCGGAGGTAGCGGTCCTGCTGCTGGGTTGTTGCCCTCCTACGGCCTCCTCCACGTCTCCTGATGTACTGGCCTGTCTCCTGGTAGCGCCTCCATGCTCTGGACACTACGCTGACAGACACAGCAAACCTTCTTGCCACAGCTCGCATTGATGTGCCAACCTGGATGAGCTGCACTACCTGAGCCACTTGTGTGGGTTGTAGACTCCGTCTCATGCTACCACTAGAGTGAAAGCACCGCCAGCATTCAAAAGTGACCAAAACATCAGCCAGGAAGCATAGGAACTGAGAAGTGGTCTGTGGTCACCACCTGCGAAACCAGTCCTTTATTGGGGGTGTCTTGCTAATTGCCTATAATTTCCACCTGTTGTCTATTCCATTTGCACAACAGCATGTGACATTTATTGTCAATCAGTGTTGCTTCCTAAGTGGACAGTTTGATTTCACAGAAGTGTGATTGACCTGGAGTTACATTGTGTTGTTTAAGTGTTCCCTTTATTTTTTTGAGCGGTGTACATGTGTGATAATCAATGTTCCCTCTAAGCTGCCTGCGTGCGTGCTTGGCCATGCTCCTCCTCCAGGACTGCCGCGCAGAGACGCATGAGATTGAACTTCACTGAGTTCGCCCCATTAGTTTGCACTATATAGATCAATGTTTTTCCTGTGATCGAATCAACATTATATCAGCCCCTTTTCAATGCAACAAACCGAAAAAACCATCTAACTTTGCAAGATTGAGTCTGTGATTTTGTTGTAGAATTCTATTGGCAGGGGTAGGCCACGAGAGGTCTTTCAGTCACTCATGAGTGAATACGCTTTTCAGATCAGTTCAGAGCGCGTGTGCATATTTGTTGATATTCTTGGCTAGTTAGCGAGTTATAAGCCGAGTTATAGATAAGTATGGGTCAGCAATGGGGAGTGACTGCTTCCTACAAGAGCACAAATCGTGTAGGCTACCTTTCAAGCTGTCTTTGAAAAGCCACTCAGGTAAAAAGCTTGTCTTAATTATAGGGGCAGTGTTGTATTTTGAGACAGAATATGCAAATGAGGCAATAGATAGAGGGGTAGCCTACATCGTCTAATTCACTGTATGGTAATAATAATTAATTTGATTTAGTCAAGTGGTTTCTTGCATCATACAACACAATGCAATGCAATTTACAGTCACCTATTTGGACCATGGTGTTACAGACCAAGCAAAAAATCATTCATTAATGTCAAGCCCTTCATCATGTAAAAACGTTTTTTAAAAGTCTCATGCAATGTATCCCTGCATTGAACACCACATATAGGCTACTGTAGGCTATATCATAGAAATTCAAAGCTATTTCCATGTGAGGGATTTGCTCCGTTGATTTTGTTGGTAGGCCTACATTATGCTCAGATAGCCACAATAGTCTATTATTTACTGTCTAAAACTGTAAGGGTACAGCCTATTGGCTACTGTCTAAAACTGTAAGGGTACAGCCTATTGGTTACTGTCTAAAACTGTAAGGGTACAGCCTATTGGCTACTGTCTAAAACTGTCAGGGTACAGCCTATTGGCTACTGTCTAAAACTGTAAGGGTACAGCCTATTGGCTACTGTCTAAAACTGTAAGGGTACAGCCTATTGGCTACTGTCTAAAACTGTAAGGGTACAGCCTATTGGCTACTGTCTACAACTGTAAGGGTACAGCCTATTGGCTACTGTCTACAACTGTAAGGGTACAGCCTATTGGCTACTGTCTAAAACTGTAAGGGTACTGCCTATTGGCTACTGTCTAAAACTGTAAGGGTACAGCCTATTGGCTACTGTCTAAAACTCTAAGGGTACTGTTTCTGTGTTCACTGTAAACGCGCTGGAAGTTGCACAAAATTCTCACAGCATTCAAGTTTCTGCACACAAGACCAAAAAATTTGCTCAGTGTCCCAAAAAATGTGTGGGAACATTGTTGATAGTATAATATGAAATGAAATATGTGATAATATTTTGCAGAGCAACACCTCTCCAGATGAGAAGATCCGTATTCAGCTGGTGTCGGTTCCTAGGTACGGCATCCTGACCAGGACAGGGTCAGACTCAGACCAACGGGAGATGACAGAGGACTCCTCTTTCACTGTGGACGACGTCAACAAACACAAGATCAGGTAGAAAAACACACATACCCACAGAGAGGAGATGAACAGAGTACTCCTCTTTCACTGTGGACGACGTCAACAAACACAAGATCAGGTAGAAAAACACACATACCCACAGAGAGGAGATGAACAGAGTACTCCTCTTTCACTGTGGACGACGTCAACAAACACAAGATCAGGTAGAAAAACACACATACCCACAGAGAAGAGATGAACAGAGTACTCCTCTTTCACTGTTGACCACGTCAACAAACACAAGATCAGGTAGAAAAACACACATACCCACAGAGAGGAGATGACAGAGTACTCCTCTTTCACTGTGGACGACGTCAACAAACACAAGATCAGGTAGAAAAACACACATACCCACAGAGAGGAGATGAACAGAGTACTCCTCTTTCACTGTTGACCACGTCAACAAACACAAGATCAGGTAGAAAAACACACATACCCACAGAGAGGAGATGACAGAGTACTCCTCTTTCACTGTGGACGACGTCAACAAACACAAGATCAGGTAGAAAAACACACATACCCACAGAGAGGAGATTACAGAGTACTCCTCTTTTACTGTTGACGACGTCAACAAACACAAGATCAGGTAGAAAAACACACATACCCACAGAGAGGAGATGAACAGAGTACTCCTCTTTCACTGTGGACGACGTCAACAAACACAAGATCAGGTAGAAAAACACACACACCCACAGAGAGGAGATGAACAGAGTACTCCTCTTTCACTGTTGACCACGTCAACAAACACAAGATCAGGTAGAAAAACACACATACCCACAGAGAGGAGATGACAGAGGACTCCTCTTTCACTGTGGACGACGTCAACAAACACAAGATCAGGTAGAAAAACACACATACCCACAGAGAGGAGATGAACAGAGTACTCCTCTTTCACTGTGGACGACGTCAACAAACACAAGATCAGGTAGAAAAACACACATACCCACAGAGAGGAGATGACAGAGTACTCCTCTTTCACTGTGGACGACGTCAACAAACACAAGATCAGGTAGAAAAACACACATACCCACAGAGAGGAGATGAACAGAGTACTCCTCTTTCACTGTGGACGACGTCAACAAACACAAGATCAGGTAGAAAAACACACATACCCACAGAGAGGAGATGACAGAGTACTCCTCTTTCACTGTGGACGACGTCAACAAACACAAGATCAGGTAGAAAAACACACATACCCACAGAGAGGAGATGAACAGAGTACTCCTCTTTCACTGTGGACGACGTCAACAAACACAAGATCAGGTAGAAAAACACACATACCCACAGAGAGGAGATGAACAGAGTACTCCTCTTTCACTGTTGACCACGTCAACAAACACAAGATCAGGTAAGAGGCATCTGAAACTAAGGGTGCATCTAAGTCACCTTAAGTAGCTTCCTCTTCTCGTTTGCTTTCCCTCATCTACCCTGATCTGTAAGAGCTGGACAGCTTGGAAGTGAATTCTGTGGTTCTTCTTCAGATGAAGGTGAGATGGGGGAGAGGGAGCCACTTTAGACTTAAGATGCAGACTTAAAACAATAATCTCACATTCTGGTATCCATTCCTACCAGCTCCTTTGTTGTTGTTGCACTAATTATTGAGACGATTTGTTCTGCCGGGTAGATATTTATTTCTATCTCATTTAGATTTTATAGGTCCAAGTTATTTCATTGAGAGCAATTCTCATTTAGGCCCACAGTAACGATCTGGCCGAGAGTTTTCTGTAAAAGTAATGGCTTCTTCCTTCCATCACTCCTTAGAGTGTAACTGCTATAAAAACATAAATATTCTCCCTCTGAGGCTCTGTAAAATCCTCGCTACAAATTAGAAACATTAGCATGTCTAATTAGCGAACGTTAAATATGAACCACCTGCGAGACGCAGGCACGCGCACACACACACACACACACACACACACACGCGCGCACACACACACACACACACACACACACACAGACTCAACGGTCTTCTGAGAGATTAATTTAAAAAATTTAAAACCATTATCTCCAAATTGTGCTTCTGATTAGCTTTACTGCAATTAGCACGCTAGGCTAATATTATGAGAAACATCTCTGTTTGAATCACCTGTATTAGTTCATCTTGGCAGACTGCGTCTCTGTGCAGTAGAACATGCAGATGAAATGTTGCTCTGTTTTATTGTAGAGGATTAGAGAAGATTATATTTTATTCAGGTACTTTCACTAGGCATTAAAGGGCTTATACAGTATTAGGCTTTACAAGCACCCACAAGCATTTCGCTACACCTGCAATAACATCTGCTAAACACGTGTATGTGACCAATAAAATTTTGATTTGATTTAGTGGTGTTGCGATGTGAGAATGAGAGGATATTAGATGTATTCAGTGGCCTTTCACCAGATTGTAGAGGGCTTGTGTAAAATGTTATTTTAGTGTGAGGTTATTTTTTTAGGATCCCCATTAGCTGTTGCAAAATCAGCAGCTACTCTTCCTGGGGTCCAGAACACAAAACATGAAACATGACATAATACAGAACATTAATAGACAAGAACAACTCTAGGACAGAACTATATACATTTTAATCACTCATCTATTCCCTATTGGTCATGATATAAACATAATGCGGGTTATAAAATGTGATAAGATCATTTGGTAACACTTTAGTTAAAGGTCCACTGCAGCTGCTTTCATCTCAATATTAAATAATTTCTGGGTAACAATTAAGTATCTTACTGTGACTGTTTTACATTAAAGGTAGACTCAGCGATATGACGTAGATGCAGAAAGTAAACAGCATAATGGGTCAATTTCCCGCAAACAACTAAGAGCGTTGAAGCACGATGCTCAACTTCTCTGCTGTGTTGGTCACGTGGCTACCACACTGTAAGAGTGTGCAGCGAACATGCAGCAGATACTGTGTGAGAGTGAAGTCTTGCATCTCGCTCATCTCAATATCTGCGGTTCGTGGGTGACGTCATTTAGCTGAGTCCACCTTTTAAAATGGTCAAAAATAATAAAAAATTGCTTCTTAGCAAAGAGCAATTTGTTTCTAGGGCGGCAGGTAGCTTAGTGGTTAAGAGCGTTGTGCCAGTAACCGAAAGGTTGCTGGTTCTAATCCCCGAGCCGACTAGGTGAAAAATCTGTCGATGTGCCCTTGAGCAAGGCACTTAACCCTAATTGCTCCTGTAAGTCGCTCTGGATAAGACCGTCTGCTAAATGACCAATTTATTTTTATTTTTATTATATTTGGCTAGGACTGTCTGAGAGTGGTCTGGGAGTGGGTAGGTGAAAACTGAAAATGAGCTGTTATTGGCAGAGAGGTTTGGAACTCTCTTTCTTATTGGTCTATTAACTAATTTACCGCCCGGTGTTACACCAGGTAGGCCAAAACTCCATCCCACCAAAGCAAGCTGACATTTCAGGCACTCTTTTCAAACAGCTCTTACACTGAAAGGGCATTATCATCAGTTTCACAAGTTCACAGTATTATTCCAACCTCATAGTGTGGAAATATAAATAAAACAGGAAAATCATGTTTTTGACTGCAATGGGCCTTTAAATCCAACAGGTATAATACATTATTATTTGTTATGAGCCCCTTTATAATGTTTTGTATTAATCATCTGATATTATATGACCTCTTTCTATGTTTCAACTGATAACAATAATGCACTAATAATGCACTGCTAATGCACTAATAATGCACTAATAATGCACTAATAACCCAGAAGATGATACTATTTATCAGCGTAGCCATTTTTATATATATATATATATATATATATTGTTTTGTTTTGTTTTCCGTGAAGGCTATGTTTTCGGATAAACTTTACTGAAACTTCCTTCCTGTTAGGTACATCACTTCCATTGAGACAGGAAACCAACCAGTGACGGACATCTTCCATTTCATTGTTTATGACGGTGAAAACAATCGCCTTGACAACCAGATGTGTACCATCACCATCAGCTCCAAGCAGAGACAGCCTCCAGTGGTCACTGTCCGCAGTGGCATCAAGGTACACACACCTCCCACGGCTCAGCTTGCCTAGAGACAGTTGCTATGGAGCAGAGATCGATGGTCGGCAGCATATGAAGCAACACTAGGCAACACATCTGATGCAACGCTCAGTCGACTAGTGTCAAACGCTGCGTGTGTGTGTTTTGTGTGTGCGTGCGTGTTTGTATGAGTGTGTTTGTGTGTGTGTGTGTGTGTGTGTGTGTGTGTGTGTGTATGTGTTGTGTGTGTGTGTGTGGTATATGTGTGAGTGTCTAACACCAGGGCTGTATAACATGACTAATAACAGTCAGTTGTCACCACTACCCGGTGCCATGGACATCGTGATTTGAAGGAGTTTTGCAATTTGACTGGTAATGGAATGGGGATTTCAGTTCTACTCATTCTAATTCTATGGAATGTGGTCTATATTCAGAATCATACAGCTAGCACTCCATAACGCTGACAGGCATGATCAGATGTGCTACATGCAGACTTGAAAATAGAAATAGGCTTGGGGTGGACGTTGCCCTTATAGGCAAAGATCTAGGATCAGCGTTACATTATGAAATCCTAACTGTAAAGATTAGAGTGGAAAGGACTAAACTGACTTCAAATCAGTAGCTATTTAGGGGCTACTTCATACTACACCTAGAAGCACTCTCACCCAATGTGACATGTTATGCAAGTGTCTATGTTGTGTATTTCTAGGTCCAGGGAGGAGGACGAGTCCAGCTGTCAACCAGTCACATCAATGTATCAGATCTGGACACACCCAACAAGGACCTGCTGGTTTGGATGATCAGCGTACCCAAATATGGCTTCATTGAGAACACGAGAGGAAGTGGTGTGTGTGGGAGCGAGGGAGCGAGGGAGCGAGGGAGGGAAGAGAGAGAGATGAAAGAGAGAGAGATGAAAGAGAGAGAGAGCGATTAATTCAGTTGAATAATCTATCTATCCCATAAAGGGAAATTGCCCTAGGCAAAGCAATGTAAATATAAACAGAGGTACATGAATACACCCGCAATAACACCCGCAACAAACAGAGGTACATTTCGCAACACCTGTGACCAATAAAATTTTATTTGACACTACAAATAATCATAGAGACATGAAACACAACTGATGAAAGTGGAGGGAAGCCTGCAAATAAAGTAGTTTAAAGTGAGCGATTAGGTTAGATAGGCTGAAGGACTGACTGGTCTGTTGACGTATTTCTACATGGTGTCATCAGTCTTAGATGTTTCTGATCTAACCCTGGTTAGTACACTATATATACACTATAGATATACTATAGATACACTATACTGTATACACACTATATACACACTATATATATACACTATATACACACTATATACACACTATATATATACACTATATACACACTATATACATTTACATTTACATTTTAGTCATTTAGCAGACGCTCTTATCCAGAGCGACTTACAGTTAGTGAATACATATATATATATTTTTATACTGGCCCCCCCGTGGGAATCGAACCCACAACCCTGGCGTTGCAAACGCCATGCTCTATCAACTGAGCTACATCCCCTGCCGGCCATTCCCTCCCCTACCCTGGACGACGCTGGGCCAATTGTGCGCCGCCCATGAGTCTCCCGGTCGCGGCCGGCTGCCTATACACACTATACACACGGAGCCTGGATATACACACTATATACACACTAGATATACACTATATACATTTTACATTTACATTTTAGTCATTTAGCAGACGCTCTTATCCAGAGCGACTTACAGGAAAAATTAGTGTTAAGTGCCTTGCTCAAGGGCACATCGACAGATTTTCACCTAGTCGGCTCGGGGATTAGAACCAGTGACCTTTCGGTTACTGGCACAACGCTCTTAACCACTAAGCTACCTGCCGCCCCATATACACGCTATAGATGCACTATAAATACACTACAGATACACTATATATACAGCAGTATGGGGACACCCCTTCAGACACTAGATATACACTATATATACAGCAGTATGGGGACACCCCTTCAGACACTAGATATACACTATATATACAGCAGTATGGGGACACCCCTTCAGACACTAGATATACACTATATATACAGCAGTATGGGGACACCCCTTCATACACTACATATACACTATATACTGTGGCTTGCGAAAGTATTCACCGCCCTTGGCATTTTTCCTATTTTGTTGCCTTACAACCTGGAATTAAAATGTCTTTTTGGGGGGTTTGTATCATTTGAGTCTCCCACATGCCTTTTGGCGAACACCAAACGTTTGCTTATTTTTTTCTTTAAGCAATGGCTTTTTTTTCTGGCCACTCTTTCGTAAATCCCAGCTCTGTGGAGTGTAACGGTGCTCCGTGGGATGTTCAAAGTTTCGGATATTTTTTTATAACCCAAACCTGATCTGTACTTCTCCACAACTTTGTCCCTGACCTGTTTGGAGAGCTCCTTGGTCTTCATGGTGCCGCTTGCTTGGTGGTGCCCCTTGCTTAGTGGTGTTGCAGACTCTGGGGCCTTTCAGAACAGGTGTATATATATTGAGATCATGTGACAGATCATGTGACACTTAGATTGCAGACAGGTGGACTTTATTTAACTAATTATGTGAAGGTAATTGGTTGCACCAGATCTTATTTAGGGGCTTCATAGCAAAGGGGGTGAATCCATACGCACACACAACTTTTCCGTTATTTTTTTTTTTGATTTTTTAAAAATAAGTAATTTTTTTCATTTCACTTCACCAATTTTGACTATTTTGTGTATGTCCATTATGTCACGATCGTCTACGAGAGAGGACCAATGCGCAGCGTTGAAGGTGAACATAATATATATTTATTAACTGATCACACGATCAAAACAATAACCAACGATGCGTGACGTCTAAGGTTACAACACGAACAAACCTTAACGGAACAAGAAACCACAACACAAAGTGAAAAGACCGATAGTTAAATATGGCTCCCAATCAGAGACAACCAGCTGACACTCGTTGCCTCTGATTGGGAGTCACTCAGGCCCACATAGATATACAAACATAGACTTACATACCCTGGCTCAACATAACATAGTCCCCAGAGCCAGGGCGTGACAGTACCCCCCCCCCCAAAGGCGCGGACTCCGACCGCGCCAAACAACCACAACAGGGGAGGGACCGGGTGGGCACTCCGCCTCGGCGGCGGATCCGGCTCCGGACATGACCCAGGCACGGGTTGTGCTGGACTGACGACGCGCACCCCTGGTTGGTGCGTGGAGGAGGAACGGGCCTTACCAGGCTGACGACGCACACCGTAGGCTTGGTGCGTGGAGCAGGGACAGGCCGGACTGGGCTGACGAAGCACACCACTGACTTGGTGCGGGGAGCAGGAACGGGCCGGACCGGGCTGACGAAGCGCACCCCTGACTTGGTGCGGGGAGCTTGGATGGGCCGGACTGGGCTGGCGACGCGCACCACAGACATGGTGCGGAGAGCAGGAACGGGCCGGACAGGGCTGACGAAACGCACCACAGACTTGGTGCGGAGAGCAGGCACGGGCCGTGCCGGACTGACGACGCACACCACTGGCTTGGTGCGGGGAGCTTGGATGGGCCGGACTGGGCTGGCGACGGGCACCACAGACTTGGTGCGGAGAGCAGGAACGGGCCGGGCTGGGCTGTCGACGCACACCGTAGGCTTGGTGCGTGGAGTAGGAACGGGCCGAACCGGGCTGACGATGCGCACCCCTGCCTTGGTGCGGGGAGCAGGAATAGACCGGACCGTACTGGGGACACACACCACTGGCCCTACACCGGGATCTGGAACGGGCCGGACCGGACTGGCAACACACGCCAGTACCTCTCGCCGTGCCTCTACATCCTCCATCCCCTCTTCGACCAGTGGCCCCCGTAACCTGGCGGCCTCCTCTGGCAACCCACTGGGCCGCTCTATCGCGGCCTCCTGCTGGTCCGACGTCGTGAGCCCCCCCCCTAAAAAAATTCTGGGAGTCTCTCTTCCCCGTGGGCCAGGCCTCGATAATTCTCGCCCACCTCTCGCTCCTCTGCTTCCAATCTCCGTCATTCAGCTCCTCATTCGGCTTGACCCAGTCGAAGCTCTGCCTCCACTGTTGCCAAGTCCACCTAATCTGCTCCTCACTAGGCTGCTTGGTCCAGTTCTGGTGGTTTCTTCTGTCACGATCGTCTACGAGAGAGGACCAATGCGCAGCGTTGAAGGTGAACATAATATATATTTATTAACTGATCACACGATCAAAACAATAACCAACGATGCGTGACGTCTAAGGTTACAACACGAACAAACCTTAACGGAACAAGAAACCACAACACAAAGTGAAAAGACCGATAGTTAAATATGGCTCCCAATCAGAGACAACCAGCTGACACTCGTTGCCTCTGATTGGGAGTCACTCAGGCCCACATAGATATACAAACATAGACTTACACACCCTGGCTCAACATAACATAGTCCCCAGAGCCAGGGCGTGACACATTACATGAAATCCAAATAAAAATCAATTTAAATTACAGGTTGTAATATAACAAAATAGGAAAAATGCCAAGGGGGATGAATACTTTTGCAAGGCACTGTATACACTATATATACAGCAGTATGTGGACACCCCTTCATACACTATATATACAGCAGTATGTGGACACCCCTTCATACACTATATATACAGCAGTATGTGGACACCCCTTCATACACTATATATACAGCAGTATGTGGACACCCCTTCATACACTATATATACAGCAGTATGTGGACACCCCTTCATACACTATATATACAGCAGTATGTGGACACCCCTTCATACACTATATATACATTATATATACAGCAGTATGTGGACACTCCTTCATACACTATATATACAGCAGTATGTGGACACCCCTTCATACACTATATATACATTATATATACAGCAGTATGTGGACACCCCTTCATACACTATATATACATTATATATACAGCAGTATGTTGACATCACTTCATACACTATATATACAAAAGTATGGGGACACCCCTTCATATTTTGGATTCGGCTAGTTCAGCCACACCTGTTGCTGACAGGTGTATAAAATCGAGCACACAGCCATGCAATCTCCATAGACAAACGTTGGCAGTAGAATGGCCTTACTGAAGAGCTCAGTGACTTTCAACGTGGCACCGTCATAGGATGCCACCTTTCCAACAAGTCATTTGTAATGAATCACGCTTCACCCATCTGGCAGTCCAACAGACGAATCTAGGTTTGGCGGATGCCAGTAGAACGCTACCTGCCCGAATGCATAGTGCCAACTGTAAAGTTTGGTGGAGGAGGAATAATGGCCTGGGGCTGTTTTTCATGGTTCGGGCTAGGCCCCTTAGTTCCAATGACATTCTAGATGATTCTGTGCTTCCAACTTTGTGGCAACTGTTTGGGGAAGGCCCTGTCCTGTTTCAGCATGGCAATGCCCCCGTGCACAAAGCAAGGTCCATACAGAAATGGTTTGTTGAGATCGGTGTGGAAGAACTTGACTGGCCTGCACAGAGCCCTGACCTCAACCCCATCGAATACCTTTGGGATGAATTGGAACGCCGACTGTGAGCAAGGCCTAATCGCCCAACATCAGTGCCCGACTTCACTAATGCTTTTATGGCTGAATGGAAGCAAGTCCCCACAGCAATGTTCCAACATCTAGTGGAAAGCCTTCCCAGAAGAGTGGAGGCTGTTATAGCAGCAAAGAGGGGACCAACTCCATATTCATCCCATGATTTTGGAACGAGATATTCGACGAGCAAGTGTCCACATACTTTTGGTCATGTAGTGTATGTCGGTTGTAGTTTGTGAGATCTCACTTCCCATTCTGGTCTCGTCCTCTGTCTCCCAGTGGGCTCGATGGGCGGTTCAAATACCCGCATCATCAGTCCAGAGGTTCCCTTCTCTGTGGATGACCTGACGACTGACCACATCTTCTACGTTCAGAACGTCCAGAACACTGACCATCACTACCAGGACACCTTCTCTTTCTACATCAGTGATGGGTCCAGTCAGACAGAGGCCTTCAATGTCTATATAGACATAAAGGTAAATAATACTCTACTACTACTACTACTACTACTACTACTACTACTACTACTACTACTACTACTACTACTACTACATTTATACATTTTAGTCGTTTTGCAGACGCTCATATGCAGAGCGACTTACAGTTAGTGAGTTCATAAATGTTTCATACTACTACTACGGTTTGAGAGTTGGGGCTAAAGAAATGTAATTCATAGACGGAGCTATGGATGCTGGGACTCATAGTCCATGAGATCAGCATAACTGCTTTACTCAATATTTTGAAGCTGTTGTTTGTTTACAAATATTATGTTATTCATAGTAATAAACGACAACAATTAACCCCATTACAAAGTTCACAAAGAAAACTTTCAGTCAAGATTAATGGATTTTCTTGTGCTGTGATAACGACATCAAGCTTGTATTTTCCCACAACGCAATCCCAACCACCATAAAAATTGTATCAATTGGTCTGCTAGGGCATTGAGGTGAATTGATGATCCTGACAGAGCTGTGTGTATGTGTGTGCGCGTGTGTGCGCGTGTTTGTGTGTGGTTACGCTCGCCTCTTTGCTTGTGTGTGTGTGTGTGTGTGTGTGTGTGTGTGTGTGTGTGTGTCTGCAGCAGAGTAAAGGGGAGACGGTGCCGGTGGTGTCAGTGAACAGGGTCCAGGTGGAGGAGAACTCAGGAGTGGTCATCACTAACTCTTCTCTCAACGTCCTGGACCAAGACACACCAGACAGTGACATCATCATCACCGTCACCAAGCAACCTGCCTACGGTACGGACACACACACACACACACGCGGAGACAAACACGGACGCATGCGAGCACACAAACACGCACCCACACACATGAGACTGGACATACACACACACACACACACACACACATAGAGAAATAAAGCGCGCTTGACCTCTAATCCCCCTCCATCCCTCCATCCCTCCCTCTAACTCTCTCTCCATCTCTCCATCCCTCCCTCTAATCCCCCTCCATCCCTCCCTCTATCTCTCTCTCCATCCCTCCCTCTAACTCTCTCTCCATCCCTCCATCCCTCCCTCTAACTCTCTCTCCATCCCTCCATCCCTCCCTCTAATCCCCCTCCATCCCTCCATCCCTCCCTCTATCTCTCTCTCCATCCCTCCCTCTAACTCTCTCTCCATCCCTCCCTCTATCTCTCTCTCCATCCCTCCCTCTACTCTCCCTCCATCCCTCCCTCTAACTCTCTCTCCATCCCTCCATCCTCCCTCTACTCTCTCTCCATCCCTCCCTCTACTCTCTCTCTCTCCATCCCTCCCTCTAAATCTCTCTCTCCATCCCTACCCTCTAACTCTCTCTCCATCCCTCCCTCTATCCTCTCTCTCCATCCCTCCCTCTAACTCTCTCTCCATCCCATCCCTCCTCTAACTCTCTCTCCATCCTTCCCTCTATCTCTCTCCATCCCTCCCTCCTCTCTACACTCTCTCTCCATCCCTACCTCTAACTCTCTCTCCATCCCTCCCTCTAACCTCTCTCTCCATCCCTACCTCTACTCTCTCTCCATCCCTCCCTCTATCTCTCTCTCTCTCATCTCCCTCCCTCTAACTCCTCTCTCCATCCCTCCCTCTAACTCTCCCTCCCTCCCTCCATCCCTCCCTCTAACTCTCTCTCCATCCCTCCCTCTAACTCTCTCTCCATCCCTCCATCCCTCCCTCTAACTCTCTCTCCTCCATCCCTCCATCCCTCCCTCTACTCTCTCTCTCTCTCCATCCCTCCCTCTAACTCTCTCCTCCTCCTCCCTCTAACTCTCTCTCTCCTCCCTCCATCCCTCCCTCTAACTCTCTCTCCATCCCTACCTCTAACTCTCTCTCCATCCCTCCCTCTATCTCTCTCTCCATCTCTCCATCCCTCCCTCTATCTCTCCCTCCATCCCTCCCTCTATCTCTCCCTCCATCCCTCCCTCTACTCTCTCTCTCCATCCCTCCATCCCTCCCTCTATCTCTCCCTCCATCCCTCCCTCTAACTCTCTCTCCATCTCCTCCTCCTCTACTCTCTCTCCATCCCTCCCTCTAACTCTCCTCCATCCCTCCCTCTAACTCCCTCCATCCCTCCCTCTACTCTCCTCCATCCCTCCCTCTAATCTCTCTCCTCCCTCCATCCCTCCCTCTAACTCTCTCTCCATCCCTCACCCCCTCTAACTCTCTCTCCATCCTCCATCCCTCCTCTAACTCTCCCTCCCATCCCTCCCTCTATCTCTCCTCTCCATCCCTCACCTCTAACTCTCTCTCCACCCTCCCTCTACTCTCCCTCCATCCTCCTCTTCTCTCTCTCCATCCCTCCCTCTAACTCTCTCTCCATCCCTACCTCTAACTCTCTCTCCATCCCTCCCTCTAACTCTCCCTCCATCCCTCCCTCTATCTCTCTCTCCATCCCTCCCTCTAACTCTCTCTCCATCCCTCCATCCCTCCCTCTAACTCTCTCTCCATCCCTCCTCCTCTCTCCATCCCTCCATCCCTCCCTCCCTCCCTCTAACTCTCCCTCCATCCCTCCCTCTAACTCTCTCTCCATCCCTCCATCCCTACCTCTAACTCTCTCTCCATCCCTCCCTCTAACTCTCCCTCCATCCCTCCCTCTAACTCTCTCCCTCCATCCCTCCCTCTAACTCTCTCCCATCCCTCCATCCCACCTCTACTCTAACTCTCCCTCCATCCCTCCCTCTAACTCTCCCTCCATCCCTCCCATCCCTCCCTCTAACTCTCTTCTCCATCCCTCCATCCCTACCTCTAACTCTCTCTCCATCCCTCCCTCTAACTCTCTCTCCATCCCTCCCTCTAACTCTCTCTCCATCTCTCCATCCCTATCTCTAACTCTCCCTCCATCCCTACCTCTAACTCTCTCTCCATCCCTACCTCTAACTCTCCCTCCATCCCTCCCTCTATCTCTCCCTCCATCCCTACCTCTAACTCTCCCTCCATCCCTCCCTCTATCTCTCCCTCCATCCCTACCCTCTAACTCTCTCTCCATCCCTACCTCTAACTCTCTCTCCATCCCTCCCTCTAACTCTCTCTCCATCCCTACCTCTAACTCTCTCTCCATCCCTCCCTCTAATTCTCTCTCCATCCCTCCATCCCTACCTCCATCTCTCTCCATCCCTACCTCTAACTCTCCCTCCATCCCTTCCTCTAACTCTCTCTCCATCTCTCCATCCCTCCCTCTAACTCTCTCTCCATCCCTACCTCTAACTCTCTCTGTAATGTCAGGTCCCTGCACCGACCCATTCCTCACAAACTGCAGGCAGTAAAAGCAACATAAACCCTCCCATAAAGCCCTGTCACACCTTATAAAACTAAAACTATAGAGGCTATAGAGGCCCAGTCCTCTTTACTGTCTCCTCCCCTGTCTGTCTGCATGTCTCCTCCCCTGTCTGCCTGCCTGCCTGTCTCCTCCCCTGTCTGTCTGCCTGCCTGCCTGTCTCCTCCCCTGTCTGTCTGCCTGCCTGCCTGCCTGTCTCCTTCCCCTGTCTGCCTGCCTGTCTCCTCCCCTGTCTGTCTGCCTGCCTGCCTGCCAGACAGCCTCTGCTAAACAACATTGCCCAGCGCAAAACACATCCTTCATTGACACACACACACAGGTACGCATGCCCCGGACTCAAGTTACCAGGATTCAAGGGTTTTCTACTTAGATGTATTATTTATATATCTACTCTGTTTCTCCCTTTCTTCTGCTAAATAAATCAAACCTACATATCATTATTATCATTCTGTTCAGGCAAGCTGTAACCCCACAAACTCAAACTATCCCACAATGCTCCTGTTTTCAGGCAAGCTGCGTAGACGCCAGTTCTACTCCCAGCCTCTGGAGAACGGCAGGGTCCTGTCTCAGGGCTCCACATTCACCTACCAGGTAGGGATGAGTTCAACACAAGGTATCCAGAATCAATTACTTGATGAGTGCTAGGGCCGATTAGACATTGATTAATCAAATAATTGTTTGTATTTTGTTACATAAATAGGTGAATAAAGCTGAGTTAACGATCCGGATGCCCTCGATCGACTAATAAATTAATCAATTTCAATCCTACTACCAGGACGTGTTGGACCTGCTGCTGGTGTACGCCCCTGACGCGGCCAGCGGGGGCAGTGACGAGCTAGCCTTCTCCCTGACCGACGGCATCCACACCAGCACCGGACGGCTCACCTTCACCATGGACGTCAGGAAGACTGAAGGACCGAGGATGACAGTTAACAGAGGCCTGCAGCTGGCCGCAGGTATGGGGAGGGCTAGAGGAGAAGAGAGGTGGTCGCTGACATGCCTGTTGTTTGAGAGGGGGATGTTAAGGAGGCTTGAATGATGGGGCAACATTTTGATTTCCGCCTAAATAGACAAATGTAATAATTTTTCATGAGATGGCCATACACAATAACTGGTAATGTTGCATCGTTTTAGAAAGGTCTGGAACTCATCTTTCTGGTAACAATAGTTATAAATTGCTAAGGTGTACTCACTTTTGAGGACACAGGCTCAAATACATAGTACAAATATTATGAAAATATGAGAAATATTATTTCTAAATATAGAAAGAATCAAATTATAAACAGTACTATAAGATTTCACATGTCTTACAACTGTGAAATAGATATGATCATACTTATTGACAGAACAATATTGGCACTGTTTCATATATTACTGACGACAGATCATTTTCTCCTAAATGTCCACTGAGCGTCACAGAGATACCATTTAAATGTTTGCAGACTCGTTAAAACTTCAGCATGATGCGATTTTGGTAATCTGTGAACAAGAAAAAGTGGTCTTCTTTAAATTTTATGAAATGTTTTTCGTATTCTTTCATGTTGAGAGCTCTAAATCCGGCTGAGAATATCACAGCAAGATGGAACCACAATGGCTAGACTCACTACATATGCTGTCTCCCAGGCTGGGCTGTCTCACTTGGAGGAAGAGAAAATCGATTATTCGTCTGAATAGGACAGAAAATGTGGAAACAGAGAGCCGCAGATGGGGATTTTTTGGCACTATACGTCACAGGACCGTACAGCATTCACAAAATGTCCGTCTGAACCGGTCCACAACCGCTCAAAGTCCCCCATATGGGGGACCTAACATCTAAGATGGGTTAGTTTGGTTTGCATTGAGTTACAACGATAGACCGGAAGCATAACTCAATATTAGGAAGGTGTTCATAATGTTTGGTATACTCAAAGTATGTAAATATGTAATTGGTCAACCAGAACAAACTCCAACAAAGCAGTCAGAGCAGAAGATGCTAACAGCATTATATTCTAGACTCTTGTATCCTGTTGTCTCTGAGAGTCTGTAACTGTATCTCTTCCCTCAGGCTCAGCATCTAAGATCACTGAGCAGAACCTGAAGGGATCGGATTCAGACACAGACAGCCTGAAGCTGAGGTACATCCTGATCAAAGACCCTCCAGTAGGAAGACTACAGCTTTCTAAAAGAGGAGGACAGGACAAGGTGGCTGTTAAAGGACCTGTCAAGAGCTTCACACAGGAGGAGGTCAACAAAGGTTTGTCTCTCTCTCTCTCTCTCTATCTCTCTCTCTCTCTCTCGCTCTCTCTCTCTCTCTCTCTCTCTCTCTCTCTCTCTCTCTCTCTCTCTCTCTCTCTCTCTCTCTCTCTCTCTCTCTCTCTCTCTCTCTCTCTCTCTCGCTCTCTTTCTTCCTCTCTAAGCGGTCTGTCACTTTGCCTCTCTCTCTCTCTCTCCCTCTCTCATACGCCTCTCGATTGAAACAATTTCACTTTCCATGATTTTCAATTGTTTAAATCTACAATCTTTTTTTTCCAGGAAAAATGGCCCTTAACTCTCTCAGAGATTTGTTCTCAGTTCTTGAAATTAATTAATTAATTCAGGATATTTAATTGACCCTAACTTTACCTTCATACTGGTACAGATACAGGTAACTGCCAAAATAAAGGAAACGCCAACATAAAGTGTCTTAACAGGGCGTTGGGCCACCACGAGCCAGAACAGCTTCAATACACCTTGGCATAGATTCTACAAGTGTCTGGGACTCTATTTGTATTTGTATTTATTATGGATCCAGCAAAATTAAGGCAGTTATACATTTTAAAAACATTACAATACATTCATAACAGATTTCACAACATATTAAGTGTGTGCCCTCAGGCCTCTACTCTACTACCACATATCTATAACACAACATCCATGTGTACATGTGTATTGTGCGTATGTTATCGTGTGTTTGTATGCATGTGTCTATGTTTGTGTTGCTTCACAGTCCCCGCTGTTCCATAAGGTGTATTTTTATCTGTTTTTTTTTATCTGATTTTACTGCTTGCATGAGTTACCTGATGTGGAATAGAGTTCCATGAAGTCATGGCTCTATGTATGTACTGTGCGCCTCCCATAGTCTGTTCTGGACTTCGGGACTGTGAAGAGACCTCTGGTGGCATGTCTTGTGGGGTATGCATGGGTGTCCGAGCTGTGCGCCAGTAGTTCAAACAGACAGCACGTTGCATTCAACATGTCAATACTTCTCACAAATACAAGTAGTGATGAAGTCAATCTCTCCTCGACTTTGAGCCAGGAGAGATTGACATGCATATTATTAATGTTAGCTCTCTGTGTACATCCCAGGGCCAGCCGTGCTGCCCTGTTCTGAGCCAAGTCCCTCTTTGTGGCACCTGACCACACAACTGAACAGTAGTCCAGGTGTGATAAAACTAGGGCCTGTAGGACCTGCCTTGTTGATAGTGCTGTTAAGAATGCAGAGCAGCGCTTTAATATAGACACACTTCTTCCCATCCTAGCTACTGTTGTATCAATATGTGTTGACCATGACAGTTTACAATCTTCAACTTGCTCAATTTCCAGATTATTACAAGATTGAGTTGAGGTATAGGGTTTAGTAAATGAGTTGTCCCAAATACAATGCTTTTAGTTGTAGAAATATTTAGGACTAACTTATTCCTTGCCACTCATTCTGAAACTAACTGCAGCTCTTTGTTAAGAGTTGCTGTCATTTCAGTTGCTGTGGTAGCTGACGTGTATAGTGTTGAGTCATCCACATACATAGACACACTGGCTTTACTCAAAGCCAGTGGCATGTCGTTAGTAAAGATTGAAAAAAGTAAGTGGCCTAGACAGCTGCCCTGGGGAATTCCTGATTCTACCTGTATTTTGTTGGAGAGGCTTCCATCAAAGAACACCCTCTGTGTTCTGTTAGACAGGTAACTCTTCATCTATAATATAGCAGGGGGTGTACTCCTGAGTGGCGCAGTGGTCTAAGGCACTGCATCGCAGTGCTAACTGTGCCACTAGAGATCCTGGTTCGAATCCAGTCTCTGTCGCAGCCGGCCGCGACCGGGAGACTCATGGGCGGCGCACAATTGGCCCAGCGTCGTCCAGGGTAGGGGAGGGAATGGCCGGCAGGGATGTAGCTCAGTTGATAGAGCATGGCGTTTGCAACTCCAGGGTTGTGGGATCGATTCCCACGGGGGGCCAGTATAAAAAAATATGTATTCACTAACTGTAAGTCGCTCTGGATAAGAGCGTCTGCTAAATGACTAAAATGTAATGTAAAGCCATAACACATACGTTTTTCCAGCAACAGACTATGATCAATAATGTCAAAAGCCGCAATGAAGTCTAACAAAACAGCCCCACAATCTTTTTATTATCAATTTCTCTCAGTCAATCAACAGTCATTTGTGTAAGTGCTGTGCTTGTTGAATGTCCTTCCCTATAAGCGTGCTGAAAGTCTGTTGTCAATTTGTTTGCTGTGAAATAGTATTTTATCTGGTCAAAAACCATTTTTTCCAAAGGTTTACTAAGGGTTGGTTGGTCGGCTATTTGAGCCAGTTAAGGGGGCGTTACTATTCTTAGGTAGGGGAATAACTTTTGCTTCCCTTCAGGCCTGGGGGCATACACTTTCTAGTAAGCTTAAATTGAAGATATGGCAAATAGCAGTGGCAATATCTTCCGCTATTATCCTCAGTAATTTTCCATTCAAGTTGTCAGACCCTGGTGGCTTGTCATTGTTGATCGCCAAAAATACTTTTTTCACCTCTTCCACACTTACTTTACGGAATTCAAAATTACAATGTTTGTCTTTCATAATTTGGTCAGATATACTTGGATGTGTAGTGTCAGCGTTTGTTGCTGGCATGTCATGCCTAAGTTTGCTTATCTTGCCAATGAAAAAAATCATTAAAGTAGTTGGCAATATCAGTGGGTTTTGTGATGAATGAGCCATCTGATTCAATGAATGATGGATCGGAGTTAGCCTTTTTGCCCAAAAGTTCATTTAAGGTGCTCCAAAGCTTCTTACTATCATTCTTTATGTCATTTATCTTTGTTTCATAGTATAGTTTCTTCTTCTTTTTATTCAGTTTAGTCACATGATTTCTCAATTTGCAATACGTTTGCCAATTGGTTGTGCAGCCAGACCTATTTGCCATCTCTTTTGCCTCATCCCTCTCAACCATACAATTTTTCAATTCCTCATCAATCCACTGGGATTTAACAGTTTTTACAGTCATTTTCTTAATGGGTGCATGCTTATTAGTAACTGGGATAAGCAATTTCATAAATGTGTGAAGTACAGTGTCTGTTTGCTCATCATTACACACCACGGACCAACAAATATTCTTCACATCAACATCATAGGAATCACTACAGAACTTCTTGTATGACCTCTCTATTGATATCACATATATTATTTCACACGTTATCCAGATACTGACTGTTAACACTTGGTGGTCTATAGCAGCTTCCCACCAGAATGGGCTTTAGGTGAGGCAGGTGAACCTGTAGCCATATTACTTCAACAGTATTTAACATGAGATCTTCTCTAAGCTTTACAGGAATGTGGTTCTGAATATAGACCGCAACACCGCCCCCATTGGCATTTCTGTATTTTCTGTAAATGTTATCATTTACATTACATTTTACATTTTAGTCATTTAGCAGACGCTCTTAACCAGAGCGACTTACAGGAGCAATTAGGGTTAAGTGCCTTGCTCAAGGGCACATTAACGTCATTTAGCAGACGCTCTTAGCCAGAGCGACTCACAAATTGGTGCGTTCACCCTATAGCCAGTGGGATAACCACTTTACAATTTGGGGGGGGGGGGGGGGGGGGGGGGGGGGGGGGGGTTAGAAGGAATACTTTAGCCTATCCCAGGTATTCCTTAAAGAGGTGGGGTTTCAAATGTCTCCGGAAGGTGGTGAGTGACTCCGCTGTCCTGGCGTCGTGAGGGAGCTTGTTCCACCATTGGGGTGCCAGAGCAGCGAACAGTTTTGACTGGGCTGAGGGGGAGCTGTGCTTCCGCAGAGGAAGGGGAGCCAGCAGGCCAGAGGTGGATGAACGCAATGTCCTCGTTTGGGTGTAGGGACTGATCAGAGCCTGAAGGTACAGGGGTGCCGTTCCCCTCACTGCTCCAAAGGCAAGCACCATGGTCTTGTAGCGGATGCGAGCTTCAATTGGAAGCCAGTGGAGTGTGCGGAGGAGGGGGGGTGACGTGAGAGAACTTGGGAAGGTTGAACACCAGACGGGCTGCGGCATTCTGGATGAGTTGTAGGGGTTTAATGGCACAGGCAGGGAGGCCAGCCAACAGCGAGTTGCAGTAGTCCAGACGGGAGATGACAAGTGCCTGGACCAGGACCTGCGCCGCTTCCTGTGTAAGGCAGGGTCGCACTCTCCGAATGTTGTAGAGCATGAACCTGCAGGAGCGGGTCACCGCCTTGATGTTGGCGGAGAACGACAGGGTGTTGTCCAGGGTCACGCCTAGGCTCTTCGCACTCTGGGAGGAGGACACAGCGGAGTTGTCTACCGTGATGGCGAGATCATGGAACGGGCAGTCCTTCCCGGGGAGGAAGAGCAGCTCCGTCTTGCCAGGGTTCAGCTTGAGGTGGTGATCCGTCATCCATACTGATATGTCTGCCAGACATGCAGAGATGCGATTCGCCACCTGGTGATCAGAAGGGGGAAAGGAGAAGATTAGTTGTGTATCGTCAGCGTAGCAATGATAGGAAAGGCCATGTGAGGATATGACAGAGCCAAGTGACTTGGTGTATAGGGAGAAAAGGAGAGGGCCCAAAACCGATCCCTGGGGGACACCAGTGGTGAGAGCACGTGGTGCGGAGACAGCTTCCCGCCACGCCACTTGGTAGGAGCGACCGGTCAGGTAGGACGCAATCCAGGAGTGAGCCGCGCCGGAGATGCCCATTTCGGAGAGGGTGGAGAGGAGGATCTGATGGTTCACAGTATCAAAGGCAGCAGACAGATCTAGAAGGACAAGAGCAGAGGAGAGAGAGTTAGCTTTAGCAGTGCGGAGAGTCTCTGTGACACAGAGAAGAGCAGTCTCAGTTGAATGACCAGTCCTGAAACCTGATTGGTTTGGATCAAGAAGGTCATTCTGAGACCTTGTATTGTAACCTTGTATTGCTACCACTGTATCATCAAAGGTATTATCTAAGTGAGTTTGAGAGATTGTCAGAATATGAATGTCATCTGTTACTATCAAATGGAGTGATGCGACACCATTCTTCCACAAGAAATTGCGTAATTTGGTGTTTTGTTGATGGTTGTGGAAAATGCTGTCTCAGGCGATGCTCCAAGCTGTGCCATAAGTGTTCAATTTGTTTGAGATCTGGTGACTGAGACACCCTGGCATATGGTTTACATCGTTTTCATGCTCATCAAACCGTTCAGTGACCACTCGTGCCCTGTGGATGGGGGCATTGTCATCCTATGGGGGCATAGCCATGGTAGCCAAAATAATGGCCTGCCCAGCATTTTTATACATGACCCTAAGCGTATGTGGGGGAATGGCGGTGCCGTGGATAGCGATGGTCTTACAGGATCCTGACCAATTCTGCTATTTTGTGTTATTTGTTTCGCTGATCTAAATGTTCATTGTACATAATGTTTCCGCCATCATTTCCTACTACCAAAAACAGCTTCTGGACATCAGAACAGCATTCGCTAACCTCGATTTGGAATATCGGCGGCTCTGGATATTCTGCTTACTCCTGACCATAATCCCCGGGTCTTGAAAGAGGAAGCGGCAGTGAAAAAGAGGCAGGTTCCTATGGAGACAGGAGACTACGTCACTGGAGAACAAATTGGATGAGCTCCATTCGATACTATCCTATCAACGGGACCTGATAAAAAAAAAAATATCCTATGTTTCTCAGAGTTGTGGCTGAACAAAGACATGGATATACATCGATGCGTCGTCAACAGCGAATGGTAAACTTGGGTAAAACGAAGAGAACAGCTGGTGCGCAATCTCTAACGTTAAGGAAGTCTCAACTTTTTGATCTCCTAAGTTAGAATACTATTTACCATCTATATTTTTCATAGCAGTCGTGGTCAAAATGTCAGATGTTACTATGGTATACTGAAGTATAATTACAAGCATTCCATAAGTGTTAAAGGCTTTTATTGACAATTACATTAAGTTTATGCAAAGAGTCAATATTGGCAGTGTTGACCCTTTTTTTTCAAGACCTCTGCAATCCGCCCTGGCATGCTGTCAATTAACTTCTGGGCCACATCCTGAATGATGGCAGCCCATTCTTGCATAATCAATGCTTGGGGTTTGTCAGAATTTTTGGGTTTTTGTTTGTCCACCCGCCTCTTGAGGATTGACCACAAGTTCTCAATGGGACTGGGGAGTTTCCTGGCCATGGACCCAAAATGTCGATGTTTTGTTCCCCGAGCCACTTAGTTATCACTTTTGCCTTATGCCAAGGTATGGAAAAGGCATTTTTTGTCATCAAACTGTTCTTGGATGGTTGGAAGAAGTTGCTCTCTGAGGATGTGTTGGTACCATTCTTTATTCATGGCTGGGTTCTTGTGAGTGAGCCCACTTCCTTGGCTGAGAAGCAACCCCACACATGAATGGTCTCAGGATGCTTTACTGTTGGCATGACACGGGACTGATGGTAGCGCTCACCTTGACTTCTCCGGACAAGCTTTTTTCCGGATACCCCAAACAATCGGAAAGAGGATTCATCAGAAAAAATGACTTTACCCCAGTCCTCAGCAGTCCAATCCCTGTACCTTTGCAGAATATCAGTCTGTCCCTGATGTTTTTCCTGGAGAGAAGTGGCTTCCTCACTGCCCTTCTTGACACCAGGCCATCCTCCAAAAGTCTTCGCCTCACTGTGTGTGCAGATGCACTCACACCTGCCTGCTGCCATTCCTGAGCAAGCTCTGCACTGGTGGTGCCCCGATCCCGCAGCTGAATCAACTTTAGGAGACGGTCCTGGCGCTTGCTGGACTTTCTTGGGCGCCCTGAAGCCTTCTTCACAACAATTGAACCTCTCTCCTTTAAGTTCTTGATGATCCGATAAATGGTTGATTTAGGTGCAATCTTACTAGCAGCAATATCCTTGCCTGTGAAACCCTTTTTTTGCAAAGCAATGATGAAGGCATGTGTTTCCTTGCAGGTAACCATGGTTAACAGAGGAAGAGCAATGATTTCAAGCACCACCCTCATTTTAAAGCTTCCAGTCTGTTATTCTAACTCAATCAGCATGACAGAGTGATCTCCAGCCTTGTCCTCGTCAACACTCTCACCTGTGTTAACGAGAGAATCACTGACATGATGTCAGCTGGTCCTTTTGTGGCAGGGCTGAAATGCAGTGGAAATGTTTTTTGGGGATAAAGTTCATTTTCATGGCAAAGAGGGACCTTGCAATTAATTGCAATTCATCTGATCACTCTTCATAACATTCTGGAGTATATGCAAATTACCATTATAAAAACTGAGGCAGCAGACTTTGTGAAAATTTGTGTCATTCTCAAAACTTTTGACCAAGACTGTATTTACCACCTCAAATCGATGCTGGCACTAAGACCAAACTCAATGAGCAAACAAGAAGCACATTCAGAGGCGGCGTTTCTCATGGCCCGTGGTTTTAATGGAGGGAAACTGAAATTCGTTTTACCTCATTTTTACCAGCATGTCACTTGTTCACCTGGAGGTGATAACACTCTAGAAATGCCTCCCTCGCCAACCATACCCCAACCAGACGCCATGGATTAGAGGCAACATTCGCACTGAGCTAAAGGCTAGAACTGCCGCTTTCAAGGAACGGGACAATAATCTGGACGCTTATAAGATATCCCGCTACGACCTCCTAAGAAACCCAGCCACGAGCTGTCCAGCTATGTGAGCCTACCAGACGAGCTAACTGCCTTATATGCTCACTTCGAGGCAAGCAACACTGAACCATGCATGAAAGCATCAGCTGTTCAGGACGACTGTGTGATCACGCTCTCTATAGCCGATGTAAGTAAGAAGTTTAAACAGGTTAACATTCACAAGTCTGCAGGGCCAGACGGATTACCAGGATGCGTACCAGAGGATATAGTAAGACCTTTAAACAGGTCAACATTCACAAGGCCGCAGGGCCAGACAGCATACCAGGATGCGTACTCAGAGCATGCGCTGACCAACTGACAAGTGTCTTCACTGACATTTTCAACCTATGCCTGACCCGGTCTGTAATACCAACTTGTTTCAAGCAGATCACCATAGTCCCTATGCCCAAGAATGCCAAGGTAATCTGTCTAAATGACTAAACATTTACATTTACATTTTAGTCATTTAGCAGACGCTCTTATCCAGAGCGACTTACAGGAGCAATTAGGGTTAAGTGCCTTGCTCAAGGGCACATTAACGTCATTTAGCAGACGCTCTTAGCCAGAGCGACTCGCAAATTGGTGCGTTCACCCTATAGCCAGTGGGATAACCACTTTACAATTTGGGGGGGGGGGGGGTTAGAAGGAACACTTTATCCTATCCCAGGTATTCCTTAAAGAGGTGGGGTTTCAAATGTCTCCGGAAGGTGGTGAGTGACTCCGCTGTCCTGGCGTCGTGAGGGAGCTTGTTCCACCATTGGGGTGCCAGAGCAGCGAACAGTTTTGACTGGGCTGAGCGGGAGCTATGCTTCCGCAGAGGAAGGGGAGCCAGCAGGCCAGAGGTGGATGAACGCAATGCCCTCGTTTGGGTGTAGGGACTGATCAGAGCCTGAAGGTACAGAGGTGCCATTCCCCTCACTGCTCCATAGGCAAGCACCATGGTCTTGTAGCGGATGCGAGCTTCAACTGGAAGCCAGTGGAGTGTGCGGAGGAGGGGGGTGACGTGAGAGAACTTGGGAAGGTTGAACACCAGACGGGCTGCGGCATTCTGGATGAGTTGTAGGGGTTTAATGGCACAGGCAGGGAGGCCAGCCAACAGCGAGTTGCAGTAGTCCAGACGGGAGATGACAAGTGCCTGGATTAGGACCTGTGCCGCTTCCTGTGTAAGGCAGGGTCGTACTCTCCGAATGTTGTAGAGCATGAACCTGCAGGAGCGGGTCACCGCCTTGATGTTGGCGGAGAATGACAGGGTGTTGTCCAGGGGTCACGCCTAGGCTCTTCGCACTCTGGGAGGAGGACACAGCGGAGTTGTCAACCGTGATGGCGAGATCATGGAACGGGCAGTCCTTCCCCGGGAGGAAGAGCAGCTCCGTCTTGCCAGGGTTCAGCTTGAGGTGGTGATCCGTCATCCATACTGATATGTCTGCCAGACATGCAGAGATGCGATTCGCCACCTGGTTATCAGAAGGGGGAAAGGAGAAGATTAGTTGTGTATCGTCAGCGTAGCAATGATAGGAAAGGCCATGTGAGGATATGACAGAGCCCAAGTGACTTGGTGTATAGGGAGAAAAGGAGAGGGCCTAGAACTGAGCCCTGGGGGACACCAGTGGTGAGAGCACGTGGTGCGGAGACAGCTTCTCGCCACGCCACTTGGTAGGAGCGACCGGTCAGGTAGGACGCAATCCAGGAGTGAGCCGCGCCGGAGATGCCCAGCTCGGAGAGGGTGGAGAGGAGGATCTGATGGTTCACAGTATCAAAGGCAGCAGACAGTTCTAGAAGGACAAGAGCAGAGGAGAGAGAGTTAGCTTTAGCAGTGCGGAGAGTCTCCGTGACACAGAGAAGAGCAGTCTCAGTTGAATGACCAGTCCTGAAACCTGATTGGTTTGGATCAAGAAGGTCATTCTGAGAGAGATAGCAAGAGAGTTGGCTAAAGACGGCACGCTCAATAGTTTTGGAAAGAAAAGAAAGAAGGGATAACTGGTCTGTAGTTGTTGACATCAGTGGGGGTCGAGTGTTGGTTTTTTGAGAAGGGGAGCAACTCTCGCTCTCTTGAAGACGGAAGGGACATGGCCAGCGGTCCAAGGATGAGTTGATCAGCGAGGTGAGGTAGGGGAGAAGGTCACCGGAGATGGTCTGGAAAGGGAGGAGGGATGGGGTCAAGCGGGCAGGTTGTTGGGCGGCCTGCAGTCACAAGTCGCAGGATTTTATCTGGAGAGAGAGGGGAGAAAGAAGTCAAAAGCATAGGGTAGGGCAGTGTGAGCATGACCAGCAGTGTCATTAGACTTAACAAACGAGGATCGATGTCCGTCAACCTTCTTTTCAAAGTGGTTGACGAAGTCATCTACGAGAGAGAGGAGGGGGGGGGGGGGGGGGGGGGGGGGGGGGGGGTTGGTTGGTTTTGTGTGGGGGGGGGTTTGTGTTTGGGGGGGGTTTTTGGTTTTTTTGGGGGTTGGGGGGGGAGTGGGTGCGGCCCGGGGCTTTTTGGTTTTTTTTTTTGCCCCCTTTGGGTTTGTTTTTTTTGGTTGTTTGTGTTGGGGCTGTTTTTTTTTTTTTCCGTTTTTTTTTTTTTTTCCAAAAAAGGTTTGCTTTTTTTTTTTTTTTTTTTTTTTTTTTCGGTTTGGGTTTAAAGGGTTCCTTTTTTTTTGGGTTTTTTTTTTTAAAGGGACGGTTGGGGGTTTTTTTAAATTTTTTTTTTTTCCGGGCATTACCATTTTTTTTTTTTTAATTTTTTGTTTTTGGGGGGTGGGGGAGAAAAGGGGGAAAAAATTGGCAAAGGGGGGGTTCAGGGTTGGGAGGCAGATCTTTGGATTTAGATTGGTTTGGAAGGGGGCTTAGGGGGTTTTAAAACAAAAGGGGGAAAAAAAGAGGGGGAGGGAAAAGAAAAATTTGGAAAAGGGGTTTTTGGTTTTTCCCCAAAAACTGTGCGTGGGACCCTCCCAAAAAGGCATAACCCCCCAGCTAGGGAAAACCCAGGGCCTGGGAAGGGGGAATAGAGACCAAGGAATAAAAAAGGGGGAAAGGGTTAAGGGGCAGGAATTTCCAAATTTGGAGGAGAAGAAAGAGGTTGGGGAAAAATTTTGAAAGGATTGGAAAAAAGGATTGTAAAAAACCCCCCCGAAAGGTTCGGGGGGGAAACCATTGTTAGGGGAAGGGAGAGGGGGGGGAGATTTTTAAGGGGAAAAAAAATTTTTGTTGGGAAATGGGGGGATTTTTGCGGGTTGGTTGGAAAGGGAGCGCTTTTTTGGAAGAAGGCGCCGTTTTGGCCCTTCCTTTGGAGGGGGGGAAAGGGTGGGGGTGGGTAAAAAGGGGAGGGTAAAGGGAGCGGCCGTTTAAAGGCGGGGAGGGGAAACCCCCGGGTGGGGGGGAATTCCCAAAAGGGAAAGGGAACAAAAAAAGGGATTTGAAAAAGGGTGGGTGAAAAAAAGGAAAGCTTTGGGGGGGGGTGGACGGACAGCGGAAAAAGGGAAGCAAAAGGGTTGGGGGAAAAAAAAATTTTTGGGAGAGGAGGGAAAAAAATGCCTGGGGATGGAAAAATGGGGACGGGTTAGGAGGGAAAGAGTTGGGGGAATGGGGGAGGAGGGAGGGGAGGGGAAGGGGGGTTGGGAGTTTTTGGGCGGAAAAATTTAGGGGCGGTGCAAAATAAAAGGGGGGGGGGGGGCCACCGTTAGAGAGGCAAAACCCGCGTGGGGTTCGTTTGTGTGCCTTTTCAAAGGAGAAAAAACAGGGTTTTCAAGACATTTTACAGGCGTAAGCAAAGGGCTAAAAAATTTCAGAGGAATGGGAAAAAATGAGCTAACCCTTTTGGGAGGGGAATATCGGGCCTCCCTCCCCAAAAAACTCAAACCCAAAACAAAAAATTTTTTCACTGAACCACCCGAACAAAAACCCCCCCCTTCCCCCCCCTTTAGAAATCAAATTTTTGTAACCCCAGCTTTTCAATTTTTTAAAAAAGGAATAGCTCCCCCCACTTTTTTCACTACCCAAACCTATGAAAAACCATACTAACAAAACCCTAGCACCCAAAAAAACAATAACAAAACCCCCTTTTTACCCCACCCAACATTTGGGTCAAAACAAACCCCCAATAGGTAAAACACACAAAAAATCATTCGTGTCTGTGTCCCTTTTCCTTTCATGACGCAAAAATGATTAGACGTTGGCTAGCTATAAAATATATTGTATTTAGCCCTCCCGTACTTAGCTGGTCGTGTTGGAAAGCAAAGCAATGGCCACTTTGTTGCCTTTTTTTTGGGAAGAACCATCTAGCTAGCTTCTTGCTAAAAACCCGGGCACAAAATGGCAAATTGTTTTCTCTTTACCCGGGTTCGAAAAAACGGCTAGGTAGCCCGTTCGTGCTACACCCCGGCACTCCCCCAAGGGAAAAAAGTAACTACACACAAAAACCCCATGCCTATTTAGACCCCGGGTATCTTGAAAGCTAGCATCCTTTAAAAAAACAATTTAAAATAAAATACTTTGTTACAAAAAAAAAAAATTTGGCCAAAGAGTGTTTTTACACACTAAACAGAAAATTCAATTTCCGTGTCATTTTCCTTTTCATAACGCATAACGCAAAAAAAAATTTAAAAACGTTGGCAAGTTTTACTTTAAACTTTGGGGGAACCGCCCTCCAGCGTTGCTAATCTTTTACCAGTAGTTACCCGCTAGCTAGCTAGCCTCGTCTTCGTACTAACCTACATTTCAAAAAATCTAACCTATAAAAAATTTTCAATCCTAACTCCCGGGTAACTACCTACCTACACTAAAAACCTTGGGTTTAAACAAAAAATTAAAAAATTTTGGGTTTGCACTTTCATTAACATTGGGACCAAAACCTCCTCTAGCGTTGCTAAACGTTTTCCCCGTAGCCCCCCCCTAGCTTTGCTACCCCGTGCTTCGATACTAAAACCCCAATTACCTAAAAAACCTACAAAAACAAAAATACTAACCTATGATAAAAAATACATACCCAAAATAAACCCCAAAACCTCCCTTCAAAAGTTTTACTGTCTGAAGATTTAAAAATGTAAACCCCCTTTTGCACTCCCCTCATACCATGAAAAGCTTTTAAAGGCTGGTCATGGGTTTACAAAACCCTCAACCCAGACATCCTGGGCCCCTCCCAATTTTTCCCTAAACCCCCCCAACAGACCACAATGACGCAATCTCTATTGCCCCTCAACCCCCCATGGAAAAAAGGAATAAACCCATGTTTAAAATGCTGTTTTTATTGACTACAGCTTCAGCATTTAACACCATATTCCCCCCCCAAGCTCAAACACCAACTCAGGAACCCCCGGGGCGGGAACAACTTCTCTGCAACTGGTCCGGGCCTTTTTCCCGACAGCCGCCCCCCCGGTGGTGAATTGGCAACAACCCCAAAACCACTAGCTGCCCCAACATGGGGCACCTCAGGGGGGTTTTTGGGTTATTTCCCCCCCTGTAAACCCTGTTCAAAAAATGACTTCTTGGGGGGGCGCAACTCCAACCCATCATCAAAAATTTTTCTGACGACACAAACCCTGGGGGACTGATCCCCGAAATGAGGCAGCCTTTTGGAAAAGGGGGTCAAGACCTGGAAATGTGGGGGCCAGAACAACAAAACCCCCTCCCTCATCTGCAAGACAAAGGGTGATCGTGGACTACAGGAAACAGAGGGGTGAAATAAGCCCCCCTCAACACGAGTTGCTGTAGTGGTGCGGGTCCCAAAGCTTCAATTTTTCCTTTGGGGTCCACACACCAACAAACTATCATGGGGCCGAAAAACCCAAACAGTCGTGGAAGGGAACGACAAGCCTATTCCCCCCCGGAGACGAAAAACTTGGCATGGGGCCTCAGAAACCTCAAAAAGTTTAATTAAAACTTCAACCCCTCGAGACATTCCTTAAATGTTTTTTAAACACTGCCCCGGGATGGCAACTGCTCTCCTCCGACAGCAAAGGGGCTACAAATGGGATGTTTTTTTGGCCCCAAAACATCATTGGGGCCAAGCTTTCCTGCCCTTTCCGGGCCTCTATAAACCCCGGGGGTGTCAAAAGGAAGGGGCCCCAAAAACTGCCCAAAGACTCCAGCCACCCTAGTCATAGACCCTTTCGGCCCGCTACCGCATGAACCCGGGTTTCTTGGGGGCGCCAAGTCTAGGTCCAAAAAGCTTTTTTAACAGTTCTAACCCCCAAACCATAAGAAATTCTTTAACCCCAAAAAAAATGGGTAAACGGCCATTTCATTGACCCCCCCCCCCCCCCCCCCCCCCCCCCCCCCCCCCCCCCTTTTTGTACACCCGCTGCTACTGACTGGTTTTTTACTATGCATATCACTTTATCCCCACCTACTGTACAAATTACCTCGACTAACCGGGATACCTTCCCCGCACATTGACTCGGGACCGGTACCCCCCCCCGTAATTTGCCTTGGGGTTTTTTGTTTTTTTATTTTTTGTTTTTTTTATTTTTTAAAAATTTTCTTAAACCCCCATTTTTTTTTAAAAATGCATTGTTTTGGTTTTAAAGGGGTTGTAAGTAACATTTCCCCGGTTTTTTACTCGTTTCGTGTTTACAATTTAAATTTGTTATAATTTTTCACCCTTTCTGTTTTTCCCCAAACCCCTTCCTTTTAACCTCCGTATATACATTTTACGGACACAGTATTTTACAAATTGTTATCTTGTTATTTTTTTTTCCCCCCCCCTTCAGCTCCACTCAACCCCTCCCATTTATCTCTGAAAACCATCCAGTTTGATTTCATTTGCCATTTTTTTTTCAAATATGTTTCACAAAAATTTTTGAACCCCCTTTTATTCCCCATTGTTTTTCCCACAGATTTTTAAAATTAAAAATAAAAATTTTTCAAGATTTTTTATTATAAAATTTTTGATCGATTACTTTGACTTTTTTAAATTTCCCCGCGTGCTACTTTGGGAAGTTTTGCGCCCGGTTAAAAAGTTTCAAAATTCTTCAACCATTCCTGAACCTGCACCAAAAAAAACTACATAGGCATACCCAAAAAAAATTTTCTAAAGATTCTGTCTCTTGCAGCAAAAACTGCAGCGCTGATTTTTGTATCCCCCCCTATACAGTGCCTTCGGAAAATTTCATACCCTTGACCTTTTTTTCCCACATTTTTGGGTTTTTTAAAACCTATTCTAAAATTGTTAAAAAAAATAAAATCCTCAGCAATTTTTACACCCAATGCTCATAAGGACAAAGCGAAAACAGGTTTTTTTTTAAATGTTTGCAAATTTTTAAAAAAAAAAAAAAAAAAATACCTTTTTTACACAAGTAATTTAGACCGTTTGCTATGAAACTCAAATTAAGCTCAGGTTCACCCGTTTTCCCTTTACCTCCTTTAGATTTTCTACCCCCAAATTAATTGGAGTCCCCAGTTGGGAAAATTTAATTGATTGGAAAATGATTTTGGGAAAAGGGACACACCTTTTTAATAAGGTCCCACAATTGGGCAGTGCTGTCCCGACAAAAAACCCAAACCATGATTTGAAAGGGAAATTTTCTGTAAGCCTTTTTAGCAGAATTGTGTTGAGGCACAGTTGGGGGAAAGGGGAAAAAACCAAAAAAACCCCCTGCAAACTTGAAGGGCCTTTAAGAACCCCAGTGGGCCCCCTTACATTTCAAGAAATTTGGAACCCTCAAGGGCCTTTTTCCAAGAGCGGGGTGCCCCCAACTGAGGGAATCGGGGGAGAAGGGCCTTAACGGAAGGTGACCCCCGAAAACCCGAGGTCCCCCGCTGACAGAGCTCCAATTTTTCCCCTTGGAGATGGGGGGAAAAATTCCAAAGGGCAAATCTCTCTTTCGCCTCCCCAATCCGGGCCTTTTTGGTAAGGGGGGCCCCGACGGAAAACCCCTTTCCCCAGTAAAAACACCACACCCACTTGGAACTGCCAAAAGGCACCTAAAACTCTCGACCATGAAAACCCAAAATTTCTGGTCTGTGAAACCAAGATTGAACTCCTTTTTTGGCCCCAATGCCAACTCAAAGTTTTGGAAAGAAATTGGCACCATCCCTCGGTGAAAACATGGTGTGGCCCCATCATACTGTGGGGGGGGTTTTTTTTAAACGGCAGGGGCGGGGAGGGCTAGGCAGGGGAAAGATGGGAAAGGAGGGAAATTAAAAAAACAGATCCTTTAAAAAAACCGCCCAGAGGTTCAACCTCAGACTGGGGGGTAAGGGTTTACCTTCCAACAGGAAAAATTAACCCCCAAAACCCACATCCCAAAACAAAGCAGGAGTGGTTTTGGGAAAAATTTTCTGAAGTCCTTTAGTGGCCCAGCCAAACCTGGACTTAAACCTTTTGGAAACCTTAAAAAAAGCCCGTGCAAACGCTTTCCCCCTCCAAACCCGCGGGGCCCTTTAGGGACTGCAAAAAAAGAATGGGAGAAACTCCCCAAATAAAGGTGTGCCCAAACTTGTATGTCCTACCCCGTGAGACAGGAGTGCGGGGGAAACGCTCTCGTGTCCCGAGGGCACCGGGTGTACAGTGGCCAGGTAGAGCTCCACCTGCAGGAGGAACCCCTGACACCCGGCAGCTGTACCGTCATACGCCCTCGGGAGCGAGAGCCGAATCCTCCTGGGTTCCGGACCTGGGACTGGTGGACCGGCCGATGGGGTTGGCAGGGTAGGTGGAGGTGTGGGTACCCCGCTGGTCTCCCATCGGTGCAAGGTGTTGATGACGTCCTGTAGAGCGGTCCCCAGTTGACGTATCTGGTCATCTTGCCCACGGACATGCTCCTCGAGCGACTCAGGCGTAACTGCAGATCCTGCTGATTCCATTCTGGTGTGTGATTCTGTCAGGGGTGCTGAAGGTGGGTGTGGTGCATGAATCAAGCGCAGGACGCAGAGGCTCAGTCCAAAAGACTTTAGTGCAATATTTACATAGAGAAATAAGCACAATAAGCCCGAAGGCGAAATCACGGCGCACACAGGCGTCAAATAAAAGGCGCACTAACATGTGCGAAAAACCTCTCCAAAACACTGGAGGGAAGTACGTAGCTCCAACACGAAACAGAAGAGCAATCACACACAAAGACAAACACAACCAACGAGAACTAAATAGGACACTAACGAGGACTAACAAGACACAGGTGTACAACATCAAGACAAAACCAAACGAACATGAAACATAGATCGGTGGTAGCTAGTACTCCGGGGACGACGACCGCCGAAGCCTGCCCGAACCAGGAGGAGGAGCAGCCTCGGCCGAAACCGTGACAATCGGTTGTGCAGCCAGACCTATTAGCCATCTCTTTTGCCTCATCCCTCTCAACCATACAATTTTTCAATTCCTCATCAATCCACTGGGATTTAACAGTTTTTACAGTCATTTTCTTAATGGGTGCATGCTTATTAGTAACTGGGATAAGCAATTTCATAAATGTGTGAAGTACAGTGTCTGTTTGCTCATCATTACACACCACGGACCAACACATATTCTTCACATCAACATCATAGGAATCACTACAGAACTTCTTGTATGACCTCTCTATTGATATCACATATATTATTTCACACGTTATCCAGATACTGACTGTTAGCACTTGGTGGTCTTTAGCAGCTTCCCACCAGAATGGGCTTTAGGTGAGGCAGGTGAACCTGTAGCCATATTACTTCAACAGTATTTAACATGAGATCTTCTCTAAGCTTTACAGGAATGTTGTTCTGAATATAGACCGCAACACCGCCCCCATTGGCATTTCTGTATTTTCTGTAAATGTTATAACCTTGTATTGCTACCACTGTATCATCAAAGGTATTATCTAAGTGAGTTTGAGAGATTGTCAGAATATGAATGTCATCTGTTACTATCAAATGGAGTGATGCGACACCATTCTTCCACAAGAAATTGTGTAATTTGGTGTTTTGTTGATGGTTGTGGAAAATGCTGTCTCAGGCGATGCTCCAAGCTGTGCCATAAGTGTTCAATTTGTTTGAGATCTGGTGACTGAGACACCCTGGCATATGGTTTACATCGTTTTCATGCTCATCAAACCGTTCAGTGACCACTCGTGCCCTGTGGATGGGGGCATTGTCATCCTATGGGGGCATAGCCATGGTAGCCAAAATAATGGCCTGCCCAGCAATTTTATACATGACCCTAAGCGTATGTGGGGGAATGGCGGTGCCGTGGATAGCGACGGTCTTACAGGATCCTGACCAATTCTGCTATTTTGTGTTATTTGTTTCGTTGATCTAAATGTTCATTGTACATAATGTTTCCGCCATCATTTCCTACTACCAAAAACAGCTTCTGGACATCAGAACAGCATTCGCTAACCTCGATTTGGAATATCGGCGGCTCTGGATATTCTGCTTACTCCTGACCATAATCCCCGGGTCTTGAAAGAGGAAGCGGCAGTGAAAAAGAGGCAGGGTCCTATGGAGACAGGAGACTACGTCACTGGAGAACAAATTGGATGAGCTCCATTCGATACTATCCTATCAACGGGACCTGATTAAAAAAAAAATATTCTATGTTTCTCAGAGTTGTGGCTGAAAAAAAAATTAAAATAAAAAATAAATAAAAAATAATCAACAAATAAAAATAAAATAAAAAATAAAACATGGATATACATCGATGCGTCATCAACAGCGGATGGTAGACTTGGGTAAAACGAAGAGAACAGCTGGTGCGCAATCTCTAACGTTAAGGAAGTCTCAAGTTTTTGATCTCCTAAGTTAGAATACTATTTACCATCTATATTTTTCATAGCAGTCGTGGTCAAAATGTCAGATGTTACTATGGTATACTGAAGTATAATTACAAGCATTCCATAAGTGTTAAAGGCTTTTATTGACAATTACATTAAGTTTATGCAAAGAGTCAATATTGGCAGTGTTGACCCTTTTTTTTCAAGACCTCTGCAATCCGCCCTGGCATGCTGTCAATTAACTTCTGGGCCACATCCTGAATGATGGCAGCCCATTCTTGCATAATCAATGCTTGGAGTTTGTCAGAATTTGTGGGTTTTTGTTTGTCCACCCGCCTCTTGAGGATTGACCACAAGTTCTCAATGGGATTAAGGTCTGGGGAGTTTCCTGGCCATGGACCCAAAATGTCGATGTTTTGTTCCCCGAGCCACTTAGTTGTCACTTTTGCCTTATGGCAAGGTATGGAAAAGGCATTTTTCGTCACCAAACTGTTCTTGGATGGTTGGAAGAAGTTGCTCTCTGAGGATGTGATGGTACCATTCTTTATTCATGGCTGGGTTCTTAGGCAAAATTGTGAGTGAGCCCACTTCCTTGGCTGAGAAGCAACCCCACACATGAATGGTCTCAGGATGCTTTACTGTTGGCATGACACGGGACTGATGGTAGCGCTCACCTTGACCTCTCCGGACAAGCTTTTTTCCGGATACCCCCAAACAATCGGAAAGGGGATTCATCAGAAAAAATGACTTTACCCCAGTCCTCAGCAGTCCAATCCCTGTACCTTTTGCAGAATATCAGTCTGTCCCTGATGTTTTTCCTGGAGAGAAGTGGCTTCCTCGCTGCCCTTCTTGACACCAGGCCATCCTCCAAAAGTCTTCGCCTCACTGTGTGTGCAGATGCACTCACACCTGCCTGCTGCCATTCCTGAGCAAGCTCTGCACTGGTGGTGCCCCGATCCCGCAGCTGAATCAACTTTAGGAGACGGTCCTGGCGCTTGCTGGACTTTCTTGGGCGCCCTGAAGCCTTCTTCACAACAATTGAACCTCTCTCCTTTAAGTTCTTGATGATCCGATAAATGGTTGATTTAGGTGCAATCTTACTAGCAGCAATATCCTTGCCTGTGAAGCCCTTTTTTTGCAAAGCAATGATGAAGGCATGTGTTTCCTTGCAGGTAACCATGGTTAACAGAGGAAGAGCAATGATTTCAAGCACCACCCTCATTTTAAAGCTTCCAGTCTGTTATTCTAACTCAATCAGCATGACAGAGTGATCTCCAGCCTTGTCCTCGTCAACACTCTCACCTGTGTTAACGAGAGAATCACTGACATGATGTCAGCTGGTCCTTTTGTGGCAGGGCTGAAATGCAGTGGAAATGTTTTTGGGGGATTAAGTTCATTTTCATGGCAAAGAGGGACCTTGCAATTAATTGCAATTCATCTGATCACTCTTCATAACATTCTGGAGTATATGCAAATTACCATTATAAAAACTGAGGCAGCAGACTTTGTGAAAATTAATATTTGTGTCATTCTCAAAACTATTGACCAAGACTGTGTTTACCACCTCAAATCGATGCTGGCACTAAGACCAAACTCAATGAGCAAACAAGAAGCACGTTTCTCATGGCCCGTGGTTTTAATGCAGGGAAACTGAAATTCGTTTTACCTCATTTTTACCAGCATGTCACTTGTTCACCTGGAGGTGACAACACTCTAGAAATGCCTCCCTCGCCAACCATACCCCAACCAGACGCCATGGATTAGAGGCAACATTCGCACTGAGCTAAAGGCTAGAACTGCCGCTTTCAATGAACGGGACAATAATCTGGACGCTTATAAGATATCCCGCTACGACTTCCTAAGAAACCCAGCCACGAGCTGTCCAGCTATGTGAGCCTACCAGACGAGCTATCTGCCTTATATGCTCACTTCGAGGCAAGCAACACTGAACCATGCATGAAAGCATCAGCTGTTCAGGACAGACTCTGTGATCACGCTCTCTATAGCCGATGTAAGTAAGAAGTTTAAACAGGTTAACATTCACAAGTCTGCAGGGCCAGACGGATTACCAGGATGTGTACCAGAGGATATAGTAAGACCTTTAAACAGGTCAACATTCACAAGGCCGCAGGGCCAGACAGCATACCAGGATGCGTACTCAGAGCATGCGCTGACCAACTGACAAGTGTCTTCACTGACATTTTCAACCTATGCCTGACCCGGTCTGTAATACCAACTTGTTTCAAGCAGATCACCATAGTCCCTATGCCCAAGAATGCCAAGGTAATCTGTCTAAATGACTAAACCACGTAGCACTCCCATCTATAGCCATGAAATGCTTTGAAAGGCTGGTCATGGTTCACACCATCAACCCAGACATCCTGGACCCACTCAATTTGCATACCGCCCCAACAGATCCACAGATGACGCAATCTCTATTGCCGTCACCCACATGGACAAAAGGAATACCTATGTAAGAATGCTGTTCATTGACTACAGCTCAGCGTTCAACACCATAGTCCCCTCCAAGCTCATCACCAAGCTCAGGACCCTGGGACTGAACAACTTCTCTGCAACTGGGTCCTGGACTTCCTGACGGGCCGCCCCCAGGTGGTGAAGGTAGGCAACAACACCACTACGCTGACCCTCAACACGGGGGCACCTCAGGGGTGTGTGCTTAGTCCCCTCCTGTAATCCCTGTTCACCCATGACTTCGTGGCCGCGCACGACTTCAACACCATCATCAAGTTTGCTGACGACACAACGATGGTGGGACTGATCACCGAAGATGAGGCAGCCTATTGGAAGGAGGTCAGAGACCTGGCAGTGTGGTGCCAGAACAACAACCTCTCCCTCAGCGTCTGCAAGACAAAGGAGCTGATCGTGGACTACAGGAAACAGAGGGGTGAGTATGCCCCCATCAACATCGATGTTGCTGTAGTGGAGCGGGTCGAGAGCTTCAAGTTCCTTGGTGTCCACATCACCAACAAATTATCATGGTCCGAACACACCAAGACAGTCGTGAAGAGGGAACGACAACGCCTATTCCCCCTCAGGAGACTGAAAAGATTTGGCATGGGTCCTCAGATCCTCAAAAAGTTATACAGCTGCACCATCGAGAGCATTCTGACTGGTTGCATCACTGCCTGGTATGGCAACTGCTCATCCTCCGACAGCATGGCGCTACAGAGGGTAGTGTTTATGGCCCAATACATCATTGGGGCCAAGCTTCCTGCCTTCCAGGACCTCTATACCAGGCGGTGTCAGAGGAAGGCCCTAAAAACTGCCAAAGACTCCAGCCACCCTAGTCATAGACTGTTCTCTCTGCTACCGCATGACAAGCGGTACTGGAGCGTCAAGTCTAGGTCCAAAATGCTTCTTAACAGCTTCTACCCCCAAGCCATAAGACTGCTGAACAGCTAATCAAATGGCTACCCGGCCTATTGAACTCACACCACCCCACACCCCCCCACCCCCCAAAAAAAAATAAAAAAAAAAGAAAAAAAAAAAAAAAACAAAATACATCCACCACAAAACAAAAAAACAAAAAAAAAAAAACAACACCCACCCCCACCAACCCCAAACCCCCACAAAACACCCCCCCCCACACAGAAAACCCCCCCCCCCCCCCCCCCCCCCCCCCAACCCCCCCCCCCCCCCCCCCCCACCCCCCCCCCCCCCCCCCCCCCCCCCCCCCCCCCACCCCCCCCCCCACCCCCCCCCCCCCCCCCCCCCCCCCCTTTTTGTACACTGCTGCTACTGACTGTTTATTATCTATGCATAGTCACTTTATCCCTACCTACATGTACAAATTACCTCGACTAACCTGTACCTCCCAGCACATTGACTCAGTACCGGTACCCCCTGTATATAGCCTCGTTATTGTTATTTTATTGTTGCTCTTTTATTTTTTAAATATTTTCTTAACCCTTATTTTTCTTAAAACTGCATTGTTGGTTAAGGGCTTGTAAGTAAGCATTTCACGGTTGTACTCGGTGCGTGTGACAAGTAATATTTGTTATATATTTTTCAACTGTGCTGTTTCACAAAAGTTCTGAACCTACAGTATATACATTTTACGGACACAGTATATTTACATTAGTTATCTTGTTATTTTTAGTCCCACCCTTCAGCTCCACTCAACCCCTCCCATTTATCTCTGAACACCATCCAGTTTGATTTCTATTTGCCATATATTTTTCAACTATGTTTCACAAAAGTTCTGAACCCTTCTATTCTCATTGTTTCTACAGATTGTAAATTAAAGATAAACATTTTTACTAAGAGTATTATTATATTATTGATCGATTGACTTTGACTTTTCAAATCTCCCAGCAGTGCTACTTGCAGAGTTAGCGCCAGGTAAATGTTGCAATTCTTCAGCCATTCCTGAACCTGCGACTAAAAACAAGCTACATATGGACAGTACCAAAACAAATTATCTAATGATTCTGTCTCTTCGCAGCAAAAACTGCAGCGCTGAGATGGTTGTATCCCCCATATACAGTGCCTTCGGAAAGTATTCAGACACCTTGACTTTTTCCACATTTTGTTACGTTAAAGCCTATTCTAAAATTGATTAAATAAAATAAAATCCTCAGCAATTTACACACAATACCTCATAATGACAAAGCGAAAACAGGTTTTTAGAAATGTTTGCAAATTTATAAAACACAAGTATTCAGACCGTTTGCTATGAAACTCGAAAGTAAGCTCAGGTTCATCCTGTTTCCATTGACCATCCTTGAGATGTTTCTACAACTTGATTGGAGTCCACCAGTGGTAAATTCAATTGATTGGACATGATTTGGAAAGGCACACACCTTTCTATATAAGGTCCCACAATTGACAGTGCATGTCAGAGCAAAAACCAAGCCATGAGGTCGAAGGAATTGTCTGTAGAGCTTCTAGACAGAGTTGTGTTGAGGCACAGATCTAGGGAAGGGTACCAAAAACATTCTGCAGCATTGAAGGTCCTCAAGAACACAGTGGCCATCCTTACATGCAAGAAGTTTGGAACCATCAAGACTCTTCCAAGAGCTGGCTGCCCGGCCAAACTGAGCAATCGGGGGAGAAGGGCCTTAGACAGGAAGGTGACCTAGAACCTGATGGTCACTCTGACAGAGCTCCAGAGTTCCTCTGTGGAGATGGGAGAACCTTCCAGAAGGACAGTCATCTCTGCAGCACTCCACCAATCAGGCCTTTATGGTAGAGTGGCCAGACGGAAACCACTCCTCAGTAAAAGTCACGACAGCCCACTTGGAGACTGCCAAAAGGCACCTAAAGACTCTCAGACCATGAGAAACAAGATTATCTGGTCTGATGAATCCAAGATTGAACTCTTTGGCCTGAATGCCAAGCGTCACGTCTGGATGAAACTTGGCACCATCCCTACGGTGAAGCATGGTGGTGGCAGCATCATAATGTGGGGGTGTTTTTCAGCGGCAGGGACTGGGAGACTAGTCAGGCAAAGATGAACGGAGCAAAGTACAGACAGATCCTTGATGAAAACCTGCTCCAGAGCGTTCAGGACCTCAGACTGGGGCTAAGGTTCACCTTCCAACAGGACAATGACCCTAAGCACACATCCAAGACAACGCAGGAGTGGTTTCGGGACAAGTCTCTGAATGTCCTTGAGTGGCCCAGCCAGAGCCTGGACTTGAACATCTCTGGAGAGACCTGAAAATAGCTGTGCAGCAACGCTCCCCATCCAACCTGACAGAGCTTGAGAGGATCTGCAGAGAAGAATGGGAGAAACTCCCCAAATACAGGTGTGCCAAGCTTGTAGTGTCATACCCAAGAAGACTCGATGCTGTAGTTGCTGCCAAAGGTGCTTCAACAAAGTATTGAGTAAAGGGTCTGAATACTTACGTAAATGTGATATTTTTTTATAAATGTCTAAAAACCTATTTTTGCTTTGTCATTATTGGGTATTGTGTGTAGATTGATGAGGGGAAAAAATGAATTAATCAATTTTAGAATAAGGCTGTAACCTAACAAAATATGGAAAAAGTCAAGGGGTCTGCAGGTGACAAATAACATTTGATTTGATGATGGGATCTTAATTGCTTAATTAACACAGGAACCACACCTGTGTGGAAGCACTTGCTTTCAATATATTTTGTATCCCTCATTTACTCAAGTGTTTGCATTATTTTGGCAGTTACTTGTAGATGAGTGTCAATGGTTTATCTATATAGTTAGTTGAGAGCAATTCCATGCCAGCAGGAGCCCACTCTGGAAATTTGACGTGTTTGCAGAGTATTTTTTTCTAAACAATATGTCAAAAAAATTAGCTAAATCAAAAAGGGTGTTAATATAATATTAATATTTTTAATGTTTAATAAATTAATGTGATTTTTGTTCTTCTAAATCTAGACATAATAATAATAATAATATAATAATATAATAATAATAATAATAATAATAATAATAATAATAATAATAATAAGCCATTTAGCAGACGCTTTTATCCAAAGCGACTTACAGTAATGTGTGCATACATTTCTACGTATGGGTGGTCCCGGGGATCGAACCCACTACCCTGGCGTTACAAGCGCCGTGCTCTACCAATTGAGCTACAGAGGACCACATACTACAGCTACAGAGGACCATATACTATTTTAGAGCACACTATAAGGGGTATAATGACACCAATATGTTGTCTGTATCATGTGCAGTTAACAGTTCATAGGCTCTTACAGAAGGTCTAAAAAGGGCCTAAAATGGCCACTTTCATTATGATTTTCAGAAAAAAATCCTTCCTCCCAATGAAGTTTCTATGTGAGAATTGCCAGAACAATCTGAGATACCGAATGTATTTTCCGCTTACGCTGGTGTGGAATCGCCCTTGAGTGAGTTGACAGTCATGTTGACTGCATCTGGGTGTATGTATAAGGTTAACTATCATTTCAGTATCATGTCGGGTTCACCAAAACTATGTGTGTCGCAGGCCTGTTGGATTAAGTTGAGTGAGTTGATACTAATATTGACTGCGTGTGTTTGTGTGTGTGTGTCGCAGGTCTGTTGGATTAAGTTGAGTGAGTTGATACTAATATTGACTGCGTGTGTCTGTGTGTGTGTGTCGCAGGTCTGTTGGATTAAGTTGAGTGAGTTGATACTAATATTGACTGCGTGTGTTTGTGTGTGTGTGTCGCAGGTCTGTTGGATTAAGTTGAGTGAGTTGATACTAATATTGACTGCGTGTGTTTGTGTGTGTGTGTCGCAGGCCTGTTGGATTAAGTTGAGTGAGTTGATAGTAATATTGACTGCGTGTGTTTGTGTGTGTGTGTCGCAGGCCTGTTGGATTAAGTTGAGTGAGTTGATAGTAATATTGACTGCGTGTGTTTGTGTGTGTGTGTCGCAGGTCTGTTGGATTAAGTTGAGTGAGTTGATACTAATATTGACTGCGTGTGTCTGTGTGTGTGTGTCGCAGGTCTGTTGGATTAAGTTGAGTGAGTTGATACTAATATTGACTGCGTGTGTTTGTGTGTGTGTGTCGCAGGCCTGTTGGATTAAGTTGAGTGAGTTGATAGTAATATTGACTGCGTGTGTTTGTGTGTGTGTGTTGCAGGTCTGTTGGATTAAGTTGAGTGAGTTGATAGTAATATTGACTGCGTGTGTTTGTGTGTGTGTGTTGCAGGTCTGTTGGAGTACGGTCATGAGAAGGGAGAGAAAGGAGGGAGCATATCCTTCAAGTTCAACCTGGTGGATCCAGAGGGCAACAAACTGATCGACCAGTCTTTCTACATCCGTGTACTAGGTAGGTTCCAGTCCTTCTTTATCAGTGTACTTGGTAGGTTCCAGTCCTTCTACATCAGTGTACTAGGTAGGTTCCAGTTGTTCTTCATCAGTGTACTAGGTAGGTTCCAGTTGTTCTTCATCAGTGTACTAGGTAGGTTCCAGTCCTTCTACATCAGTGTACTAGGTAGGTTCCAGTCCTTCTACATCAGTGTACCAGGTAGGTTCCAGTCTTTTTTTATCAGTGTACTAGGTAGGTTCCAGTCCTTCTACATAAGTGTACTAGGTAGGTTCCAGGTCTTCTTTATCAGTGTACTAGGTAGGTTCCAGTCCTTCTTCTTCAGTGTACTAAGTAGGTTCCAGTCCTTCTACATCAGTGTACTAGGTAGGTTCCAGTCCTTCTACATCAGTGTACTAAGTAGGTTCCAGTCCTTCTACATCAGTGTACTAAGTAGGTTCCAGTCCTTCTACATCAGTGTACTAGGTAGGTTCCAGTCCTTCTTTATCAGTGTACTTGGTAGGTTCCAGTCCTTCTACATCAGTGTACTAGGTAGGTTCCAGTCCTTCTACATCAGTGTACTAGGTAGGTTCCAGTCCTTCTACATCAGTGTACTAGGTAGGTTCCAGTCCTTCTTCATCAGTGTACTAGGTAGGTTCCAGTCCTTCTACATCAGTGTACTAGGTAGGTTCCAGTTCTTCTTCATCAATGTACTAGGTAGGTAACTTTGTATGGTTTCTTCTTATGTAGGGAACACAGTACTGGCGATCAATTGGAAAAAGTCAGTTGCCAGTTGTTACTGGTAGTTGGTCCAGAGCGGTGGCCTTCTTTCCTGATGCGTTCCAAAAACACGTGGTCTGTTCTAGGCTTTCTGTTCCCATGTGGTTGAAACATCTTCACTCTCCGGTTTTGATCTCTCCTTCCCGCTATCATCTTCTTCGTCTCCTTCCCCCCCCCGTTCCCCTGTCCCCCCCTCCAGAGGACCGCCTGCCCCCCTCTGTGGTAGTGAATAAGGGTCTGGTGTTGGATGAGAACTCAGTGAAGAAGCTGACTACTCTCCAGCTGTCAGCTACAGACCAGGACAGTGAGCCTGGAGAACTTGTGTACCGCATCACCAGGCAGACAGTGCTGGGGCATCTGGAGCACGCCAGCACCCCAGGTACTACTGCTGGAGCCCAGCTCAAACAGACACACACGCCTGCACAAAACATATTTTAAATGTAAATATATTTTACACACTTGTGCATAAACAAGCTTATAAAGGCTGAAACTTACACACACATACGCGTTCTAACGTACACACACATACACGCACACGCACACCTGTGTAATCCAACATGAAATAATGAGTCTCGCTCTAGTTGTTCTCTGAGTCTGAACCAGTGAGGCCAGCGCATACTCGCTTTGCATGACATGCTATCCGTTCTGCTTACAGTATATGCCGTTTAGCAGATGCTTTTATCCAGAACGCCCTACTACATCTAGATTTTTCGTAGCTGTCTATTTACCACCACAAACAGATGCTGGCATTAAGATTGCACTCAATGAGCTGTATAAGGCCATAAGCAAACATGAAAACGTTCATCCAGCGGCAGTGCTCCTAGTGGCCGGGGACTTTAATGCAGGGTAACTTTAATTTGTTCTACCTAATTTCTACCAGCATGTTAAATGTGCAACCAGAGGAAAAAATACTCTAGACCATCTTTACGCCACACACAGAGACACGTACAAAGCTGTCCCCCGCCCTCCATTTGGCAAATCTGACCATAACTCTATCATCCTGATTCCTGCTTATAAGCAAAAACTAAAGCAGGAAGCACCAATGACTCGGTTAATAAGGATGTGGTCAGATGACGCAGATGCTAAGCTACAGGAATGTTTTGCTAGCACAGACTGGAATATGTTCCGGGATTCTTCCGATAGCATTGAGGAGTACACCACATCAGTCACTGGCTTCATCAATAAGTGCATCAATGACGTTGTCCCCACAGTGACCGTACGTACATACCCCAACCAGAAGCCATGGATTACAGGCAACATCCGCACTGAGCTAAAGGGTAGAGCTACCGTTTTCAAGGAGTGGGACTCTAACCCGGACGCTTACAAGAAATCCCATTATGCCCTCCGACGAACCATCAAACAGGCAAAGAGTCAATACAGGACTAAGATTGAATCGTACTACACCGGCTCCGACACTCGTCGGATGTGGCAGGGCTTGCAAACTATTACAGACTACAAAGGGAAGCATAGCCACACGCTGCCCAGTGACACAAGCCTACCAGACGAGCTAAATCACTTCTATGCTCGCTTCGAGGCAAGCAACACTGAAGCGTGCGTGAGAGCACCAGCTGTTCCAGATGACTATGTGATCACGCTCTCCGTAGCCGATGTGAGTAAGACTTTTAAGCAGGTCAACATTCAAAAGGCCGCAGGGCCAGTTGGATTACCAGGACATGTACTCCGAGCATGCGCTGACCAACTGGCAAGTTTTCAACATGTCCCTGACTGAGTCTGTAATACCAACATGTTTCAAGCTAACCACCATAGTCCCTGTGCCCAAGAACACTAAGATAACCTGCCTAAATGACTACCGACCCATAGCACTCATGTCTGTAGCCATGAAGTGCTTTGAAAGGCTGGTCATGGCTCACATCAACACCATTATCCCAGAAACCCTAGACCCACTCTAATTTGCATATCGCCCCAACAGATCCACAGATGATGCAATCTCTATTGCACTCCACACTGCCCTTTCCCACGTGGACAAGAGGAACACCTACGTGAGAATTCTATTCTATTCATTGACTACAGCTCAGCGTTCAACACCATAGTGCCCTCAAAGCTCATCACTAAGTTAAGGACCCTGGGACTAAACACCTCCCTCTGCAACTGGATCCTGGACTTCCTGACGGGCCGCCCCCAGGTGGTAAGGGTAGGTAACAACACATCTGCCACGCTGATCCTCAACACGGGGGCGCCTCAGGGGTGCGTGCTCAGTCCCCTTCTGTACTCCCTGTTCATCCATGACTGCATGGCCAAGCACAACTCCAACACCATCATTAAGTTTGCAGACGACACAACAGTGGTAGGCCTGATCACCGACAACGATGAGACAGCCTATAGGGAGGAGGTTGGAGATCTGGACGTGTGGTGCCAGGATAACAACCTCTCCCTCAACGTGATCAAGACAAAGGAGATGATTATGGACTACAGGAAAAAAAAGAGGACTGAGCACGCCCCCATTCTCATCGACGGGGCTGTACTGGAACAGCTTGTCCACATCACCAACAAACTATCATGGTCCAAACACACCAAGACAGTCGTGAAGAGGGAACGACAACGCCTATTCCCCCTCAGGAGACTGAAAAGATTTGGCATTGGTCCTCAGATCCTCAAAAAGTTATACAGCTGCACCATCGAGAGCATCCTGACTGGTTGCATCACCGCCTGGTATGGCAACTGCTCGGCCTCCGACCGCAAGGCACTACAGAGGGTAGTGCGTATGGCCCGGTACATCACTGGGGCCAAGCTTCCTGCCATCCAGGACCTCTATACCAGGCGGTGTGAGAGGAAAGCCCTCAAAATTGTCAAAGACTCCAGCCACCCTAGTCACAGACTGTTCTCTCTGCTACTGCACGGCAAGCGGTACCGGAGTGCCAAATCTAGGTCCAAAAGGCTTCTTAACAGCTTCTACCCCAAGCCAGAAGACTCCTGAACAACTAATCATGGCTACCCGGACTATTTGCATTGCCCCCCCCACCCCCTCTTTTACGCTGCTGCTACTCTGTTTATGATCTATGCATAGTCACTTTAACTCTACCCACATGTACATATTACCTCAATTACCTCGACTATAGCCTCCCTACTGTTATTTTATTTTACTGCTGCTCTTTAATTATTTCCTCTTTTAATTTTTTACTTATCTATTTTTTACTTAATATTTTCTTAAAACTGCATTGTTGGTTAAGGGCTTGTAAGTAAGCATTTCACTGTAAGGCACTTGTGGCAAATACAATTTGATTTGATTTGATTTGCAGTGTATACATAATGACTGTTTGGTTTGGCCCCAGAGGGAATCAAACCCATAATGACTGTTTGGTGTGGCCCCAGAGGGAATCAAACCCATGATGAGTGTTTGGTGTGGCCCCAGAGGGAATCAAACCCATTATCTGGCATTGCTAGTGCCACTCTCTTTGCCAACACAGGATTAGTATGAAAATGCTACATTAACATGCTACAGACTGTGTTTTCTTGCACATCAAGTTTACAAAGCTAATGCTCAAACAACCATAAATGTGAATGGTTAATGCTAATAAATGCTAACTTCCACCCGCTACAGGAAGCCGCATCACTTCCTTCTCCCAGGCTGACCTGGCTTCACGTAGCATCCAGTACGTTCACACCAGCGAAGAAGAGAAGCATGCAGATGAGTTCTCATTCATCATGTCTGACGGGACTAATGAGGTACACACCCACCTCCACACACACACACGCACCCACCTCCACACACACACACACACACACACACACACACACACACACACACACACACACACACACACGCACCTCCACACACACACTGGGCATAATGGCTCTCTCTAATGCAGCCTAATGAGCAGTAGAAGTACTTGGGTTCCCCATACGGTTATATTCATGTTGCCCATACTGTTATATTCAGGTTGCCCATACGGTTATATTCAGGTTGCCCATACGGTTATATTCAGGTTGCCCATACGGTTATATTCAGGTTTCCCATACGGTTATATTCAGGTTGACCATACGGTTATATTCAGGTTGCCCATACGGTTATATTCAGGTTGCCCATACGGTTATATTCAGTTTGCCCATACGGTTATATTCAGGTTGCCCATACGGTTATATTCAGGTTCCCCATACGGTTATATTCAGGTTCCCCATACGGTTATATTCAGGTTCCCCATACGGTTATATTCAGGTTGCCCATACGGTTATATTCAGGTTCCCCATACGGTTATATTCAGGTTCCCCATACGGTTATATTCAGGTTCCCCATACGGTTATATTCAGGTTCCCCATACGGTTATATTCAGGTTCCCATACGGTTTATTCAGGTTCCCCATACGGTTATATTCAGGTTCCCCATACGGTTGTATTCAGGTTCCCCATACGGTTATATTCAGGTTCCCCATACGGTTATATTCAGGTTCCCCATACGGTTATATTCAGGTTGCCCATACGGTTATATTCAGGTTCCCCATATGGTTATATTCAGGTTCCCCATACGATTATATTCAGGTTCCCATACGGTTATATTCAGGTTCCCCATACGGTTATATTCAGGTTCCCCATACGGTTATATTCAGGTTCCCCATACGGTTATATTCAGGTTCCCCATACGGTTATATTCAGGTTCCCCATACGGTTATATTCAGGTTCCCCATACGGTTATATTCAGGTTCCCCATACGGTTATATTCAGGTTCCCCATACGGTTATATTCAGGTTCCCCATACGGTTATATTCAGGTTCCCCATACGGTTATATTCAGGTTCCCCATACGGTTCCTACGGTATTCAGGTTCCCCATACGGTTATATTCAGGTTCCCCATACGGTTATATTCAGGTTCCCCATACGGTTATATTCAGGTTCCCCATACGGTTATATTCAGGTTCCCCATACGGTTATATTCAGGTTCCCCATACGGTTATATTCAGGTTCCCCATACGGTTATATTCAGGTTCCCCATACGGTTATATTCAGGTTCCCCATACGGTTATATTCAGGTTCCCCATACGGTTATATTCAGGTTGCCCATACGGTTATATTCAGGTTCCCCATACGGTTATATTCAGGTTGCCCATACGGTTATATTCAGGTTCCCCATACGGTTATATTCAGGTTGCCCATACGGTTATATTCAGGTTGCCCATACGGTTATATTCAGGTTCCCCATACGGTTATATTCAGGTTCCCAGACCATATGGCTAATTACAGAGTGGGATATTTTCTCTCCCGTATTACGCCATAGATATTAGATATGATAGACCATAGATATTTGATCAGGATGTTGATCCAGATGATAGATATTAAATATGATAGACCATAGATATTTGATCAGGATGTTGATCCATATGATAGATATTAGATATGATAGACCATAGATATTTGATCAGGATGTTGATCCATATGATAGATATTAGATATGATAGACCATAGATATTTGATCAGGATGTTTGCTCATGAAGTATCAGATAGAACGTATTAGGGGATGTATGTGATACTATTTTTAACCAGGATGTGATTGCTCATGGCATTGAGATGTTTCCTGTGTATGTTGTGATGGGTGGCTCTGACGTGTGTGTATGTTGTGATGGGTGGCTCTGACGTGTGTGTGTGTGTATGTTGTGATGGGTGGTTCTGACGTGTGCGTGTGTATGTTGTGATGGGTGGCTCTGACGTGTGTGTGTGTGTATGTTGTGATGGGTGGCTCTGACGTGTGTGTGTGTACGTTGTGATGGGTGGCTCTGACGTGTGTGTGTGTATATTGTGATGGGTGGCTCTGACGTGTGTGTGTGTATATTGTGATGGTTGGCTCTGACGTGTGTGTGTGTATATTGTGATGGGTGGCTCTGACGTGTGTGTGCGCGTGTGTGTGTTGTGATGGGTTGTGTTTTGTATGGTGTCTTTACGTTGATAACAGTATTTTGTATGGAGTCTTTATGTTGATAACAGTGTTATGTATGATGTCTTTAGGTTGATAACAGTGTTTTGTATGGAGTCTTTAGGTTGATAGTGTTATGTATGGTGTCTTTAGGTTAATAACAGTGTTCTGTATGGAGTCTTTAGGTTGATAACAGTGTTCTGTATGGTGTCTTTAGGTTGCCCAGACGTTCTACATCACCATACGGCCAGTGGATGACTCCCTCCCCCTGCTGGTGGTTCCTGGGATGAGGGTTCAGGAGGGGGTCAGGAAGACCATCACTGAGTTTGAACTGAAGGCCACCGACGCTGACACAGAGGTGGAGTAGGACAGGCTGTCTGATCATTCACTACACACACACACACACACACACACACACACACACACACACACACACACACACACACTCTGTGTTCCCTGGCAGTAAGCTTAGCTAACCTACAGGGCCGTGAAAAAGTATTTGCCGCCTTTCTGATTTTCACTATTTCTGCATATTTTTTTATACTGAATCTTAACAGATCTTCAACCCAAACCTAATATTAGATAAAGGGAATATACAAATAAAACAATTAAAATATAGATATTTTTTATTTATTTAATTAACAAAGTTATGCAACACCCACTCAATAACTGGTTCTGCCACCTTTGGAAGCAGTGACTGCAACCAAATTATTCCTGTAGTGGTTGATCAGTCTCTCACATCGCTGTGGAAGAATTTTGGCCCACTCTGCAGAACTACTTTAACTCAGTGACATTTGTGGGTTTTCAAGCATGAACTGCTCGTTTCAGGTCCTGCCACAACATCTCAATTGGGATTAGAACTGGACTTTGACTAGGCCATTCCAAAAACTTCAAATGTTTGGGTTTTTTAACCATTTTCATATAGACTTGATTGTGTGTTTTGGATCATTGTCTTGCTGCATGACCCAGCTGCCCTTCAGCTTCAGCTCACAGACATATTGTCTGACATTCTCCTGTAGAATTCTCAGATGCAGAGAAGAATTCATGGTTCCTTCTATTAAGGCAAGTCGTCCAGGTCCTGAGGCAGCAAAGCATCCCCAAACCATCACACTACCACCACCATGCTTGACCGTTGGTATGAGTTTCTTCCTGTGGAACAATGCAGTGTTTTTTTTTTTTTTGCCAGACATAATGGGACCCGTATCGTCCAAAAAGTTTACTCAAGTTTGCCAAGAAGCACCTGGATAATCATCAAGACTCTTGGAAGATTGTTCTATGGACAGATCCTTCAAAAGTATATCTTTTTTGGACAACATATTAGGACATTCAGTATCAAAAATATGCAAAAGTCGAGACATTTAGAAAGGGGGCAAATACTGTTTCACGGCAATGTATATATGCACTTTAGCAACAAGATAGACCGGACACCAACAAAACAGAATGGCATTGTCACTAGCACAAGGGTGTAATGTAAAGGGGAGTTGGGCTGAAGACACCTTACATAGGGAGTGACGGTGTTCCTGATGTTTTGTACACTCAGTGTATGTTATATATCATAAGATATTCACACTAAAATGTCTCCCTCCAGGAGGAGTCCATCACCTTTACCATAGTCCAGGCCCCCCGTCACGGCAATATTGAGCGGACCAACAACGGACAGCACTACCGTCAGACCAACAGCTTCACCATGGATGACATCTACCAGAACAGAATCAGCTACAACCACGATGGCTCCAACTCACTGAAGGACAGATTCACCTTCACTGTAACTGACGGGACTAACGTCTTCTTTATGGTGGAGGAGGGGGGCAAGGAGGTGAGGGTGTGTGTGTGTGTGTGTGTGTGTGTGTGTGTGTGTATGTGTTTATGAGTGAGGCTCAGAGTAAATTAACTTCACAGGCTGTCAGCTTGCCTGTCTGTCTCAGGTGTCACTATTATGGAAACAGACAGCAGGCTACTGCCATTTCTCTCTCTCTACTCTCCTCTCTTCTCTCTCTCTCTCTCTATCTTTCTCTCTCTCTCTCTCTCTCTCTCTCTCTCTCTCTTCTCTCTCTCTCTCTTTCTGTCTCTCTCTCTCTTCTCTTCTGTCTCTCTCTTCTCTCTCTCCTCTCTCTCTCTCTATCTCTCTCTCTCTCTCTCTCTCTGTCTCTATTTCTCGCTCTCTCTCTCTCCTTTCTCTCTCTCTGAACATTTCATAAATCCCTCATCCTGCCTCTGTCATTGTGTAGGTGTTGACTGCTGCACCCCAAATGTTGAAGATAGACATTCTGCCTGTTGATGATGGAACGCCTCGTATCGTCATTAACCTGGGTCTGCAGTGGCTGGAGTACATGGACAACAAGGTAAACACAGGCTTCGTCCTAAAATGGCACCCTGTTCTCTTTACAGTGCGCTACTTTTGACCAAGGTCCATATTGTACACTATGTGGGGAAAATGGTACCATTTGGTACACAGACAAAGTCAAATGATATCAGCTTTCAACTCCTGTCACTGATTCACCTCTTTCTGACTTCCTGTCACTGTTTCACCTCTTTCTGACTTCCTGTCACTGTTTCACCTCTTTCTGACTTCCTGTCACTGTTTCACCTCTTTCTGACTTCCTGTTACTGTGTGCGCTTGTTTACATCAATGTCTGACATTGTACTTGGAAGACAGTGTAATTTAATTAGAGAGAAAAAAAAGAACCTTTATTGTTCTATTACATGCTAGAACATAACAAAAATGGAAACAGAAATGCAGAACAAATCCAAAACAAGCAGAATAGTTGAAGGTGTTAAGGCTACTTGCAGAGTGAAGAGATCTGCTAGGGGACCTTACTGAGTGAAGAGATCTGCCAGGAGACCTTACTGAGTGAAGAGATCTGCCAGGAGACCTTACTGCTACAGAAGGGTGTGAGTTCTGTGGTTGACAGACATTTACTAGATGTCTTGAGTGGCTAGACTGGTTAATTCAGAGATGGCTTAACATCCCCTAATATCCCTATTAAAACCTTTTAAAACTTCTCCAAAATCGTTTGACCATACCAATAATATGATGGTTTGGCTGTATTTCTGTATGTTCCTCCAGCTCCAGTGTATTGTGCCACGGCGCTCTCTACTGGCAAATCAACAACCATCAACCTGACCCCGCCCCCATCAACCTGACCCCGCCCCAGTCTATTTAGCAGTACTGGGCCGGTTTAATTTCACAGCAGCGTACTTGACATTGTCCTCCTGTTTCTGGGGCTGAGGCGGTTGGACGGTGGAGTACAGACGCACTTTCTGCTTTTTCGTAGTGAACGCCATCGTGTGTCTGTTCTCTGTGCTGCAGTAGGGACCATGGCCATACCTGAGATGTTATCGTACACGGGACTAGAGTCTCACTGTCCAGGAGAGCAGAGGTTATTTTAACCTTGTATTTGTCACATGCGCCGAATACAACAAGTGAAATGCTTACTTACAAGCCCTTAACCAACAATGCAGTTTTAAGAAAGAATACCCTAAATAAAATAATAAAAATATATATAATTAAAGAGCAGCAGTAAAATAACAGTAGGGAGGCTATAAGGGGGGGAATAATACCAATAGTCTGGGTAGCCATTTGATTAGATATTCAAGAGTCTTATGGCTTGGGGGTAGAAGCTGTTTAGAAGCCTCTTGGACCTAGACTTGGCGCTCCGGTACCGTTTGCCGTGCGGTAGCAGAGAGAACAGTCTATGACTAGGGTGGCTGGAGTCTTTGACAATTTTTAGGGCCTTCCTCTGACACCGCCTGGTATAGAGGTCCTGGATGACAGGAAGCTTGGCCACAGAGATGTACTGGGCCGTACGCACTACCCTCTGTAGTGCCTTGCGGTCGGAGGCCGAGCAGTTGTCATACCACGCAGTGATGCAACCGGTCAGGATGCTCTCGATGGTGCAGCTGTAGAACCTTTTGACGATCTGAGGACCCATGCCAAATATTTTCAGTCTCCTGAGGGGGAATAGGTTTTGTCGTGCCCTCTTCACAACTGTCTTGGTGTGCTTAGACCATGTTAGTTTGTTGGTGATGCGGACACCAAGGAACTTGAAGCTCTCAACCTGCTCCACTACAGCCCCGTCGATGAGAATGGGGACGTGCTCGTCCTCTTCTTTTTTCTGTAGTCCACAATCATCTCCTTTGTCTTAGTCACGTTGAGGGAGAGGTTGTTATTCTGGCACCACACGGCCAGGTCTCTGACATCCTCCGTATAGGCTGTCTCATCGTTGTCGGTGATCAGGCCTACCACTGTTGGGTCATCGGCAAACTTAATGATGGTGTTGGAGTCGTGCCTGGCCATGCAGTCATGATTGAACAGGGAGTACAGGATGGGACTGAGCACGTACCCCTGAGGGGCCCCCGTGTTGAGGATCAGCCTGGCAGATGTGTTGTTACCTACCCTTACCACCTGGGGGCGGCCCGTCAGGAAGTCCAGGATCCAGTTGTAGAGGGAGGTGTTTAGTCCCAGGGTCCTTAGCTTGGTGATGAGCTTTGAGAGCACTTTGGTGTTGAACGCTGAGCTGTAGTCAATGAATAGCATTCTCACATACAGTGAGGGAAAAAAGTATTTGATCCCCTGCTGATTTTGTACGTTTGCCCACTGACAAAGAAATGATCAGTCTATAATTATAAATAAACAAAAAAATCCAGAAAAACGTATGTAAAAAATGTTATGAATTGATTTGCATTTTAATGAGGGAAATAAGTATTTGACCCCCTCTCAATCAGAAAGATTTCTGGCTCCCAGGTGTCTTTTATACTGGTAACGAGCTGAGATTAGGAGCGCATTCTTAAAGGGAGTGCTCCTAATCTCAATTTGTTACCTGTATAAAAGACACCTGTCCACAGAAGCAATCAATCAATCAGATTCCAAACTCTCCACCATGGCCAAGACCAAAGAGCTCTCCAAGGATGTCAGGGACAAGACTGTAAACCTACACAAGGCTGGAATGGGCTACAAGACCATCGCCAAGCAGCTTGGTGAGAAGGTGACAACAGTTGGTGCTATTATTCGCAAATGGAAGAAACACAAAAGACCTGTCAATCTCCCTCAGCCTGGGGCTCCATGCAAGATCTCACCTCGTGGAGTTGCAATGATCATGAGAATGGTGAGGAATCAGCCGAGAACTACACGGGAGGATCTTGTCAATGATCTCAAGGCAGCTGGGACCATAGTCACCAAGAAAACAATTGGTAACACACTACGCCGTGAAGGACTGAAATCCTGCAGCGCCCGCAAGGTCCCCCTGCTCAAGAAAGCACATATACAGGCCCGTCTGAAGTTTGCCAATGAAAATCTGAATGACTCAGAGGAGAACTGGGAGAAAGTGTTGTGGTCAGATGAGACCAAAATCGAGCTCTTTGGCATCAACTCAACTCGCCGTGTTTGGAGGAGGAATGCTGCCTATGACCCCAAGAACACTATCCCCACCGTCAAACATGGAGGTGGAAACATTATGATTTGGGGGTGTTTTTCTGTTAAGGGGACAGGACAACTTCACTGCATCAAAGGGACGATGGACGGGGCCATGTACCGTCAAATCTTGGGTGAGAACCTCCTTCCCTCAGCCAGGGCATTGGAAATGGGTCGTATTCCAGCATGACAATGACCCAAAACACACGGCCAAGGAAACAAAGGTGTGGCTCAAGAAGAAGCACATTAAGGTCCTGGAGTGGCCTAGCCAGTCTCCAGACCTTAATCCCATAGAACATCTGTGGAGGGAGCTGAAGGTTCGAGTTGCCAAATGTCAGCCTTGAAACCTTAATGACTTCTGCAAAGAGGAGTGGGACAAAATCCCTCCTGAGATGTGTGCAAACCTGGTGGCCAACTACAAGAAATGTCTGACCTCTGTTATTGCCAACAAGGGTTTTGCCACCAAGTACTAAGTCATGTTTTGCAGAGGGGTCAAATACTTATTTCCCTCATTATAATGCAAATCAATTTATAACATTTTTGACATTTTTGTTGTTGTTATTCTGTCACTCACTGTTCAAATAAACCTACCATTAAAATTATAGACTGATCATGTCTTTGTCAGTGGGCAAACGTATAAAATCAGCAGGGGATCAAATACTTTTTTCCCTCACTGTAGGTGTTCCTTTTGTCCAGGTGGGAAAGGGCAGTGTGGAGTGCAGTAGAGATTGCATCATCTGTGGATCTGTTGGGGCGGTATTCAAATTGGAGTGGGTCTAGGGTTTCTGGGATAATGGTGTTGATGTGAGCCATGACCAGCCTTTCAAAGCACTTCATGGCTACAGACGTGAGTGCTACGGGTCGGTAGTCATTTAGGCAGGTTACCTTAGTGTTCTTGGGCACAGGGACTATGGTGGTCTGCTTGAAACATGTTGGTATTACAGACTCAGACAGGGAGAGGTTGAAAATGTCAGTGAAGACACTTGCCAGTTGGTTAGCACATGTTCGGAGTACATGTCCTGGTAATCCATCTGGCCCTGCGGCCTTGTGAATGTTGACCTGTTTAAAGGTCTTGCTCACATCGGCTACGGAGAGCGTGATCACACAGTCGTCCGGAACAGCTGATGCTCTTTTGCATGTTTCAGTGTTACTTGCCTCGAAGCAAGCATTGAAGTAATTTAGCTCGTCTGGTAGGCTCGTGTCACTTGGCAGCTCGCGGCTGTGCTTCCCTTTGTAGTCTGTAATAGTTTGCAAGCCCTGCCACATCTGACGGGCGTCGGAGCTGGTGTAGTACGATTCGATCTTAGTCCTGTATTGACACTTTGCCTGTTTGATGGTTCGTTGGAGGGCATAGCGGGATTCTTGCAATACTTTAAAACAATATATTACATTCTGGAACATAACACATATGGAAAGAGAAATGCAAAACAAATTGTATTAATTTCTTACAGAAAATCTTTCATGTTTTAAGTAATGTTAGACAATATGAGTGTCTGATAATTACAGTTAATTGGGGGAAATGCTGTGTGCCACTATCAACACTTTTCTATCACTTTGTGCACTTACCTGCAATAATGATAGGCATTGTAATTGTGAAATAATGTTATTATGGGCAATGGGCAATCTGCTGGTAAAATATTATATGCTATCTTGATTTAAGAGTTAGAGTATATTTGGACAGGTCTCTAAATATTTGCTTGGCTAACTGACTCTTCAACTTTTCCCATTAGTATCTTGAAGAAGAATCATTTAATTCCCACAGTGAATTATTGTAATGTTTGTTTATGTGTCAATTAATCCCATTAAAGGATGGGATTAAGTATCAGTGGTTGGATTTAGTTTTTGTTGCGCTATCTCCCCCTAATGGTCTATGATGGTCCTAACGTCTCAATTCTTGTTGATTTCCTGGCCACTAAACTTGATTGACTGACTGACTGACTGACTGGTTGATTGACTGACTGATTGACTGACTCACTGACTGACTGACTGACTGGTTGATTGACTGACCGTCTGATAGACTGACTGACTGACTGACTGACTGGTTGGTTGACTGACCATCTGATAGACTGACTGACTGACTGACTGACTGGTTGGTTGACTGACCATCTGATAGACTGACTGACTGATTGACTGATTGATTGATGTTGCAGGCCACCAACCTGATCAGTAAGAAGGAGCTGTTGACCATGGACCCGGACACAGACGATGGTCAGCTGGTCTATGAGGTCACTGCAGAGCCTAAACACGGCTTCCTGGAGAGCAAACTGAAACCTGGCGCTCCCATCACCCGCTTCACACAAGGTATAGTGTCTCTGTGTGTGTGTGTGTGTGTGTGTGTGTGGGTGTGTGTGTGTGGGGGGGGGTTGGGGGGGGTATTGAGTATTTAGTATAGAGTGAGACTATTGAAGAGGGTTTCAATTAAAACAATGTTAGTCTATATTGTGCTAACGTTAGTCTATGTTGTGCGAACGTTGTCTATGTTTTGCTAACGTTAGTCTATGTTTTGCTAACGTTAGTCTATGTTGTGCTAACGTTAGTCTATGTTATGCTAACGTTAGTCTATGTTATGCTAACGTTAGTCTATGTTGTGCTAACGTTAGTCTATGTTGTGCGAACGTTGTCTATGTTTTGCTAACGTTAGTCTATGTTTTGCTAACGTTAGTCTATGTTGTGCTAACGTTAGTCTATGTTGTGCTAACGTTAGTCTATGTTGTGCTAACGTTAGTCTATGTTATGCTAACGTTAGTCTATGTTGTGCTAACGTTAGTCTATGTTGTGCTAACGTTAGTCTATGTTGTGCTTACGCTAGTCTATGTTGTGCTAACGTTAGTCTATGTTATGCTAACGTTAGTCTATGTTGTGCTAACGTTAGTCTATGTTGTGCTAACGTTAGTCTATGTTGTGCTTACATTAGTCTATGTTGTGCTTACGTTAGTCTATGTTATGCTAACGTTAGTCTATGTTGTGCTAACGTTAGTCTATGTTGTGCTTACATTAGTCTATGTTGTGCTAACGTTAGTCTATGTTATGCTAACGTTAGTCTATGTTGTGCTAACGTTAGTCTATGTTGTGCTTACATTAGTCTATGTTGTGCTAACGTTAGTCTATGTTGTGCTAACGTTAGTCTAGGTTGTTTTAACATTGTGGTAACTTCGTCCCCTGCCCTCCAGCTGACATTAATTTGGGCTTGATACGCTACGTGCTCCATGAGGAGAGCATGACAGAGACCATGGACAACTTTAAGTTCCTGGTGAAGGACAGCAAGCCCAACATTGTCTCTGATAACTTCTTCCATATCCAGTGGTCCCTCATCAGCTTCCAACACAGGAGGTGAGAGAGGCAAGGCCAGCTATTCTGTAACAAGTAGGGCCCAGCGTGCAGCTTCACTGTGTTTCAGACTGGAACCACTAGCTCTGACTCAGCTGAGAGCTACTTTATTGAGGAAAAATGTACTTACTATGACTGTGATATGTGGTTGTCCCACCTAGCTATCTTAAGATGAATGCACTAACTGTAAGTCACTCTGGATAGTGTAAATGGAATGGGGAAAACTCCAGGCGCTTACTGGATTAACTCACACAATCATGAAAAACTCTGGGTCCCTGTGTATGGTTGAGACTTCCATACGTCTTCATGGGTTTGCAGCTGCTGAATTTGGCCACAGTTTTATACAATTCTCTCCTCTCATTGCCACAAAGTCCATTTCAGCTATTATACTTTAATTGTATCTCTCAAAGCTGTAGGTCTGCATTTATGTAACTGATGCCCTCTGACGCCCTCTGTGCCCCTCACAGCTACAATGTGAGTGAGAAGGCGGGCACGGTGTCGGTCACAGTGAAGAGGATGGGTAACCTGAACCAGTATGCCATCGTGCTGTGTCGTACTGAGCAGGGCACTGCCACCTCTACCTCCAGTGTTGGCTCTCGCCCCGGACAGCAGGACTATGTGGAGTATGCTGGACAGGTGCTGTTATTTTATTTATTTAACCAGGCAAGTTAATGACAACACATTCTCTTTTTCCAGCAAAGCCTGGGAAATAGTTGTTGGAAAACCTCTCCTCCCTCCCTCGTCCTCGGTTCCTCCCTCCCTCCTCGTCCCGCACTCCTCTCCATCGCCTCGTCCTCTCCTCTCCCTTCCTCGTCCTCGTCCTCTCCTCTCCCCTCTCCTCGTCCTCTCCTCTCCCTCTCCTCTCCTCTCCTCTCCTCTCCTCATATTTGTACTACATCCGTAACAACAATCTCTAACATCCCAATCTCCTCCCACATCCCCCCCCCCCCAGGTCCAGTTTGACGAGCGTGAGGACACCAAGGTGTGTACCATAGTGATCCAGGACGACGAGGTGTTTGAGGGCGTGGAGAGTTTCCAGGTGGAGCTGAGCATGCCTGTCTACGCCCTCCTGGGTCAGTTGACCCGCGCCAGCGTCAACATCAACGACACAGAGGACGAACCCACGCTGCAGTTTGACAAGAAGACCTACCACGTCAACGAGAGCACCGGGTTTTTACAGGCCCCTATAGAGAGGAAAGGTATTAACCCTAACCCTATACACGCTCCTATAGAGAGGAAAGGTACTAACCCTAACCCTATACACGCTCCTATAGAGAGGAACGGTATAACCCCTAACAACGCTTCCTATAGAGATGAAATGTATTAACCCTATAAACACGCTCCTATATGAGAGGGAAAGGTAATTAACCCTATACACGCTCCATATAGAGAGGGAAAGGTATTAACCCTATACAACGCTTCCTATAGAGAGGGAAGGGATATAACCCTATACAAAAACGCTCCTATAGAGAGGAAAGGTCATTAACCCTATAACCTAACCGATACCGCTTCCTCGAGAGGGAAAGGTAGTAACCCTAAACCCTATACACGCTCCCTATAGAGAGGGAAGGTATTAACCTAACAAAAAACCCTATTAACAACGCTCCTATAGAGAGTGGAAAGGTATTAACCCTAACCCTATACACACGTCCTATAGAGAGGAAGTGTATTAACCTAACCCTATACACCTCCTAAAGAGGGAAAATATTAACCCCAACCCTATAACGCTCCTTAAAAAGGGGAAAGGGATTAACCCCAACCCATACCACTTCTAAGAGAGGAAAGGTATTTTAACCCTAAACCCCAAAACCTCCCATAAGAGGGGAAAGGATTAAACCCAACCCTACACCTCCAAAAGGAAGGTATTAACCCTAAACCCCATACACGCTCCTATAGAAGGAAAGGATTAACCCCAAAACCCCATACACGCTCCTATAGAGGGAAAGTTTAACCTATCACCTTTTTATAGAGAGGAAAGGATTAAACCCAACCATACACCCCTATAGAAGGGAAGGTTTAACCCAACCCTATACCACTCTATAGAGGGAAAAGGGATTTAAACCCTAACCCTAAACGCTCCAAGAGAGGAAAGGTATTAACCCAAACCCCATACCGCCCTATAGGAAGGAAAGTATTAACCCCAAAACCCAAAACGTCCTAAGAGAGGGAAGGATTATCCTAACACCCCCTATAGAGAGGGGGAAAGGATTAACCCATAACGCTCTATGGAGAGGGAAGGTTAACCCTAACAACACCTCCTATAAAAGGAAAAAGGGATTTAACCTAACCCATACACACTCCCTTTGAGAGGGGAAAAGGGTTTAAAAAAACCCTATACAGCTCCTATAGAGAGGGGAAAGGTATTAACCCTAACCCTAACAGCTTTAGAGGGAAAGGTATTTAACCAACACTCCTTAAAAGAGGAAATGTATTAAAACCCAACCCTATACACGCTCCTTAGAGAAAAGGTATTAACCCCATACACGCTCCTATGGAGGAAAGGGTTTAACCCCAAAACACGCTCCTTTTAAGAGGAAAGTATTAACCTAACCCATACAGCTCCCATAGAGAGGAAAAGGGATTTCCCCCTTTTTGGGGGGGATTAACCCTATACAGCTCTAAGAGAGGAAAGTATTAACCCCCATACCGCTCCTATGGAGGAAAGGTATTAACCCCAACCCTATACCACATCCTATAGAGGGAAAGGGACAACCCTAACCCCCAACACACCCTATAGGAAAGGAAAGGGATTTAACCCCATTTCACACCCCATAGGAGGGAAACATTTAACCCCAACCCCCTACACCTCTAAGAGAGGAAAGGGATTAAACCCCCAAACCATAACATCCTATGAGAGGGGAAAGGGATTTAAACCCCATAACGCTCCATAGGGGAAAGGTATTAACCCTAACCCTATCACGTCCTATAGAGAGGAAAGGTATTACCTAACCCATAAGCTCCCTTGAAGGAAGGTATTAACCCTAACACGTCCCATAGAGAGGAAAGGTATTAACCTAACCCTTACACGTCCCATAAAGGAAAGGTATTAAACCCAACCCCTTTCACGCTCCTATAGGGGAAGGTTTTCCCTAACCCATACACGCTCCCATAGAGAGGGAAGGTTTAACCCCATACACGTCCTATAGAGAGGAAAGGTTTAACCCTAACACGTCCTTAGAGGGGAAGGGGACTAAAAACCCAACCCTTACACGCTCCTTTGAGAGGAAAGGGGTTAACCCTAACCCTATACACGCTCCTATAGAAGGGGAAAAGGATTAAACCCCAACCCTATACCGCTCCCATAGAGAGGGAAGGTATTAACCCTAACACCCCTTAGAGAGGAAAGGGATTAACCCTATACACCCCAAGGAGGAAAGGATTAACCCTAACCCATACAGCTCCTATAAGAGGGAAGGGATTAACCCCAACCCATACACCTCCATAGAGAGGAAAAAGGATAACCCCAAAACCCCCATAAGAGGAAAGTTTAACCCAACCTATACAGCTCCCTTGAGAGGAAAGGGGCAACCCCATACCACGCTCCTATAGAGAGGGAAGGTACTACTCTAACCCTATACCCCCTATAGAGAGGAAAAATATTTAAACCCTAACCCTTACCCTCCATAGAGAGGAAAGGGATTAACCCAACCCTTCACCTTCTATAGAGGGGAAAAGGGATAACCCCCATACACGCCCCATGAGAGGAAAGGGATTAACCCAACCCTATACACGCTCCCATAAAGGAAAATTTGTAACCCTAACCCATACCGCTCCCATAGAGGTAAGGGATTTAACCCCAACCCCATACAACTTCTATAGAGAGGAAAGGTATTAAACCCTATACACGCTCCATAGAGAGGAAGGATAAACCCAACCCTATACACGTCCATGAGAGGAAAGAAATTACCCTAACCCCCTACACCTCCCATAGGGGGAAGGGATTTAACCTATACACGCTCCTAAGGAGGGAAGGATTCCCTAACCCAACCAAAATTCTATAGAGAGGAAAGGTATTAACCCTTACACGCCCTATAGAGGAAAGGTATTACCCAACCCAACACGCTCCCATAGAAGGAAAGTATTAACCCTAACCCCTACCGTCCTATAGAGAGGGAAAGGGATTTAAACCCCATACACGCTCCATAGAGAGGGAAGGGATTAAACCCAACCCCATAAAATCCTTAGAGAGGAAAAAGGGATTAACCTATACACCTCCTATAGAAGGAAAGGTATTAACCCAACCCCATACACGCTCCTATGGAGAGGGAAGGTATTAAAACCCATACCGCTCCTATAGAGGGGAAGGTATAAAACCCCAACCCATAAACGCTCCCATGAGAGGGAAGGTATTAACCCTATACACGTCCTATAGAGAGGAAAAGGTATTAACCCTAACCCCATAAAACGCCCTAAGAGAGGAAAAAGGGATTAACCCAACCCCCTACCCCGCTCCTAAGAGAGGAAAGGTATTAACCCCAACCATTTTAAAACCCCTACTATGAAGGGGAAAAGGTTTTTTAACCCCCTATAAAAACCCATAGAGAGGAAAGGGATTTAACCCCAACCCATACACCCCTATAGAGGAAAAGGGATTAACCCTATACCACTTCTATAGGAGGAAGGTTAACCCTAACCTATAACAATCCTATAGGAGGAAAGGTATTAACCCCAAACCCCATACACGCTCCTTAGAAGGGAAGGTTTAACCCCAAATGCTCTAAGAGAGGAAAAGGATTAACCCCCTTTCACGCCCTATAGAAGGGAAAGGATTAAAACCCAACCCATTACACGCTCCTTAGAGAGGGGAAAGGGATTAACCCTAACCCCATACAGCCCTAAGAGAGGGAAAGGGATTAAAACCCAACCCCCTACACGTCCCATAGAGAGGAAAGGATTAACCCCCAACCCCATACACGCCCTTAGGAGGAAAAGGTATTAACCCTTTTCAACTCCTTTGAGGGAAAGGGATTAACCCCAACCCCATAAACACTCCTATGAGAGGGGAAGGGGATTAACCCATACAGCTCCTATAGAGAGGGAAGGTATTTAACCCCAAACCTATAACCCCCTCCTTTTAAAAGAGGGAAAGGGATTAACCCTATACCGCCCATAAGAGGAAAAAGGGTTTTCCCAACCCCCCTACACGCTCCCATAAGAGGGAAGGGATTAACCCTATAACGCTCCTTAGAGAGGGGAAGGTTTAACCTAAACCCCCTACACGCTCCTATAGAGAGGGAAGGTAAACCCATACCGCTCCTATGAGAGGGGAAAGTATTAAACCCCAACCCTAACTGCTCCCATAAGAGGAAAGGTATTAAACCCAACCCCATACCGCCCTATAGAGAGGAAAGGTATTAACCCAAACCCCAAAAACCTACTTAGAGAGGAAAAGGGATAAACCCTTACACCTCCTATAAGAGGAAAGGGATTAACCCCAACCCCATACACGTCCCATGAGAGGAAAGGGATTAACACTATCACATTCTATAGAAAGGAAAGGTTTTAACCAAAACCCATACACACTCCATAGAAGGAAAGGTATTAACCCTAACCCCATCAGCTCCTATAAGAGGGGAAAGGGATTAACCCCATAACTCCTATAGAGAGGAAAGGATTAACCCTTACACGCTCCTTAGAGAGGGGAAAGGATTAAAACCCAACCCCAACACCCCCTATAGAAGGGAAAGGGATTAAAACCCAACCTATACACGCCCTATAGAGGGAAAGGGATTAACCCTAACCCCATAAAACCCCTCCCCATAGAGGGGAAGGATTAACCCTAACCCCAACACGCCTATAGAGGGGAAAATATTAAAACCCCATACACGCTCCCATAGAGAGGAAATGTTTAACCCCCAACCCATACACGTCCTATAGAGAGGAAAGGTACAACCCTATACACCCCCCTATGAGGGGAAGGGACTAAATTTAAACCCCTTCACCTCCCATAGAGAGGAAAAGGGATTAACCAACCCTATACACGCTCCCATGAGAGGAAAGGTTTAACCCAAACCCCATAACCCTTTTATAGAGAGGAAAGTATTAACCTATACAGCCTATAGAGAGGGGAAGGTTTAACCCTAACCCTTTCCGTCTATAGAGAGGAAATGTATTTAACCCCAAACCCCCTACACCTCCTATAAGAGGTAAAAGGTTTAACCTAACCCATACACACTTCAAGAGAGGAAAGGTATTTCCCTATACACCTCCTTTAAAAGGAAAGGTATTAACCCAAACCCATACACGCTCCTATAAGAGGGAAAAGGGATTAACCCTAACCCCATTTCACCTCCTAAGGAGGGGAAGGGATTTAAACCCATACACGCTCCCATAGAGAGGGGAAGTATTAACCCCAAAACCCATACCACTTCTATAGGAGGAAAGGTTTAACCCTATACACGCCCCATAGAGGGAAAAGGGATTTAACCCCCAACCCTAACCGCTCCTTAGAGAGGAAAAGGGTTAACCCTAACCCCTACCCCCGCTCCCATGAGAGGGGGAAGGGAACCCATCACCCCCTATAGAGAGGGGAAAGGTTTAACCCTAACCTATCACGCTCCTAGAGAGGGAAGGTATTTAAACCCCATACACCTCCATAAGAGGGAAAAGGGTTTAACCCAACCCCATAAACCCCCTCCTATGAGAGGGGAAAGGGTTTTAAACCCTTAAAACCCCTCCCATGGAGGGGAAAGGGATTAACCCTAACCCTATCACGTCCTATAGAAGGGGGAAAGGATTAACCCAACCCTTCACGCTCCTTTGAGAGGAAGGTATTAACCCCATACACACTCCATAGAAGGAAAAGGTTTAACCCTACCCTATACACCCTCCATAGAAGGAAGGGACAACCCTATACACGTCCTATAAGAGGAAAAGGGATTCCCTAAACCCCATACACCCTTAAGAGGAAAAAAATTAACCTAAACCCCATACTCTCCTTGAGAGGGAAGGTATAACCATACACCTCCTTGAGAGGAAAGGTTTAAACCCATACCCTCCTTAGAGAGGGAAGGATTAACCCCATACACACCCATAGAGAGGAAAAGGGATTAACCCCAACCCCCATACCGTCCATAGAGAGGAAGGTATTTAACCCCGCACGGCCCTATGAGAGGGAAGGTTTAACCCAACCCATACACGCTTCCTATAGAGAGGGGAAATATTAAACCCCATAACCCTCCTATAAGAGGGAAGGGATTAACCCCAAAAACCATACAACTTTTTATAGAGGGAAAGGGGTAAAACCCATACAACTCCTTTTAAAAGGGAAGGTATTAACCTAACCCATACACGCCCCTTTGAGAGGAAAGGATTAAACCCCAACCCTATCAGCTCCTTTGAAGGAAAGGTTTAAACTATACACATTCTTAAAAGGAAAAGGGTTTTCCCTAACCCATACAATCCTATAAAGGAAAGGTATTAACCCAAACCCCCATACACGCTCCTATAGAGAGGGAGGGATTAAACCCTATACAGCTCCATAGAGAGGGGAAAAGGATTAACCTATACCGTTATAGAGAGGGAGGGTTTAACCCTAACCCTATACACGCCCATAAGAGGGAAGGGATTTTAAACCCCAAACCCCATACCGCTCTATAGAGGGAAAAGGTATTAACCCTAACCCTTACACGCTCCTAAGAGAGGGAAGGTATTAACCCAAACCCCATACCGCTCCTATAGGAGGAAAGGTTTAAAACCCTAACACCTCCCAAGAGAGGAAAGGGATTAACCCTAACCCCATACACACTCCTATGAGAGGAAAGGACAAACCCATACACGCTCCCATAGAGGGAAAAGGGATTAACCCCAACCCTATACCCTCCATAGGAAAAAAAGGGATTAACCCTAACCCCATAAGCTCCTTTTGAGAGGGAGGTATTAACCCATACCCCCATAGAGGGAAAGGGTTTTAAACCCCATACACGTCCTTGAAGGGGAAAGGGATTAAACCCCAAACACACTCCCCATAGAGAGGGAAAGGGATTTAAACCCCAACCCTTCACGCTCCTATAGAGAGGAAAGGATTAACCCTAGCACGCTCCATGAGAGGAAGGTATTAACCCTAACCCTATACCGCCCTTAAGAGGAAAAGGGACTAACCCCCCTAAGTCCTAAGAGGGAAGGGACTAAATCTAACCCTATAACGCTCCTATAGAGAGGAAAGGTATTAACCCTAACCCATACCGTCCTATAGAGGGAAAGGATTAACCCTAACCCCATACAATTTATGGAGGAAAGTTTAACCCCATAAACGCTCCTATAGAGAGGAAAGGGATTAACCCTAACCCTATACACCTCCTTAAAAAGGAAATGTATTAACCCCAAACCCATACCCCCTATAGAAGTAAGGTTTAAACCCCAACCCTTTAAACTTCTAAAGAGGAAAGGTATTACCCCTTTTCACCTTTCCCAAGAGAAAAGTATTAACCCTAACCTTTAAACGCTCCCAAGAGAGGAAAGGTATTAAACCCCACCCCCCTACACGCCCCCTTTTAAAAGGGGAGGTATTAAAACCCATACACGCTCCTAAGAGAGGGAAGGATAACCCAACCCTTTAAAAAACTTCTATGAGAGGAAAGGTATTAACCCATACCGCTCCTATAGAGAGGAAAGGATAAACCCCAACCCTATACACGCTCCTTTGAGAGGAAAGGTATTTAAACCCAACCCCATACCCTCCTATGAGAGGGAAGGATTAAACCCCATAACGCTCCATAGAGAGGAAGGTATAACCCAAAACCCATAACCTCCTATAGAAGGAAGGTTTAACCCTTAAAACGTCCCATAGAGAGGGAAAAAATATTAACCTAACCCCCTACCCTCCTATGAGGGGAAGGATTAACCCTTACCGCTCCTATAAAAGGGGAAAGGTATTACCCTAACCCTATCACCTCCTATAGAGGGGAAGGTATTAACCCTAAAACCCAACACGCTCTAAGGAGGAAAGGATTAACCCATACACACTCCTATGAAGGAAAGGATTTAAACCCAACCCCATACCATCCCATAGAGAGGAAAGGTACTAACCCCATACACGCTCCATAGAGAGGGGAAAGGTTTAAACCCAACCCTATACACGCCCTATAAGGGGGAAGGTTTAAACCCCCAAACCCAAATTTCTCCTATAGAGGGGAAGGTTTAACCCTAACGCTCCCATAGAAGGAAAGGGATTAAAACCCCATACACGCTCCTTTGAGAGGAAGGTATTACCCTAACCACTCCTAAGGAGGAAAGGTATTAACCCCCAAAACCCCAACACGCTCCCATAGGAGGAAAAGGGATTAACCCCTTTTACGCCCTATGAGAGGAAAGGGATTAACCCTAACCCTATAAAAGCTCCCAAGAAGGGGAAAGGGATTAACCCTTTCACGCTCCTTAAGGGGGGAAAATATTAACCCAAAACCCCATACACTCTATAAGAGGAAAGGTACTAACCCTAACCACTCCTATAGAGAGGGAAGGTATTAACCCTAAACCTATACAAGCTCCTTAAAAAGGAAAGGGATTAACCCTAACCCTATACCGCCCTATAGAGAGGAAAGGGATTAACACTATACCATTTTTATAGAGAAAAGGTATTTAAACCCCAACCCTTAACATCCCATAGAAGGAAAGGGATTTAAACCCTAACCCTATACACGCTCCTATAAGAGGGAAAAGGGATTAACCCATACATGCTCCATAGAGAGGAAAGGTATTAACCCTTACACGCTCCCAAAGAGAGGGGGGGTATTACCTAACCCTATAAACCCCCCCTATAGGAGGGAAGGGATTTAACCCCAACCCTATACACGCTCCTATAGAGGGGAAAAGGTATTTAACCCCAACCCATAAAAAGCCCAAAAGAGGGAAAGGGATTAACCCTAACCCTATCCGCTCCTTAGAAGGAAAGGATTAACCCCAAAACACTCTTTTAGAAGGAAAGGAAAAAAACCCTAACCCTATACACATCCCATAGGAGGAAAGGTACTAACCCCTTTCCCCCTCCTTTGAGGGGAAAAAGGGTTTTTAAACCCCAACCCTATACACGTCCTATGAAGGGGAAAGGGATTAACCCCAAAACGCTCCCCAAAAGAGGGGAAGGGATTAACCCTTACACGCTCCTAAAGAGGGGAAAGGGATTTAACCCCATACACCCCTTAGGGGAAAGGTATTTAACCCCAAAACACTCCATAGAGAGGAAAAGGTATAAAACCCTTCACCCCTATAGAGGGAAAGGTATTTTAAAACCCCATCCGCCCTATAGAGAGGGAAGGGATTTAACCCTATACACGCTCCTTAGAGAGGGAAGGATTAACCAAAAAACCCCCCCCTCCTAAGGAGGGAAAAGGATTTAACCCAAACCCCATCACCTTTAGAGAGGAAAGGATAACCCTAACACACCCCAAGAGAGGGAAAGGGATCCCCAAACCCCATACAGCCCTATGAGAGGGAAAGGGTTTTCCCCAATAACCGCTTATAGAGAGGGGGAAAGGGATTAACCTATACAATTCTATAGAGAGGAAAAGGGATTTAAACCCAACCCAACCATCCTTAGAGAGGAAAGGGATTAAACCCTATCACGCTCCTTAGAAGGAAGGTTTAACCCATACGCTCCTATAGAGAGGAAAAAGGTTTTAAACCCCATACCGCTCCTAAGAGGGAAGGTTTTTAACCACCCCATACACCTCCCATAGAGGGAAAAGGGAAAAACCCATACACCTCCCATAGAGAGGAAAGGGTTTAACCCCCAACCCTAACCGCTCCTATAAGGGGAAGGGATTAAAAACCCCATAACCTCCTATAGAGAGGGAAAAGGGATTAACCTATACCACACCCCCCCCAAAAAAAACCCCCCCCCCCCCCCCCCCCCCCCAAAAAATCCCCCCCTTCCCCCCCCCTATAGAGAGGAAAGTATTAACCCCAACCCCCAAAACCTCCTATAGAGAGGGAAAAATTTTAAACCCCAACCCTAACAGCTCCTATGGAGGGAAGGTATTAACTAACAGTCCATAAAAGGGAAAGGATTTAAACCCCATACAGCTCCTATAAGAGGGAAGGGATTAAACCCCCATACACCTCCTATAGAGAGGGAAAAAGGGATTAAACCCCAACCCCATACACGCTCTAAGAGAGAAAAATTTAAACCCCATCACGCTCCTATAGAGAGGGAAGGTATTTAACCCCAACCCATACAGCTCATAAGAGAGGAAAGGTACTACACCCTATACACAATCCTAGAGATAGGGAGGTATTAAACCCTAACCCCTATACACGCATCCCTATAGAGAGGGAAAGGGTATTGAACCCTAACCCTATACACGCTCCTATAGAGAGGGAAGGTATTAACCCTAACCCTATACACGCTCCTATAGAGAGGGAAGGTATTAACCCTAACCCTATACATACACGCTCCTATAGAGAGGGAAAAGGTATTAACCCTATACACGCTCCTATAGAGAGGGAAGGTATTAACCCTAACCCTATACACGCTCCTATAGAGAGGAAAGGTATTAACCCTATACACGCTCCTATAGAGAGGGAAGGTATTAACCCTAACCCTATACACGCCCCTATAGAGAGGGAAGGTATGAACCCCATACCCCTGCTCCTATAGAAGGGAAGGTATTCAACCCTAACCTATACCCTCCTATAGAGAGGAAAGGTATTAACCCTAACCCTATACACACTCCTATAGAGAGGAAAGGTATTAACCCTAACCCTATACACGCTCCTATAGAGAGGAAAGGTATTAACCCTATACACGCTCCTATAGAGAGGAAAGGTATTAACCCTAACCCTATACACACTCCTATAGAGAGGAAAGGTATTAACCCTAACCCTATACACACTCCTATAGAGAGGAAAGGTATTAACCCTAACCCTATACACACTCCTATAGAGAGGGAAGGTATTAACCCTAACCCTATACACGCTCCTATAGAGAGGAAAGGTACTAGTAATCATTACACTATCACTAACCCAAACCCGAATCCTGACCCTAACCCGAACCCTGACCCTATCATGAGGTAATAGAGCAGGAGACTTCCAGTAGCCTATCACTCAAGCAAATATATTACCTGTGACTTCCAGTTGTGCTACTTAGTGCAGTGGCAGTACTATCCTTCAGACCATACAGTGAGTAGGCATTCATTTTCTTTCCTCCTCTCTCCTTCCAGGTGACACCAGCAGTACGGTCTCAGCTCTCTGTTACACGGTCCCTAAGTCAGCCCAGGGTAGCAGTCTACACGCCCTGGAGTCTGGTTCTGACTATAAGAGTCGAGGTATGTCTGGTGACAGCAGGGTCGTCTTCGGCCCCGGTGTCTCTATGTCCACCTGCGACGTCAAGCTCATCGACGACAGCGAATACGAACTCTCCGAGGAGTTTGAGCTCCACCTATCGGACGCCTCGGATAATGCCCGCATGGGTGACGTCAGTGTGGCGAAGGTGGTTATCGACGGGCCAAATGATGCTTCGACGGTATCCCTGGGCAGTGCTACGTTTACGTTCAGCGAGGACGCCAGTAAGAGATCATAAGGCATTATTTTACATTTTAGTAGACGCTCTTATCCAGAGCGACTCACAAAAGCAAATTAGAGGTGCACTTGCTCAAGGCCACATCGACAGATTTTTCACCTAGTCGGCTCAGGGATTAGAACCAGCGACCTTTCGGTTACTGGCACAACGCTCTTAACCACTAAGCTACCTGAGCATGATATAAGATCAAAGCGTTCTAAAGGCTAATAAGAAGCAGTATACCTGCAGTACAGTGTCCCTAGTATAGTTCTATATCTGGAGACTTTAGATTTAGGGCTATGCTAGAGCGAAATGTTATATTCTTCAATAACCAATAGATATACTGTATATCATTGCTTGAATGAACCATTGGAGAACAGGAAGTATTACAGAGTACAACTCTGACCCCTGACCTTACACCCCTTAACCTCTGACCCTTGACCTCCAGGCACCATAGAGATCCCAGTGCTGCGGCAGGGCAGTGACCTGTCGTCTGTGACCTCTGTGTGGTGTGCCACACGGCCCTCTGACCCCCCCTCCGCCACCCCCGGGGTCGACTACATCCCCTCCTCGAGGAAGGTGGAGTTCAAAGCCGGCAAGACTATTGAGGTAAAGAAGATATCATTTTTTATTTTACTTTTATTTTGAAAGAGACCTTGAGACCAAGCTTTATTTTGCAAGGGAGCCCTGCATGTACACAATTATACAAAAGAATACAAATATAGAAAATGACAAACACACTCAAGAAAAACAATCTCATTCCTCATCAAAGAGGTCCCCAATCAACATGATGAACTGCCCGAGAGGCACCAGCACATCCTATTGGAGGGAACTCTGTAGATTGTTCCATACATGGGGTGCAAAGAAAAGCTGATTTACCTAACTCTGCGGAGACCGAAGGGATTGCTAGAGTTAGCCATCCCTGAGACCGGGTATGGTAACTCGTAAAATGTTATTAAATATGTTAGGTACAGTGGGAGTTTTTGTAAAAGAGCTTTATAAATAAAAGACAGCAATGAATTGACTATGTGACTTCAAAGAAGGCCAGCCTACTTACTGGTAAAGAACGCAGGGATGCGTACTGAACCTGTCACCTGTAATAAAGCATTATTGCTAATAGACTTCAGAGTCTATCATTGACTCTATTAGCATTTTCAAAGCATTTGATAGACGTGTTTACATTAGCAAAAATACCAATGTCAGCGATGTAATCATTTTTCTAAAAGATTTTAGTGTGTGTTGCTTTTTGTATTGAGAGTAGGAATTTAGTGTCATGGTCCGTCTCTTTCCTCGCTCTGTCTATCTATCTATCTATCTATCTATCTCTATCTCTATCTCTATCTCTATCTCTATCTCTCTCTCTCTCTCTCTCTCTCTCTCTCTCTCTCCTCTCTCTCTCTCGTCTCTCTCTCTCTCTCTCTCCTCTCTCCTCTCTCTCTCTCCTCTCCTCTCTCTCTCTCTCCTCTCTCTCTCTCTCGTCTCTCTCTCTCTCTCCTCTCTCTCTCTCTCTCTCCATTATTTTTGTCTTACTGAGATTAACTGTCAGGGCCCAGGTCTGACAGAATCTGTGCAGAGGATCTATGTGCTGCTGTAGGCCCTCCTTGGTTGGTGACAGAAGCACCAGATCATCAGCAAACAGTAGACATTTGACTTCAGATTCTAGTAGGGTGAGGCCGGGTGCTGCAGACTGTTCTAGTGCCCTCGCCAATTCGTTGATATACAGTGGGGAAAAAAGTATTTAGTCAGCCACCAATTGTGCATGTTCTCCCAATTAAAAAGATGAGAGAGGCCTGTAATTTTCATCATAGGTACACGTCAACTATGACAGACAAAATGAGGAAAAAAAATCCAGAAAATCACATTGTAGTATTTTTTATGAATTTATTTGCAAATTATGGTGGAAAATAAGTATTTGGTCAACAACAAAAGTTTCTCAATACTTTGTTATATACCCTTTGTTGGCAATGGCACAGGTCAAACGTTTTCTGTAAGTCTTCACAAGGTTTTCACACACTGTTGCTGGTATTTTGGCCCATTCCTCCATGCAGATCTCCTCTAGAGCAGTGATGTTTTGGGGCTGTCGCTGGGCAACACAGACTTTCAACTCCCTCCAAAAATGTTCTATGGGGTTGAGATCTGGAGACTGGCTAGGCCACTCCAGGACCTTGAAATGCTTCTTACGAAGCCACTCCTTCGTTGCCCGGGCGGTGTGTTTGGAATCATTGTCATGCTGAAAGACCCAGCCATGTTTCATCTTCAATGCCCTTGCTGATGGAAGGAGGTTTTCACTCAAAATCTCACGATACATGGCCCCATTCATTCTTTCCTTTACACGGATCAGTCGACCTGGTCCCTTTGCAGAAAAACAGCCCCAAAGCATGATGTTTCCACCCCCATGCTTCACAGTAGGTATGGTGTTCTTTGGATGCAACTCAGCATTCTTTGTCCTCCAAACACGACGAGTTGAGTTTTTACCAAAAAGTTCTATTTTGGTTTAATCTGACCATATGACATTCTCCCAATCCTCTTCTGGATCATCCAAATGCACTCTAGCAAACTTCAGACGGGCCTGGACATGTACTGGCTTAAGCAGGGGGACACGTCTGCACTGCAGGATTTGAGTCCCTGGCGGCGTAGTGTGTTACTGATGGTAGGCTTTGTTACTTTGGTCCCAGCTCTCTGCAGGTCATTCACTAGGTCCCCCTGTGTGGTTCTGGGATTTTTGCTCACCGTTCTTGTGATCATTTTGACCCCACGGGGTGAGATCTTGCGTGGAGCCCCAGATCGAGGGAGATTATCAGTGGTCTTGTATGTCTTCCATTTCCTAATAATTGCTCCCACAGTTGATTTCTTCAAACCAAGCTGCTTACCTATTGCAGATTCAGTCTTCCCAGCCTGGTGCAGGTCTACAATTTTGTTTCTAGTGTCCTTTGACAGCTCTTTGGTCTTGGCCATAGTGGAGTTTGGAGTGTGACTGTTTGAGGTTGTGGACAGGTGTCTTTTATACTGATAACAAGTTCAAACAGGTGCCATTAATACAGGTAACGAGTGGAGGACAGAGGAGCCTCTTAAAGAAGAAGTTACAGGTCTGTGAGAGCCAGAAATCTTGCTTGTTTGTAGGTGACCAAATACTTATTTTCCACCATAATTTGCAAATAAATTCATTAAAAATCCTACAATGTGATTTTCTGAATATTTTCCTCAATTTGTCTGTCATAGTTGACGTGTACCTATGATGAAAATTACAGGCCTCTTTCATCTTTTTAAGTGGGAGAACATGCACAATTGGTGGCTGACTAAATACTTTTTTCCCCCACTGTATATGTTGAAGAGGGTGGGGCTTAAACTGCATCCCTGTCTCACCCCACGGCCCTGTGGAAAGAAATGTGTGTGTTTTTTGCCAATTTTAACCGCACACTTGTTGTTTGTGTACATGGATTTTATGATGTCATATGTTTTTCCCCCGACCCCACATTCCATCAATTTGTATAGCAGACCCTCATGCCAAATTGAGTCAAAAGCTTTTTTTAAATCAACAAAGCATGAGAAGACTTTGCCTTTGTTTTGGTTTGTTTGTTTGTCAATTAGGGTGTGCAGGGTGAATACGTGGTCTGTCGTACGGTAATTTGGTAAAAAGCCAATTTGACATTTGCTCAATACATTGTTTTTACTGAGGAAATGAACTTGTCTGCTGTTAATGATAATGTAGAGGATTTTCCCAAGGTTGCTGTTGACGCATATCCCACGGTAGTTATTGGGGTCAAATTTGTCTCCACTTTTGTGGATTGGGGTGACCAGTTCTTGGTTCCTAATATTGGGGAAGATGCCAGAGCTAAGGATGATGTTAAAGAGTTTAAGTATAGCTAATTGGAATTTGTGGTCTGTATATTTTATCATTTCATTGAGGAGACCATCAACACCACAGGCCTTTTTGGGTTGGAGGGTTTGTATTTTGTCCTGTAGGTCATTAAATGTAATTCTCTCTCTCTCTCTCTCCCTGTCTCTCTGTCTCACTCTCTCTCTCTCTCTCTCTCTCTCTCTCTCTCCCTCTCTCTCCAGACGTGCAGTCTGACCATCATGGATGACATCCAGAACCCGGCCATCGAGGGGGCTGAGTCCTTCGTAGTGTTCCTCTCCTCCCCTCAGGGGGCCGTCCTTCTGGAACCCTTCGAAGCCTCCGTGGTCATCACTGATACCTTGGACCGTAAGTACACCCCTACACACACACACACACACACACACACACACACACACACACATACATACCTGTCTTCTAGAACAGGTTTTTTTGTGCTTTTCTTGCCCAGGGACCCCCTCACAGGCAAACCGGCGACCCAGGGACCCCCATCATATGTTAGCAATAAATAAATAAAAGTCACATCTAGATCACAGTGTCCTGGAAGAAGGAAAACTCCATCTGAAATTGTAGTTTTATTGTACAGTACTTCATAATCCCTACTCATTTACCCACAATTCCCTCCTCCCAGTTCCCAGCATGCAGTTTGAGAAGACGGCATACAAGGTGAAGGAGAATGAGGGTGTGCTGAGCATCCCCATCGTTAGAACGGGAGACCTGACGTTCAAGTCCTCTGTCCTCTGCTTCACACGCACCATGTCTGCCATGGTCATGGACGACTTCGAGGAGAGGAGGAACGCTGACGACTCACGTATCATCTTCCTCAAGGGAGAGAAGGTAAGTTCTTTATCAAGCCCACGTAGATTCTGTAAATGAAATGTTGTTATAATAGTTTGTTACATCTAGCCCAATGTGTTAAAAACATCTGTATAGAACCAGACCAATAAAGTTGGCTTTGATGTTATGATGATGATGATGATGATGATTATGATGATGATGATGATGTTATGATGATGATGTTATGGTGATGATGATGATGATGATGATGATGATGATGGTGGTCCAGGTAAAGAACTGCACGGTGCACATCAATGACGACTCTGTGTTCGAGCCTGAGGAGGAGTTCCAGGTGCATCTTGGGACGCCACTGGGGGACCACTGGAGCGGAGCCTTGGTGGGAGTTAGTGACATGGTCACGGTAATCATCACTAACGACGAGGACGGTAAGCAACGCTCAGGCTTCCCTAATCTCAATGCTTCTCTTATGAATAGAGTGGCAGACTGGCAGTTGATAGTTATGAATAGAGTGAGAGACTGGCAGTTGATAGTTATGAATAGAGTGGCAGACTGGCAGTTGATAGTTATGAATAGAGTGGCAGACTGGCAGTTGATAGTTATGAATAGAGTGGCAGACTGGCAGTTGATAGTTATGAATAGAGTGGCAGACTGGCAGTTGATAGTTATGAATAGAGTGGCAGACGGGCAGTTGATAGTTATGAATAGAGTGGCAGACTGGCAGTTGATAGTTATGAATAGAGTGGCAGACTGGCAGTTGATAGTTATGAATAGAGTGGCAGACGGGCAGTTGATAGTTATGAATAGAGTGGCAGACGGGCAGTTGATAGTTATGAATAGAGTGGCAGACTGGCAGTTGATAGTTATGAATAGAGTGGCAGACTGGCAGTTGATAGTTATGAATAGAGTGGCAGACGGGCAGTTGATAGTTATGAATAGAGTGGCAGACGGGCAGTTGATAGTTATGAATAGAGTGGCAGACGGGCAGTTGATAGTTATGAATAGAGTGGCAGACTGGCAGTTGATAGTTATGAATAGAGTGGCAGACGGGCAGTTGATAGTTATGAATATAGTGGCAGACGGGCAGTTGATAGTTATGAATAGAGTGGCAGACTGGCAGTTGATAGTTATGAATAGAGTGGCAGACTGGCAGTTGATAGTTATGAATAGAGTGGCAGACTGGCAGTTGATAGTTTGTAATGGTATGTACTGTATAGTATGTAATGTATTGTATAAGGTAATAGCATTGTAAGACATTACCAACAGAAACACAGGGTAATCTTCTACATAGGAAAAAGCCCAGTCATTGTAAAAATGCATTGCAAGTTTAATTTCACATGTTCATTATAAAGTGAACATTGATATTGTACCACCCCAGCCCCCACCATAGAGTTTGAGCAGACGTCGTACCAGGTGCGGGAGCCCCCTGGACCAGACGGCATCGAGGTGCTTAACATCAAGGTGGTTAGGTCAGGAGACCAGGACCGCACCTCCAAGGTCCGCTGCAGCACCCGGGACGGTTCAGCCCAGTCCGGAGTGGACTACAACCCCAAGAGCAGAGTCCTCAAGTTCACACCTGGTCAGTAAGACTTATTGAGAAGGAGCATTATGGGTAGTGTAGTACATCTGTCTACAAGAACCTCATAGCCAATCACACTGCTCTTTAGTGATTGTTCAGACTGGGTGCTGTGCATTTCTATTCACCGGTTTCAGAGGGAATTTGACAGGAAATGGAAGATGTTTTTATGTTATTGAAGGTGTGTTACATCACGTCGATGATACAGCATAAGTAAACATGACTCAACTTTTTTTTCTATCTTTCCATGTAGGCATGGACCACATCCTGTTCAAGGTGGAGATTCTGTCCAATGAGGACAGGGAGTGGCACGAGTCCTTCTCATTGGTCCTCGGCCCTGACGACCCAGTGGAGGCGGTGCTTGGAGAGATCACCACGGCAAGAGTCACCATCCTCGACCAGGAAGCTGCGGGGAGTCTCATCCTTCCGGCCACACCTATTGTAAGGAACATGGCTCACATTCAAATTTAAATGGAATTGCTTTAGCATTATGTGTATTACTAAATCATTTTCTTCAAATGTTCAGGTAAAATGAACACTTATGTAAGTTGTAAATTGAAATTCTAAATGTATTCTTCAAACATTGTAGCCACAATTGCTTATGTTTTCTGAGATGAATCCTATCTTCAGATTGACATGTATTAATTAATTCAGCCCTCTGCCAGCTACAGTGGGGAAAAAAGTATTTAGTCAGCCACCAATTGTGCAAGTTCTCCCAATTAAAAAGATGAGAGAGGCCTGTAATTTTCATCATAGGTACACGTCAACTATGACAGACAAATTGACGTTTTTTTTCTCCAGAAAATCACATTGTAGGATTTTTAATGAATTTATTTGCAAATTATGGTGGAAAATAAGTATTTGGTCACCTACAAACAAGCAAGATTTCTGGCTCTCACAGACCTGTAACTTCTTCTTTAAGAGGCTCCTCTGTCCTCCACTCGTTACCTGTATTAATGGCACCTGTTTGAACTTGTTATCAGTATAAAAGACACCTGTCCACAACCTCAAACAGTCACACTCCAAACTCCACTATGGCCAAGACCAAAGAGCTGTCAAAGGACACCAGAAACAAAATTGTAGACCTGCACCAGGCTGGGAAGACTGAATCTGCAATAGGTAAGCAGCTTGGTTTGAAGAAATCAACTGTGGGAGCAATTATTAGGAAATGGAAGACATACAAGACCACTGATAATCTCCCTCGATCTGGGGCTCCACGCAAGATCTCAACCCGTGGGGTCAAAATGATCACAAGAACGGTGAGCAAAAATCCCAGAACCACACGGGGGGACCTAGTGAATGACCTGCAGAGAGCTGGGACCAAAGTAACAAAGCCTACCATCAGTAACACACTAGGCCGCCAGGGACTCAAATCCTGCAGTGCCAGACGTGTCCCCTGCTTAAGCCAGTACATGTCCAGGCCCGTCTGAAGTTTGCTAGAGTGCATTTGGATGATCCAGAAGAGGATTGGGAGAATGTCATATGGTCAGATGAAACCTAAATATAACTTTTTGGTAAAAACTCAACTCGTCGTGTTTGGAGGACAAAGAATGCTGAGTTGCATCCAAAGAACACCATACCTACTGTGAAGCATGGGGGTGGAAACATCATGCTTTGGGGCTGTTTTTCTGCAAAGGGACCAGGACGACTGATCCGTGTAAAGGAAAGAATGTATGGGGCCATGTATCGTGAGATTTTGAGTGAAAACCTCCTTCCATCAGCAAGGGCATTGAAGATGAAACATGGCTGGGTCTTTCAGCATGACAGTGATCCCAAACACACCGCCCGGGCAACGAAGGAGTGGCTTCGTAAGAAGCATTTCAAGGTCCTGGAGTGGCCTAGCCAGTCTCCAGATCTCAACCCCATAGAAAATCTTTGGAGGGAGTTGAAAGTCTGTGTTGTCCAGCGACAGCCCCAAAACATCACTGCTCTAGAGGAGATCTGCATGGAGGAATGGGCCAAAATACCAGCAACAGTGTGTGAAAACCTTGTGAAGACTTACAGAAAACGTTTGACCTGTGTCATTGCCAACAAAGGGTATATAACAAAGTATTGAGAAACTTTTGTTATTGACCAAATACTTATTTTCCACCATAATTTGCAAATAAATTCATTAAAAATCCTACAATGTGATTTTCTGGATTTTATTTTCTCATTTTGTCTGTCATAGTTGACGTGTACCTATGATGAAAATTACAGGCCTCTCTCATCTTTTTAAGTGGGAGAACTTGCACAATTGGTGGCTGACTAAATACTTTTTTTCCCCACTGTAACTGTCTTTCATCA